CATCCCACCCCTGAGGACGAATTTAAGTGCCACATTACCACACTTATCGGTAGTTCAGGCAGGGGTTGTAGCACAGACTTAGGGAGGGACAGGAGGTTTAGTAGTCATTTGGCTACAAGTTTACCTGTATAACCGCCCGACGCGGCTTAAGGGCCCGCTATATCATCTATAGCCCCTTAAGGGAGTACTTGTAGAGGTACCGAGGGTTAACACCTACGGCGTATTTAATATTATTATTATTATATTTCTAGGTTTAATCTGTTAAAAATGGTAATTCACAATGGGTCCGTTTTGTGCTTCCCTTTTAAGTGGCTTAGAACTACGGTAATTTGTGCATAAAGTCTAGCATGCAAATCGACGAAGTTCGGATTTACGGGAGTTCGAAATCTTATGAAGACACAGTCTAAATGTTGGTTTGTCTAGGCAGACTGAGGAAGCTGGCGACTTGCTTCATACTAGCGACAAAGAGGTTCGAACCCCCTGCAGAACAATGTCCTGATATTCAACTGAAAGGTTCTATTTCGAGTTGGGACTATGTTCAGGATCAAACTGTTGTATAATAATCAACACTCAAATAATACCATAAACATTACGCTTTCCCCTGGATGGCAAGGGCTTATGAATGCCGTTCTTGTCACTATCCTCTCACAAACCACGAACCCACACAACCACAACGAAACAAGCACCACGACAGTCTACCGTAATCGTTTTTATGAACCGGACTATCTGTCCACCTACGATGAACAATAATTATGCCTTGACGCGACTCTTCGGCCCGCTACGTCTGGTACTTGAACTGTCATGACTTCGGTCGCAGCGGACTCGCCTGGGTACAGGATTGGTTTTGATCGTGAGAGCATCCACGATGCTCGAATTATTGAGCTGTATGTCCGTTATACGTATATGCGCCTTGAATTGCCTCTAGTTGGACTGGGACGTAAATATAATATAGACCGAACCTAACAGAGAGGAGGGAGTTTTGGACCTAAGATTTCACATCAATAGATATAGCAAGCCTATGCACATCTAATGAACTTATCAACTTACTATTAAAACAACTGTATGAACTAGAGTAGCTTTGCCAACGGTGTTCCACCCTCAGTTGGATGGATTCTGAAGATGTCATAAACGCCATATAACCGAGTTCACCAATAGAAATTCATGACTGACCTCGTTAGACCTGGAGATGAATAACTATGTGAGCAGTCAGACTGTTGATTCGCTACATCCTGAACCAATATCTCCTCCTTTGCCTCAGTACTGCGTCTATCTACTGAACCCTAATTTCCCATGTCACCTCCCAATTCGTATCAATGCACGCCGCATCTGTTTATTCCCCAGATCCTGAGTCATCTCCATACTTCATCGAGGCAAGAGCGGCATGAAACTCGATCCAACGTTGCCTCAATCAGTTAGCGTCGCTTCTAAGTTATGTACTCGTTGCCGGAAAGGGACGAATACATAGAACATGTGTCAAAACCCCAAATTCGCAATGCATTGCATAAGCAGAGACCAACCAACGAGAGGAAACTGAATATTTCTTTGGCTTTCAGCTCTTGTGCCTTATTCACACATGCGCCCAAGACTCTAAATTAAAAAAGCGCGGCTTTGGGGGCTGACTGCCTTTTGGCTTACTATATGCAAGTACTTAAGAAGTCTCGAACCAACCCACTTACCGGAACGTCGTGCAACCGGCCGATGTAGCTTTGTTTTCCTAGTCCTGGAATGAACCGTTCAGGGGTCTAACTATGACACTATGATGAGGAATTTCAGCCACAACGATGTCATACATTGCATCATGCAATCATGGGTGGTTGTTGGATTCCCGTGGCTAATGACATATCACAGAGAAAACTAGCTGTGACTAGGGGTTTCAGATCCGAGCTTGAGATGAAACTTTTTTGTGGCTGAGGTTGAGGCACCATGCATTCTGGACGATTGACTTGGTATGAAAAGGTCAGCTTGACCATGCCCCATGATGCTGGCATTTTCTTACACAACATTCAAATAGTCAAAATGCTGAATTGCCCTAGGCCAACAAGGAGCATCCACTCCTTTAGAGTTTTTGGGTGACCCCGTCACGAGCTTGGAGTAGTCGATTTCCTACCCCAAGCGGTATGACGCCAGCGAAAATCAGGAATTGGGGCGTTGCGCTGTTTCGGCAGTAATGGCCAAAGAGAATTGCCATCCAGAAATCGCATGCAGATTCCGCCCAGGGTCCTTGTGCAGAAGGGATGATGGGAAGGTCAGCCAGGGTGGAGCAGGCACATCAGTCAGGGGCTTCCCTTCGGTGATTGATGCAGCAATACCCGTAGTGCGACTGATTTTCTTGAATACGTGCTGAGGGCCACAAATGAATTATTTCCAATAGTAAGATCAGTTTTTCTTGACGGATAGCATACGCACTGATCAGCAACGATAAGGGTCTTTGGCTCCATAAGCCTTGCTCCAGCAGCATTTGGTCACGGCAGCTTGTCAACCAAGCGATCATTCCCATCAACGATCGTGGAAGCCCAATGTGCAGTTCATGCATTGACGCCAGTTCCCAGAGAGGCAGCTGATGCATACTATTTGTGGCTCAGAGACGGGCTTGAACCTAGGAAAACACCGGTACAACAAACCGTGTAGAGTACCACAACAGGGGTTAGTCAAGAAGAATTGGGCTGATGACGTTGAGCAGACAATTTGAGCCCAATATGTTAACGACATGAAAAAAATCTCAAGAACCAGGAAAGTCCAAGGTGTTGTTTCGCCAAAGCGGGTGGAACATAACCTGGGGTACCCTTGGTTGGAAAACCAGGACAGTCAAATGGGCGCTTCTAGCCCTCTAGGTCAAAACCAAAGGCGAATGATTTTCATACGAGCTTTGCGTCTTTGCCAGGTTCATGCCCAAATGACTGATTGTATCTCGGAATTGTGTTATGCACTTAAGCACCAATATAGCCCAGCGACAGTGTTGCCTTGCCTCGACCTTGCCCCAAGCCCACAACTGCCTTGACTTGAGCCGAAGGTGCGAATGCTTATTGTGTAAATAACCGGGAATGCCCGGGCAGTCTCCCAAGGCTACTCAAGTTTTGAACTCAGCCTCAGCTTGGCAACCCGGTAACGGCATCGGAATACGGTCTTTCGAGAACCCCATCATCGGTCGTTCCAGTGGCAATATCACGATTTGAGGAAAATCGTCCGTAATCCGACCAGCTGCCCATGAGTTGAATTCTGAATGCCGAAAATAGGAGTGCTTGTCTGACTACGCTCGGTACTTCTCAGGAAGGCGTCTGATACCGGCAGGTTGCCTCACTCGAAGAACAAACTCCGTCTTATTTGGATGGCTGTTGTTCGTAGGTGTTTGGTAAGACTGGATTTGGTGTCGCGCTTCTGCATCGCGGTTGCTATTTGGAAATTATTCTGCGGGTCATCCCAGCGTATTGATCAGATCTGTCAATCATAGATGTCAAGATCATCGATAACCGCATTAGGTGCGCCTCTCTTTAGGACGACAATCTTGCAGACTAATGTATGATGGGATAGACTTGGCAGTTCAGCTAGGAGGCCGATTTTATTAGAGAACTTACACTAGAGACGGCCACGCTCGCGGCCAACGATGGCGGCTTGTGGTCACCTAAAACCTCGTTGAAAGTGGCAAGAGGGAGTCAAAAGAAGTAGTTTCTCGTGCCGTAAATGATTATGTCACAGTTTCAGCGCTTTTCGCTTCAAAACACCTTAGAGGCGCTTTTTTTTTTTCCTTAACAGACGACAGCTCGAGAAGGCATCGTCGTGGCCCCACTGGGTCCCAACGGTGGAGCAGAGACCAGCATACTTCTAAGCCCAAGAATGAAGCGCAAGGTATGCGGGCAAGCTGCGCTACATCGCTTATTCCACAGGATAGCGGGCATCGATAGACTAATGATATTTGCCACCTAATGCTCTGTCCAAATTAACCATTTTGCCCCCCGGGAAACCAGTTCAGCTCCTGTACTTTCGTCAGTTTAGCAACTTTAGAAGTTGAGTAAACCAGCCCCAGCGGCCTCCGACCCTTCACGACCAAATTGCATTCAACGTAGCTAATGGGCCGCCAACCGCTGGAAACATTGAATCACATCTTGACGAGCCTTTTTTTTTTGTTTTGCGAATAGCATTTGCAGCTTGAGGGAATCCTCACTCCAATTTGACCAGGGTTAGCTGGCATTTCAACGGCCGAGAGACTGGACGTCCGTTTTATTGTTCATCGCCACCACTCCTTCATATTCATATGTCGTTTGCTGGGCTTTAAGCTCCCACATCTCGTCGAGCGCCCACCAGAGAGTTTCCGGTTTCGACCTGACTGCCGACCCATTGATTCAATTTCGAGCTCTAATCGATCTGGGCTGTCTGGCTCGATTAGTTCACCTGACCGCGGCCTGCTACACTATTCTTTTGGCTTCAGTTACTGCTGCTACTGCTGCAACTCTAAAATTGACCCCAAGTTCCCCATCCTTACGTAGAACGATCCCCGCAATCGCACGTCTGGCCCAGATCGTACTTTTGGGCGAGACGGGTAAACTGGCGACGTACGCAAGGTCCCTAGAGGTCCGCCTGCTGAGTCAAAATTCTTAGGGAGCAAGGAAACCAAGACTTCTAAGTCGCCCAGCCGTTCCCCAGGCTTAGCATCGATGGAGTCAAAGCAGGAGTCGACCGATCATCACCTACAGCAACAAGAGATCCAAACCCACCCAGAATCGCAACCAGAAACCAACCCAGCAGATGCAGAGCAACATCAGCCTTCACAACAGCTGTCACCATCACCACCACCCTCTCTGCTGACCACACTGGATCAAATCGAAAATGAGCTGTCGGTCTCTCCGTCACCCATAGAATCGGCCGACGACAACAGCGACGACCACGATGGACAGAGTGCCGCATCTGCATTCTACGAGGACGACCAAAACGAGGACGACCACGCGGTGACTCCCTCGGCCAAACCCACTTCTTTGCCGCCGGGCGCCGTAAATTTCAACCTTGGCATGAGTCATGACGGGCCTATCGTACCCTCGTCGGGTGCGCCCTCGTCGTGGAGTGCGAGTTCTGATCGCCAGCTCGGTCATGGAAGCGGCGGTTCAACTGCTGACCCGGGAGATCGAGTTTACCCAATTCGATCAGTCATCAGTGTGAATCAGTCACAGCCAACTCCTTGGATGCCGCGCAACTCAGGGGAGCATGAGTACTTCCCTCGTCATGAGACCACTTGGGACGGGCGCCATCGACCGGTCAACCCACGCATAGAAAGCGATATGTCCCAGCATATCATGAGGCATGCCGACACAGTGGCCCCTTCCACTGCCGCTTCATCGACGTCTCCAAAGGGCAGAGAAAGAGCCTGGGCCCAAAGGAAGAGCACAATGGCTTCTATTGGGAGCCCACCGCTGGACCCCAAGGTGCTCAGCTCCGCGTCACTTGTCAGTGACCAGACGTCAGAAAGGTCATTAGTCTCGGACACGATGGGTGACAACTCTTCGCTCCATGCCTTCGGGAACTTGCCAGATAGCCCTACCGGATACAGGACACCGGGGGCACCTAACGAGAACCTGTTCGCCGTTCGATTCAAACACGTTATGACGGATGACGGCCATGCGGTCATCACTGGCAGAGACGGTACTTTACAGCGTTGCGAGGACGAGCCGATACAAACACCAGGCGCGGTGCAGGGTTTCGGACTGCTGGTTGCCCTGAGAGAAGAGAACGACGGCTGTTTTACTGTTCGCCTGACGAGCGAAAACTCCAGGGCGATAATTGGCTACTCCCCGCAGCAGCTCTTTCGGCTTGAGAATTTCTTGGACATTTTTACCGAGGAGCAAGCAGATAATCTGCTCGACCACATCGACTTCATACGTGACGAAGACGCTGATCCTGCTAGCAACGGACCCGAAGTTTTCAGCATATCCATGAGACCACCGAAGAGCACAACCACTAAGCTCTGGTGCGCCATGCATATTCCTTCATCCCATCCAGATCTTGTACTCTGTGAATTTGAATTAGAAGATGATCATGCGCATCCCTTGAGACCAGCGGATGAGTTAACTCCGTCAGCCCCCGAAGACACCTTGTACCAAAATCCAACCTTGGAGGAGTTCAACGAGAGCACTGAAGTAAACAGCAAGCCTCTCAGAGTGCTCAGAAGCGCACGAAAGAAACGGGGAGAAGCAGGTGCCATGCAGGTTTTCGACATCATGTCTCAAGTACAGGAACAGTTAGCTTCTGCCTCAAACCTGGAAAAGTTCCTAAAGATCCTCGTCGGCATTGTCAAGGAATTGACGGGCTTTCACCGTGTCATGGTATATCAGTTCGACTCGGCCTTCAACGGCAAAGTCGTCACCGAACTTGTCGATCCAGCTCAGACTCGAGACCTATACAAGGGCCTGCATTTCCCTGCTTCCGATATTCCCAAGCAAGCGAGAGATCTATACAAACTCAACAAGGTTCGTCTGCTTTACGATCGGGATTTGGAATCATCCAGGATCGTCTGTCGCACCGTCGAAGACTTGGAACGACCGCTGGATCTTAGCCACGCATATCTGCGCGCTATGTCACCGATCCACCTCAAATATCTTGGCAACATGGCTGTCCGCGCCTCCATGTCTATCTCGATCAATGCTTTCAATGAGCTCTGGGGTCTGATTGCTTGCCATTCATATGGACGTAGAGGCATGCGGGTCGCCTTTCCCATTCGAAAGATGTGCCGCCTGATCGGTGATACAGCTTCCAGGAATATAGAACGCCTGTCGTATGCATCACGGCTACAGGCGAGAAAGCTTATAAATACCGTGCCGACCGACAAGAATCCTTCCGGTTATATTATCGCGTCCTCGGAAGACCTGTTGAAGCTTTTCGATGCCGATTTTGGTATGCTGTCGATCAAAGGCGAAACGAAGATACTAGGAAAGCTTGAGCAGTCACAAGAAGCTCTCGCCATGTTGGAGTATCTGCGCATGAGAAAGTTTACGTCGGTGATGACAACACAAGACATTACCGAAGATTTTCCTGATTTGAGCTACCCACCGGGCTTTACCGTAATTGCTGGTCTATTGTACGTGCCCCTCAGCGTTGGGGGCCAAGATTTCATTGTTCTTTTCCGAAAAGGTCAGGTCAAAGAAGTCAAATGGGCAGGAAACCCGTACGAAAAAATCGTTCGAGAGGGCACCTCTAACTATTTGGAGCCGCGGTCCAGTTTCCAGGTTTGGCACGAAACCGTGCTTGGCAAATGTAGAGAATGGTCTGAGGAGCAGATCGAGACGGCCGCGGTGCTATGTTTGGTTTACGGTATGTCATGCAGTCACTCACGTCCACAGAAAATACATATTGCAAATACTAACGCGTTCCAGGCAAATTCATCGAGGTTTGGAGGCAGAAAGAAGCAGCTTTGCAAAGTAGTCGTCTGACTAGGCTGCTCTTAGCAAATTCCGCCCACGAAGTTCGCACCCCACTGAATGCTATCATCAACTACTTGGAAATTGCACTGGAAGGCACCCTGGACCAAGAGACTCGAGACAATCTTGCAAAGTCTCATTCAGCTTCGAAATCCTTGATCTACGTCATCAATGATTTGCTGGATTTGACCAACACAGAGGAAGGACAAGAATTGATCAAAGATGAGGTCATGGACTTGCCAATATGTTTTCGGGAGGCCACGGACCCTTTCAAGGTGGATGCGAAGCGGAAGGGCATTGGATACGAAGTTATTGAGCACCAAGGCCTCCCTCATTTTGTCCATGGTGACCATCGTCGGGTGCGACAGGCGATTGCCAACGTGACGGCCAATGCTGTCCAACATACGACTAAGGGATTCGTACGGGTGGAATGCTATGTTGTAGAAGTGGTAGAATCCAAGATCCGGATCGAAATAGCCGTCGAAGACACCGGTCGGGGCATGAGTGACGAAAAACTAGATGCTTTATTCCGAGATCTGGAACAAGTTTCCACAGATAACATGGACGACTCTACAATGGATGACGAAGAAGAGCACACGGGCGAGTCGCGCACCTTGGGCCTTGGCTTGGCCGTCGTAGCCAGGATCGTGCGTAACATGGAGGGCCAGCTGCGGTTGAAGTCGGAAGAGGGTATAGGATCTCGGTTTGTCATCCAAGTCCCATTCGACCTACCGAGCAAAGATGCCATCGAGAATTTCGATGCTGGGCTTTCAAGTAAGCATCTAGAGAGCTCGCACTCCAGTTCTGCGTCAGTGACAAGGACATTGCCACTTCCGGACATCGGGGAGGTTATGCTGGTTGATCGTGGAGGGTCTACATTCCACACCAATCCGCCTCACGGTCTGACGAAAGCGAAGAGCTTTGACGAGACCGTTAGTGTCAACAGTCTTAAAAGCACAAGTAGTAAAGTCAGTGGCGGTAGCAATAAGAGTGATGCCGACCGGTTGATCGATGCCATTCAGACCCCCCTCTCGATTGGCGAGCCGGAGTCGCAAGCAGTATCGCTTCAGCGGCAAGGGTCCGTGGACAAGAAACACGTAGCTAGCAACAACCTAGCCTCTAGTGTGAGGTCGCTAGCTTCTATGACTACGAAACGCCCGCCAAAATCAGAAGGACTCAACACTGCTGACCGCCCTCACATTCCTCGAAGGTGTACGACGCCGCCGTCCACGACTACAAATGCAAATTTACCGGTAGGGTTTACCTATGTCCAGGACACCAAAACCCCCATTAAACCTATCAAAATGCCCGACGACTACGCCGACCAACCCACCATGCCCCAACCTTCACCTTCATCTCGGGTGTTATTCGAAATTCTCGACAGGTCAAGCAAGTCGACACCACACGATGGCACAAGCAGAACGCCAAACCATCAAGCGCCTGGGTCGTCAGGGGAACTCCAGGTTCTTATCGCTGAGGACGATCCAATCAATATGAAGATTTTACGAAAACGCCTCGAGAAAGCTGGCCACCATGTCACCCACGCCGTGAATGGCGAGGATTGTGCAGCTGTTTATGGTGGAAAATCCAAAGATTTTGATGTTATCTTGATGGACATGCAGGTCAGTAGCACATTCGTACAGTCGAACCAGTGGTAACTGACTTCATCTTGCAGATGCCGATAGTTGACGGGCTAGCGAGCACGAAAATGATTCGAGCCCTTGAAAAATCGGACAAACACGTAGGACTCTCGCCGTTGGCCTCACGCCACGGAAGAGTGCCAATTTTTGCTGTGTCTGCGTCTCTTTTGGAACGAGAGAAGTCGATATATGTGAATGCCGGTTTCGATGGCTGGATTCTGAAACCAGTTGACTTCAAAAGACTGCATACATTACTGACTGGAATCTTCGAAGATGAAACACGAAACAGTTGCCTCTACGTCCAGGGTCACTGGGAGCGTGGTGGCTGGTTCGAACGCCGGACCAGACCCACCCTTGCTCCTCGGGAAATAAATGATGACTCGACCTCCGAGGAGATCACGCCCACAGGGCTGACCGGGACTCAAACATCTACCAACACATGAGCATAGTGTGCCTGAGTACCATTCCTGGCACAATACTCGATGTGGAGAAGAGTACGAATGACTACCCCAAATTTTGATCATATTGCCAAGACGAGAGGTATATGGAAGAGAGTGGTCGATGTGAGGATACGGCCTGAACAATAACACGCGAGACCCTTGGCTACACGACGTTCTTCATTCCTCTCATTGTCGAGGGATGCACGAGCGAGAATTGTTTTACGGAACTCCAAAGAAATATCACATCTGATGAATGGACGAGGCTGGAATTAAGGCGTCAATCGTGGTCGTCTGCTGGACCTTACGTCCTCATCAACAGTTGCACAGGCGACTGTTTTGCGCTTCAGGGTACGAACGTGGGAGGAATTAGACCAGGTATCGGGGCGAACATGACAAAGTACACGCATTACATGGAGTTTAGGCAGATGGTTCATTCAGTACACGTATTGCACAGGAGTTACGAGTTTCTTCATTCCCACCCCTACTTGCGAGGGCTTGGATCCGAAAACATGGTACTTTCTAATGTCCATACCTCTTGTGCGATTAGAGTAGGTGGGTCTTAATACTCACGATGCACCTACTAATTCACTGCATTCAAGGCGGCTTTGAACAGCCCAGTACAATTTTCCTCCGGTTTATACTTCTTAGCTGCTGATCACCTGCCGTGTGAATGGTATCCAATTGGGAATCAGACGTGGTGTCCAACCCAATTAGTCCACATCAATTTGGCGAGCCAAATCATGTCCCTTGTCTACCCTTGGGTCGAGTCATTGACTCGCAGAATGCTTGGTGATCGAGTGAAAGGCACAAAAGCATGAAATCTAAGGGATTTTGGTTAAAAGTTGGGACCAGTCGTATTTTCATTTCACCTTATCTACATAACTCATTACCCAACTAGTCTATCTAGCATCGCCTTGCTTTTTCGCGTTCAGTCTTTGCTCAGAGCAACTCATGCCCCTTCATCATCCATCGAAATCCCTATCTTCCCAAGCCTGCCACGTTCCTCGTCCGTAAGGCGGCAATATACCCCTGAACGCCGATTCCCAAATGCTAATGACATGAAATACTAATGATAATCCCTGAAGATGCCCGGCAAACGCACCTGTCCCACGATATTTGTCGTTTCCGAGTTTCCCGTTATATACCCAACTCGCCCGATCCATCTTCGCGAACGACCAGGTTGTGGTCGTTGCAACTTGGAAAATCCGTCTAGCCTCCCTACAAGCAGGGAGGATAGCAGCAGCGGCGGCTAACTCTCCCGTTTGTCAATGAAAACAAAAATCCGTCGGTGCCATCGTAGGGGGGAATGGGGCAACATAATGCCCGCCCCCCACCAAATCGGAAGAGAAACTGCATATAAACTACACTATGTCGTCACTGGTCTCAGTACTGCTCGCGGACGTGATGGTGCCCTGGTGGCGGGCCATGTGGACGAGGCGGTAGATGCCGAAGGCGATGAGGGCCAGCAGGATGAAGAGCACGATGATGATGACAGCGATGACGTCGTTTCTCTTCATGGCTGCGGTTTTCGTGAGGAATGCGTGCGCAAGAGACGCGCAAGGGTAGGGGGAAGTGGTGGTGAATGAGGAATGCGGCAAAGCTGATGGGCAGATTGGCGGCGGTTGGCTTGAGGGCGCGACTGGACTTGTTGCAACGTGGATCTGGTTCTCTGCACTGGGGATTAGTCATTGGAGTTGTCTTGCGTTTCTTCCTGTCCTGCGAAAAAAAAACTTACCAGTTCAATTCCGTCTCAGCCCAACGAGGTCTGAAGCTATCACGAAGGTGGCTGGCGGGCGGGCTGGCGTGTGGAGAACTGATGTGGATAAAGGTAATGTGCACCGATTATGTAGATAATTGAACCGATACCAATCTGAATCTCTCGTGAAATATCGTCAAACTCCCGTTCTTTCGAGTGAATATGGCAAGTGGATTGATTCAATTGTATGATCAAGCAAAGTAAGTTCGTAAAGCAAAGCAAGTTCACCTGCAGCACAGCAGCTGCGGGCGGACAGCTACTAATACGCAGGGTTGCCCCGCCATTAATCGCTCGTAAATAGCGAGGCTGGCGAGCTCACTTTTTAAAGTGCAAGGCTGGCTGCAAGGATGCTGCCACGAAGACCCCCAAAGGCGGTGGTTGGAGAAAAGCTCTGCAGGGTTCACTCGGTCTAGTCTGGTGCGGTGGCCCGGCTCATTGGCGTCGGCACCTTTTTCAGTGGGGTCCTAGTCACCATGGACTCGTCCAGCCTCGTCCAATTGACGATGCTTGTCAGGCACGAACGATGTGGTTTTTTGGTATTCATGCAGCAAACAGGGTCCCTCGGCCCACTCGCATGCGATCCTGTTGTTTGGAGATGGGAATCGACAGGCTTGTTACAGGCAATGTGCCTGAAGGCGGAGCTGACGTTTGCTCCCAAGTCGTTATCAGGTTGCAGCTCGCCTTCAAGTCGGTTGTTTCAGCTAGCTTCTAGGGCTAGTCCCGTCGCATAGCATCGACTATAAGAGGTCGGAAGTCTAGTACAAACCTTCGAAGTGGTTCGCTGCCATGTCACTCTGTCAGCCGCAACATGGGAAACAAACTGAGCCAATGCGTAATCTGGCTGGATCTCAAACCATATCGTTGAATGCGCCAATGGTTATGAGCATTTTCCTGGTGCATCGTGTCACGTGTATATATTACAAGTCCGGATATCCATATTTGCTCAGAGAAGTATTCCTAAGCCTTTTGTCAACTCCAGTGGCTCCATACCAAATCTGAGACTCAACCTGACTGGGAGAAGAAAAATAAAAAAATAAAAAACAGCGCAAAAGGCATCCAACCTAGACCTACAGCTAGTCATGGCGTTATTCATCGGCGTCAATGGTTGTCTTCACAATTTTGACGTGACGCTCGTAAAATTGAAGCATCTGCAAGGGTGTTAGCATAATGGAACACTGGAGGGCAATGGGTGTCGAGGGCGATAACGACCTTTTGAGGGCACCGCGTGTATACGACCTTGGTGTCGTGCTGTGTCTTTTGGCCGTTTTTCCACGTCAGATACACCACTAACTTGCCTGATTGCTCGTCGTGGCAAGCGTCGATCGACTCGACCTCGTCTTCCCAGGATCCAGCAGGCGCCTTCCACTTCTTCTCACTCACGCTTGCTGGGGGAGTTGTTGAGGCAGGGTGGCTGCCGGTGCGCTTTGTGCGCTTGGTACCGTTGTTGGGAGTGTTGGATGCGGGACGGGCGCGCTTCTTGCCCGTCACGGCGGCCTTGCTCTCCTTTAGAATAGCATCCCGACCGCCAACCTTCTCGAGGTACTCGTCGAGAACCACCGTGGCGTTTTCTCTGTTCAGCCTTGTCAATCGCGTGTGTTCACGATGTCCATGTCGGAGCTACAGGGCAAATGGGCTCACTTGAGGTTGTCTTCTTCCTCCCATGTCTGATCAGATTTCTTCTCGTAGCCTTCCCACTTGACCTTGTACTTAATGATGCCCTGCAGAAACACTTGTCAACAGCTGCACTATCGTAGAGATGCATTTCGCCTTGACTCACATTTTGGACTACATGACCCACGATGCTCTCTACGACAAATCTGCGTATACGTCAACCCCAAGTCTACAGACAGTCCGCCTGTTGGATTATGTACTCGTCCGGCTCCAAATCCTCGTCATCTTCCTCCTCGTCTTCCAAGTTATCGCCTCCGTCTCCATCCGGCACATCGCCTTTGATCACAGGCACATGCTCCTCTTCATCGTACTCGACTGTGGTTGTCTTCGTGTCGCGTTTAGCGTTTGTGCGCACAAGGGCTTTACCGTCGCCGCCATCCGACATCTCGTCGTCACTAATTGCTGCAGGGTCCCCGATGTTAGCTCTCTATGCACCAGAAACGGCGCTTGAGACTCGGTTGATAATGGTCAATGGCCGGATGGACATTGCGAGTGGCGGACATGTTAGAGTGTGATGGCGGTGATACGAGAAGTTTCACTGATGCTGCATTGCGTCGCGAGAAGGATACATGTACCAACCTGGAGGCATCTTTTATGGTATGTGCCGGCAGAAATCCTACTGTAGGATGGTGACGAGAGGTGGATTGACAGAATACGCCGTGTCAGGATAGTTGTCGCGACGAACGAAACTCAACATTGAACCTCGCGGCGCGTCGACTTCTCAAAATGCGGAGGCTCCGAGCGCTGGTTGACCAGAACGCGTGGAGCTTGGACCCTCAAACTGTCCATGATAGTACTATAGTAAATTGAAGAGGCTGGTGCAGTGGCTTGACCAGCTTACTAGCCACATTTTCCGGGTTCAAATTGTTGGACATCGTCGTTGTCCATTTGGCGAAACACGCTCGAACAATCTGGCTATGATCATGGCACCAACCTATCGTGAAGTCACCTATAGACCGAGCAGGAAAGGCCAACATTTTCTACATGAAACCTTAAATCTCTGTGCGGGAACAAGTCTGCTCGTTGTCCTCTTGACACAACAACACCCTCTATTATCCGTCCATATAAGGTCCACGAATGGCTCGCGTCCCTCACCACGCCGTTGAAATGTGCATTCAAGGCGCAGGGAAGGCACTCATTCACTTGAAGTGGTGATGAACCGCCAATAATGGTGAGCTCATATCTGCGAGTATTTTGGGCACTGCTGAATGAACCCCGTCATGTTGTTCCTGCCATTGAGCTTCCCTTGGCCAAATAGGCACGCACACAATCTCTGCAAGACCAGAAGAAAGAACCAGAGACACCGAGTCTTCATCGTTCTCAAATACGAAAAGACATATCGCCTAGTACTTGGTATCTAGTCAGAGGAGCCCGTGACTTGCGTTTGTGCCTTATTCGACTCTTCTGCTTCCCGAGCCCCTTGACCTTTCCATGTGAGTTGCCTCATGAGCTACACATATTTTCTAGAAGGAATCTTTGGGATCAACCGTCAGTGGCAAGCTTCTTCGCACACTTGGTTGTGAGTCCGGCAGCGCCGAGCTTCCAACCTGCCGTATACTGCAGCTGTAGGTTCCCGTCGCGGAAGACGTGCCGTTCATTGCTCATGGAAAATGTTTTCGCAGCCACATGTCCTAAAGCAGTAGGACAAGTCACCAATATGGAGCTGCACATGCTTGCTGCAAAAAGTTGCGACACGTCACCCTTCCTTCAGCCGACCTTCCACATTGATTTGAACGTGCTGAGGCGTTAAACGGCCTCGCAATGACGGCTGAAGGTAGCATGAATACTACCTACCGTGCGAGTCGCATCCCTGGTCGGTTCTATAGGAATCAAGGGGGTTGGAAATGTCGTGGGAATCCTCGCGTGGCATAAACATGGTTTGCGGTGTTGGCCTTCAGGTCTCAGACTGTGTCTTTCAGGCTGTAGGTCCAATGTATATGCAGGTCTGAGAGGTGTTACTCTGCAGAGACGAGATTACAACAATTCGAATACGCAGTAACGATCTGCACGGCGAAAGGGGGTAGATGGAGCTGCTGCCCCACTGGGAGGGAGTGTCTTGCTCGCTGCATTGCCTTCCATCCGTGGAAAGAAGAAATATATAAAAATAGCATGGGAGAGAATGGCCCACCAGTGCCTACCTAGTCAATAAGGCCAAGGCGCATCGTTTTTATAAGCCGCCGAGACGGGGATGCCGTATGGGTTTGCTCGGAGGATATGACCGATCTCGCGTTGTCTGTGTAATTCGGGTCACAAATCAAAGTGGAATATGACAACAAGTTGCTGGACGGAACAACCGGGTCTGGCTGCTGCCTCCGTCGACGACATCATCAATCGCCATTTGATGTCTCGTACGGGCCAATATGCTCAGAATCATGCTTCGACCACTTTATCATGCAGAGAAGGATTGTGCCATCCCAGCGTGAGCAGACTTCGTCACAATGTCGTAACAGGATACAACGATGCACTTTGGTTGGCTTGAGCCCATCCGACAGTGGAATTGACCGTAATAGAGGCTCAGGTACCTCCGGTGTAGTTTGAAGTACCACGCGACTCATTCGCACTTCAGCCATTGGATCGGGACTGTTGAGACTTGTAGAATCTGACATTGGCTACCACCTATCTGTGCGAATGCTCCAAAGCTATCAATCACTGGGGAGGTTTTTCGATTGTCAATCAAGCGCACCTGCCACCTCAGCTCGGATCGAACCCGCTTCCAGTTTCCCTGTTGGCAGTTGCAGTGTTATGTTATGCTGTGTTTTGCTGCCTATCAGCTCTTTTCGCAGCGCGGCCATGGCTTCCTTGTCCATTGGACGGGCGAAGGGACGGGACCCAGCGTGGGCGATCAGCGCGGCAAGCTCCCCCTGTTCCGCGTTTCCATCAAATGCCACACCCCTCGCAATCGCCCAAAAGGGCATTTCAATGTTACAACGACTGCGGTGACACACCGATGCGAGGTTTAGCACTGGATACTTTTTAATGGCATGCAAAGTATTTCGGAATAGGGGCCTTGGGAGTTGCACCCGCAAGCGAGCAGTTTGCAGCGGGAGATCACAGATGCTTGGGAAGACGAGAGCCAGGAGCCTTTAGCTGCTCCTGTGTTTTTTTGTTTTTTCTCTATACAAGCACGTCTCGAGAAGTTCACGTGTATAGCTTAATGTAAAGAGTATCTAGCTAGCTGGCCGAGTTGACCCAAAAAGCCCGGCTGGTAACGAGCACTCTCCATCGTGGGGTGCCCCCTGGACTTTTGATTAGGAAAGTGCGCAGTAGTAATAAAACCAGGTCACATTTTTGGGCTCCGCCTCGGCGCTCCCCTTACCGCGCGGTATTCCCTCTCTCGCTAGGAAAATATGTCCAGATATTACATGGCGAAATTTGCAGCCTGCACTGCACTGGGCGTATTGCTGGTGCAGCCGGGCTACGGTGTAAGGAGATTGGCTCTACGGTTGGATTGGGGAAAGGAAAAGAAGGTAAGGAAGGTTGCAACGTCTCCAACTTAGAGCTCTCCACTCGGGCGGCCCAGAGCCAACAGCTACGGAGGGACGGAGACACGGAGTTTAAAGTTGGGTGGCACTAATCCCAGTCCATCTAGCCCCTGGATCAACTCATATTTCTCAGAAGTGCTGATTGCCAAAAAGAAAAAGTCGTGGACTGCCTGACTGCCCGGCCGTAGACCTACGCGTCTACGTCTGCGTCTGCGTTTTTGCATTTTCGTCTTGGTTTGCGCCCGTTACCAGATCAAACTCTGTTCTTTCCCTGCGAATTGTAAATATACCGGAATCCTTCGTTTTGGCCCAGGTAGCGGATGTGCAGGCGAGGGTGAGTAAGAAGGAAGGAGACCGCAGCTGCAGCCGGATGGAGCGCTTCTTGGGAGGCATTGCCCGGCCCCTTCGACCCTGTGTCTCCTGAACCTCGAGTAACGCCCCGGCGGTTCCCTCGATCGATTCACCCCCCAAAACGTCGACCCGGCGGAAGATTTGGTTGACATAGTCCCAGTCATGTCCGACGCGGGTGGAAACAATGCGGGAAACGACCAGTCCCCGGGAGCTGGCAAGTCGAGTGCACCCAAGGATAGGAACTGCCCATTCTGTAGCCAAGCGTTTACCTCGTCGTCGCTTGGAAGACATTTGGACCTGTACATTAAAGAGAAAAACCCCAAGCCTGCCGATGGCGTGCACGATGTCGACCAGATCCGCAAGATGCGTGGGAGCATCACGAGGAGACAGCCGCGAGGATCTCTCGCGCGGCGGGATTCGTCCGTCCCCGGGACTCCGACTGCGTCAACGACGACGGCCAAGAGCCCGGCACCAGGATCCAGCCTGAAGCGGCCCTCGATCCCCAGAGAGGGCCAATACGTCGTGGACCAGACGCCCAAGTACCCCTTTCATACCAGTTGGGAAGCGACAGGTGTGATTAATGACATACCCACGGCCAATGCGGAGAGCTGGGATGAGAACATGAGCCAACAGCAGCCGGGGCAAGCCAGAAGAGCAAGTGCGCAAACACAACAACGGGCGCCCACCCGGGTGGCCCAGAGACAGCAACTGGACGCCCGGCAGAAGCTCACGGATGCTGTCGATACGGCGAGGGCAGCCGAGTTGGCCCTGAGGGAACTGCTTAGTTCATGGAGGGCAGCAAAGTCAGTCTACCATCTCAAAAATAATTTTGCCCATGGCGCTAATCTAGAGTGTGATTGCAGGCAGCAAATCGACATGAATTCCCTCCCCTTCGACTTCGATCCCCTCTCCCTCGATTTCCCTGCCCTCACACTGCAATGTCTCCAAGCGCCTCCCACTTTGTTTTCCTCGACTCCCCATCCCACATCTACGTCATGGTCAATACAGCCGCCCGCGCAGAAGCAGTTTGAGGCTCTGCGGATGTGGTTCGAGGAAGAATTCAGGAAATGGAGAGTAGCTTGCGCCGCCGCTACCACGGCTTCCACCGAAGACGTTCCGTACCCGCCCACCCACACACACGTACCTAATGATTTGCGAGAAAGTGTCCAGAAAGCTGAGAAGGCTGCTGCCATGCTCGAGAAGCAAGTCGACGAACACTTGCAGTCCACATACCAGGTGTGGGAACAGCTGCCTGTGCAGAGAAGAACCGAACTTTGGAGTCTAGAGTTGGCCAGGAGCGTTGGCCGGAGACAAAAGGAAATAGAGAAGCTGAAGGAGGCGCAGCATGCCATGAAGCAGGACAATGTCAACCTCAAGTCTCAGATCGACCAGCTCAACCACTTGCAGCAACCCAGAGAGTTTAGGATAATGCCACCAACCACTGTCCCCTTTGACCAATCCCTCGTGTCATACTGCTTGGAATTTGGCGTAAAGGGTGTGCACGGTCTCGGTCTAAACATAGACGATCGTCATCTGGACCTTGGTGCCCTGGTCTCCCGCGCTATTGAACGGTGGAAGAATGTCATCGTGGCTTCTAGAGGGGCTGCCGGCATGAATGCCCAGCGGCCATTGGAGCAACCAGCAACAACGACACCAGCCACGACGACACCGACCCCAGTGGCACAAACTCAACCTAAACCATTATCCAAGACACAACCGCCCCAACCAAGACAAATAATACCACCCACCACGCAAGGTCCGTCAAACGACTCGAGATCTACCACAACAGCTACAACAACATCAACTTCTGTCAACGACGAAGGAAGTGACCAAGATGCCGATGCCGATGCCGAAATGGAGGAGGACGACAGTCTTGCGCCCATCAGCACGCCCATCGTAGTCAAGCCACCCCAACAGCAGCAGGCGGAAGTACCGCAGACGAGGCAACACGCTCAACAGCGGTTAGCCGCCAACAACGATGCCCGTTTCGCCATGAATGGTGCTGGCAACATGGGCGGCAACCAAAGGATGAACATGAACCGACCCATGAACATGAATGCCGCCGCAATGCAAGCCCACAACCAGCGCGGGGGCCGTGTAATGACCAGTGGCGACTACAACCCGGTCGTCTCGGGCGTAGGCAGTGGTGACCCAATGTATATGGATTAGGATACTCCCCCCTGTGCCCGAGGGATGAAACTAGCGTTTTGCCGTTCGCAAGTTGGCCCATGGGGAGAGATTGGGATACGGAATGAAAGCTATTTGCAGCAGGATTTTTTGGGCAGTGCCGACTGTATGCATGATACGCATCCCTGGGCACAGCAAAGCTTGCATTATATGTGTTAACAAAAACTACAACTTGATGAACCGCATTTAAGTGTAATATTCAGTTGAGAAAGACTTGTGAATGTGGCTCTTTTGGTATACCTAATCGTTTTATCTTTGACGAAGCTCACCTCGTTGCTACGTGATTACGATGCTGGCATCAGGGTTGACACCTTGAGGGTGCAAACTCTGGTGAGACATCCATCCTATGAAGGGCCCTGCCCCAGATAAGATGCTGTTCACAATCGGCGGGGTTTGTCGTCCTGGCTGGAAACCTCCCCCTTCCCCCAAAGGAAGAAAAACCTGACCAGGAAAAAAGAAAAGGAGAGGAAAAGAAAACAGCTTGATCGCCAGCGGGGCTTTCGAGTAAACGGAACAATGTACATCATAAAATCACACTGGGTTACCTAATGAGACAATCCTGGTTCTGTTTTTATTCTTCCTTAAAAGAATGGAACAACCGGCGGTGTGGGGGGTGGGATGGGGCTGTAGTGCTGCTGGTGGACATACAAATGGTGCATTGCATAAGAAGTGATCTGCAGGATGAATCAGGAGTTCAGAGGCTAGGGGTTTGGTCGCAGGTAGCTTGGCTGAACTGTTCAACTGTTGTGCCGAAATCTCCATTGCGGTGCCAGCCTCACGAGTTGGGAAACTTCATTGATGATGCCAGGGCTCTGACATGTGGGATACACGACTCCGGATTTCCCGAAGGACTTCATGCTTCTTTGGCAATTTGAACACTTGACACAAGCAGTAGAATCATGGAGCTGAAAACATACGTATGTATATAAGCATAGAGAGCCGACAATCTAAAATACACGAAGCGATCGGAAGAATGTTTAACCTTGATCATCTTTTTCTTTTCTCTATAGCCAAACGAATGATTGACCCCGTTCCCAAAAGCAAACAACCATTGTGACCGGAAGTCTTCATTTTAAGCTCGAAACTGGTTTTCTCCTGGAAAGTGGCAGCTACGTGCAAATACAAAGAAAAAGAAACCAAAAAAGAGAAAACGCCGGGTAGCTCAGAACAAACAATGCAAGACGTGAGAAGGAATTTCATCTACAGGACATGACTGGACCCTGTGATTTAGACATGCAAACACACCACTTGACCATCACACTCATCAAAACGTAGGAGTGACCTTCTGAACATGATGATGTCCCTGCGCGGCCTGTTGCACAAGCCTAAACGTCCTCAACGACCCCCCACTCGTACTGGTCGCCGACCTCGTCCGGGAGGACTGCTGCTGCCCCGGGACCATAGCGAACGGCTGTCCCGCGGACAATTGACGCATGTGCATCGCCCTGGCCCTTCCATCGGCGCTGCTCGACCGCACGGATTGGCTGTGGCCCATCATATTAACTGGCGTCGTAGCCCGACTAGCGTTGGCGCGGGGCCGCACGTTGAGCTTGCCCATCATGGAGTTGATGGCGGATGCGGGATCGAGAGGCGGCGTGGCAGGGTAGTGATGATGCTGCATGCTCTGATGCGAAGACAAGGAGTGGCCGTGGTTGTCCATTCGGCGGTTGAAGCCGTAGGCGGACATGGCCTCGTTGGCAGTTAGGGGTGGGGAGTGGGACCTTGGGTAGACGCCAGTATGGCCCATGGGTATGCGGTTCGGTGAGCGACTGGACCCACGGCTCGACGGCGGGGTAATGGTGTCGGGCTGGGCTTGAATGCCCGTGACAGATGGGTGGTTGGCTAGGGCCTCCAAGCTGATGGGCATGGGTGGCATTTTGCTGAGGCGCCGGATGGCACGCATGTTCTTGTCGACGAACGAAGACATATTGCCCAGGGCCGTGGCGTTTTCGTGAGACTCGAAGGCGGAGGCGCCGTGCTTGGGTTGTTGCGTACGCGCGGTGTGCATCTGGTTCAGATCCATACGAGGAGTTGGTGTCGCGCGGCCCGGCTTGGGCACATTGGTGAGCGTCTGTTGAATCTGCGAGATGACGCGGTCGAAATCGACCGTGTTCTGCGCCTTCTGGGGCATGTATGATGGGGCTGCACCCAGGACGGTGTCCTGAGTGAGGATGAAGAAGCTGCCGTCGCGGATGCGTTGGCGCAGGAGATGCCAGCGACTCCGGGCAGGGTTGCGCTCAATCTCTGGCTTGTAAATGGAGTGCTGCGCCAGGTTGGAGTAGAATATCTCGAGACGCTTCGCCATGCGCTCCAGGACCTGCATCAGGAATGTGGAAATAGCCACGACGGCTTGGTTCCCGGTGGAGTCATCGAGTTCCGAGATGGAATCGAAGGCGTCCATACCATAGCATGCCTCCTGTCTGATGTCTTCCAAGAGAGCAATGTCGAGCTCGACAGACTTGCTTGCGTAGCTCATGATACCTCTCTCGTGGAATCGTGCGCTTTCACTGTCACGAATGAACTCGCCAATTAGCGATACCTGCTTCGATGTATTGATAGCGTCTTCCGAGGTCTTGGCTCGACCAATGACGCCGAGGACATCGGGCAGACGAGTTGACGCACCATCAGGTGCACTATTGGCCAAGCTGAAGGACAGCTTCAAGATCAACTCTTGGAACTTAGGTCCGAACATGGCACTGAAGCCACCTTGCAAGAGTCGAGACTGATATTGGTAGAAGGACCGCACACCCTTGACGCTGATCATGCTGCCCTGGAACCACATGGTAGATGAGTCAATTGAAGTGCCCATGTCGTTGCCCATCAATTTATTCATCTCGAACTGATGAGCGACCAACGTCTCGACCACAGTGCGCGTGTAGTCGAGCCACATGTCATAGAGTCCGCTGAGCTCGTCGATGCCGTGGTAATCGGGCTTCGGCGTTAGGTGGCCAATGAAGTACTTGGTCAGCAAACTTGCCACCTCGGGGTTGTTGGTATGTGCAAGATTGTCGAATGATCGCGAACAGTCAACACCGGCATTCGACTTGATGATGAGGGTGCCACCGGGGTGCATGGGGCAGAAGTCGGTGATGTCGTAAACTTTCCCATGGACGCCGATCCACATGCGAGAGTCGGGACGATGACCCGTGTGGAGGGCAAGCTGCGACTGGGGGATAGTGGGGAGGTTGCAAGGAAGGGGCTTGGGTGTCATGAAGACGTCCAGCATAATGCGTCTCTCAGCAAAGGCCGAATTGATGATGACATCGGTGGATTCCATCGTAGCAGTTCTGTTTCACTTTAGTAAGCGGCCGTTGTTAGGGAACAAGTATGTGTGTACGAACCTGTGGTTGTAGATAGCCTTGCGAAGACCCGCCATGACAGAGTCAAATACCGACACACTGCCGCAAATGTAGAGGTATCCACCGAGACCGCCCTGCTTTTTACTCATGACGAGATCACAAACTGTCTCGCCCTGCTCGGCAATAAGGGTGTCAATGTACCGGGGTGGGATATTCTTCTCAACTAAGTCCTTGGAATATCTGTCATATACCAGACCACGGCTGTCGCGAGAGAATGCAGTGTGGACCTCCATCTGGCCATTGTTGACGTACTCTCTGAGCTCCTGCTCATAGCAGAACTTCTCCCTGGATTGCACTCCGAGGTACAGAATGTTCCGACCCACAGTGCGGCCGATACGCGACTGCCAGAAGCTGCGGAATGGTGCGATTCCACTACCACCGGCGAAGAAGGCACAGGGAGCAGCGCCATCAAGCGGCAGCTGGAAAGCGACGGGACGCGAAACGCCAACCAGGATCTCCTCCTCGATCGGCATCAGCTCCTCGCTGGAAGTGACGGGAGGGTTGAGAAAGCCGCTGCTCACGCCACTTCGCTTGATCAGGTCCTGCCCTGCGAATGTTGAGCACACATCGTATTCGGCCCTGGATATGGTCAAGTCGACGGTGCTGGGAAGCAGCTCATCGGGATAGCTGGAGATGGAGTATGTTCGGGGTATTTCCACATCTATCAGATCTCCAAGCCAGCCGAGGGACCCTGTCAGGTCGAATGCCTGATCCCAGACGTGTGATGGAGTGTCCGCAACAGCAGCCTGCAGCAGGTCACCAAGAGATCCGCGGACAGGCCATTCGTCGGTTGCAAGTACTTGCAGCACCACATTGGATGATGCTCTGAGCATGTGGTGAACCTTGAGCACGAGTTCCTGCGTCAACGGGGCCAGATGACCCCGTCGCATGATGTCTCTGATGGATAGCTTCGGAACGGCTTTCCTTGAGACGGATCCTAGGTGCTCGGCGAATCTACTCCACTTCTGGTTGAGACTGATGGGGGTATCTAGCATGTCCTCGAAGCCCAGAGCGAGGGCAACCTTGGCACACTCTTCCCACGTGTTCAGAGGCATGATGGCCAGTCTGTCACCAGGCTGGAATGTTATGCCCGTATCTTGAATGTCTAGTGTGACCATGCTAATAGATCGATCGACGTCGTTGTCGACAAAAGACCGGCTGAGGATTCTCGTCTTATACCGGCATTCCTCGAAAGTTCCTCGCATCTGGTGCGGTTCCACGGCAATGTTGCCGCGGTAAGGCTCAAGTCTCTCCTTCATGGCCTCGGAGAATTGCTTATGGGTTTCCTCCCACGGACGTTGCTTGGCGCCCGCCTGGCCAGAGGCACCGTTGGTCTCTGTACGGCCAGTCTTGGCTGCCACTTCGAGGATTCCAAACACTTTGTAGCGGTGGACGCCCATGAAACCTCTTTCGCCCGTGTAAGCCTCAACGATTCCGTCGAATACGCCCATCAATCGAGGGTCACCCGACTTGGCGACGAACTCGGGAACACTGTAGTGGTACTCAACTGCGGCAATGAAGGCACGCAGGTTGGATGGTTGCCATGCTCGCAAATGAATGCCTTCGGCTCCTAAGAAAGAGCCATACTTTTTGCGGCCTAGGAAGGCGTCCATTAGGAGGTAAGGGGGGAATTGGAGTCCAGACGAGGCAGGGCATCGCTTGGACAGAGGGGCAGAAAACTTGGCCCACCGTACCCATTCGTCAGCGCTGACGAAGTTCTCGCCGGAGCTAGGATTTGGCGAGATGGTGTGGAAAGCGGCCGGCATGCGTTCAAGAATCTCCTTCAATCGAATCATTTCACGCAATAGGCCCTCCACGTTGCGGTTCATTACATGCTCTTGGCAGCTGGCAATGGCATCTGGGCCGTGCTGGAAAGAGGCTAGAAAAACTGTCAGTGGGGGGGTGTTTACTCCTTGACCAGGATTGCACAGCTTGCTTACCTGAAGTATCGGCGCAACCCTTCAAGAAAGCAATCTCGGACTGGTCGCCAAACATGGGCCATCGCAAATCCATGTTGTCGAAGCGGCCGACGTATGGATAAACTGATTTCGGATCCCTGATCCTGACGTTGTACGAAGACTGGTCGACAAACGTCAAGTGGGGAAGCGGCCTGCCCATACGCTTTGAAATTTGGACGTAAGGAAGACCAATGGTCTTGGGGATCCCCTTCACTTCTTCTAGGATATCGTCGCTCATTTCGACTTTGGGCTTATCCATCTTGGCGCCCATACTGACGCCTTCGTGTCCGTCGTGCTTGTCCTCGTATCGATAGATGGAACACAGAAGACCCAGGGCGACAAGAGCAGCCCAGAGAGCATCGTCCGGGATGACGTCCTCGGTACCTTCGATTAATGGCAAGGCGGCAACGGATTCCCGCACACGACCTCGGGAGACACACCCGGGCATTCTCTCGCACAAGTCCGACCAGACTCGGCCGGGTGTATTGGCCAAGGCGTTGACCGTCTCGTCCGGGTCCGGAGGCACGAAGCCGTATTCTGCTGATAGCCACCCATCGCGCCAGCCGGATTGTGGCCCAACCTCTTCAGCTCGGATGATTACCTGTCGAGCGGGTGCGCCCAAGGCGACGGCTAGCAAGTCATGTTCATTGGCCGTGAGACCGTCGATGTCTGTCGTTTCGTTCAGTTCCTTTATTGTGGGGATATCAGAGTACAATATTTCGTTGATGGCCTTGCGTTCTCTGAGTCGTAGCCAGTCTTCCGTCTCAACACCGTTGGGGATCTGGGCGGCGTAAGTATCAGTAGCCCATGACTTGGCGGCAGGATAAACTCACATTAAATGCTGTGCGAACGTCTCCTGGCTGAGTAAAGCCTGAAAAGGAACAACCTCTTGGACCGATACGGCTGCCTTTGGTACTTCCTTTTGCGCTGGGCAGGCCATGCATACCCGCTGGGCATCTCCCACCAGCAGAGCCGGACACGGGGCAAGATCGTTCTGACATGCTGAATGTGAATATGAATATAATTATAGCACCTGGCCTTTGTGGGTAAATAATAGCCACCAGGGCGTACGCAACAGTTCTACTGGGATAGAAGTAAGTAATATGCAGATTGAAGCCGACAGGAAATGAAGGAAGTTAACGGCTACAACAACAGAAATTTCATGATATTGGCTTGCAAGCAGGAGGAGAGAAGTATTGGTCGTTGTGAGAGGCCCCCTCTACTCAAAAATAGTTGCACGTTTTAGACACGGGCCCAACGAGGCCGGGGACGAATTCTTAAGACAGTCAAGCTCCCGTTTGTTACCATCTTGGGTTCAGACTAATTTCTGGAGAACTCGCAAGGGATCCTGATCATACAGAGGAGTATAACCACTCAAGCCATCCCTGGCGTACCCATCTGAGAAGGGAGAAGATGAGTGGCACACTAGTCCACTGCCAAGTTGCGTCTGATACATCGTCGGACGATGCCAAGCCTGCCAAATATATAGTCGGTACTCGCTGTCTAGTAAGATGGAATCCGTTGAACTGGTTGGAGGAGCTCAGGTGGGTTCGGCATGGGGGAGTTCGTTTGCACTTCGCAGCACATTTCCTAGCTGGGACGAACTGGGATGGAAGCTCTGTCAAACCACTATTAGCCTTGGCTCGACATCAGTGCTTGCACTATGTGAAAGCAGGCAAGGCAGGGGTCCCCAATTGTGGACTGTTTGGGGAGGGGGAAGAAACTGGGCGCCTAGGTATTCTCCTTTTGGTAGAGGATACGTAGTCCATGACATCCCCGATGCTATTATCGGAACTTCGAGTGGCATGCGGTGACGACTGTTTCTATGGGTGCCAACGGTGATAATACTAGGATTAGTGATGTCTTTGACACCCATTGCCGTTCTGCATTACGTTTTGCTGTTGCACACTCGGGTGGATATTGCAGTGCATTGTTTCGAATTCTCCGAAGGCTCCACACCAGAGCCTCAAGGTGTTCTGACGACGAACTCCAGGCATCCTCAGGCAGCGCGCAAATCTGGGTTTTTCTCGCGAAAAGTAGCGGCGAGCCAAGATATTCAGGCGCAGCATTGGCGTGGATTAAGGGCAAAGGTAATTGAAGTTTGTGCGTCATATGGCTTGGACGGAGAGAAATATGAAAATGGTCGTCGCCAACTTGCCAAGGACAGCTGGGCGCCCCAGTACGACCGTACGGGCGCAATTCCAGCAAATCATAGCGGCTGCTCATTTAATTCTGCAACGGGCCGCCACGCGTACCCTATAGTACTTGCGGGCTAATGTGGGTGAAGTTTGACTGCTATGCCCAAGCACGCCCAAGCAGGCCTGAGCAACCGATCATATGAAGATTGGAACAGGAGTCGTTGTGCGATGGTACTAGATCGACGGATGTGCCGCGACACCGCTGTTATCGCTCTGGCCTCTGGAGGAATCCAAAGGATAAAACAAAGATAAAAGTAGATGACCGGGGTTGGGTTTGACGTTACAACGGCAGTGCCGCAGAAAATGCTAGGGGTATGAAATATATTTAATGCCGATGCATCGCAAAAGATGGAGGACGTCGCACATTTCATGGAACCCCAGAAAGCATTAGGTAACAAGCTTAAATCCTAGTCCTAGGAACCCGGGTAGGCGGCTGACGGCACTAGTATGAGTGGGAAAGTTGTCATCCTCGTCAGTCAAACTCTTACTGGTACTGTTCCTGGACTCTAACGGCGTCAATCCGGCAATCCGACAGCGAATTTTGGACAGCGAATGATGTTGTTCATCCCGTCACATGTCCTGCATAACGGTTTCTTCTCTTGTCACCGGATCATTCTTAGAGCTGCTTTGACCGCGGGAGTTGCCGGTTCACATTCAGATTCTAGACTAGGAAGTCCCGGCCGCTGAGTCTGGCCATACACTTCTCTTCTTCAGACCCCACAAGCCCACGGAATCGACCCGTGTGTTTCGACTTCAAATCGATCATCGTTGTTGAAAGGCCTGGCGGCGAGTTGAAACATCCCGCTTGTGGATGGCACTGGGACGGCAAACTCGTCCATCTGTGCACAACCTAATGTTTTCGCTGCGACGTTTCCCGTTACACCGTTGGATTGTGTCCCTACAGTTCGGAGTACTTCTCTGTGGAATTTTCATCAGATAAACGTGCAAACATAGTATTGAGGGACCGGTTTTCCAGCGACCTGATTTATTCTGGGCTGATCCTCATGCATGATCGCCTCTTGATGCAAACCAGGTGGATAATGTGCAAGGGAAGAAACCTATTGCACAGGTAGTAGACTGTAGCAGTCAGTGCTGATTCTGCCGTCATGTTTCCCTGGGGCATGGCCATTCATTTTGCCTCCCAAGTTATATGTCACATTGTGGAAAGCTGAGCCCGCCCAGATTCTGTCATCTGATATCCCCCTGATCGTGATGATGTGCTATTAGTCCCTTGTCGAGAGCCTGCAGTTCGTATACGTAGTATAGTCCTGTCGCCGCAATACGGACCGTGCTTCATTGACCGAGTTGCATTTCATGGTAGACGACCTCTTCCACAAAGCTTCCAGTGGGGCCTCCACGTACTCTCAACTGCGGCATGCTCCATTTCTATCCATTTCGACGTTATGCCAGCATGCCAACCTCGAATTCATCCGATGTCTAATCTACCAGTCTGATATCAGCTATAACGCCCTAGACCTTAATTTATGCATAATAAAATGATCATAGTATGATAGTCTACAGCTTCTTTCCCTTCCCAGCTGCCGCCGTCCCCCCCAAGTAGTAGGTATGATGGAATCTGGTAGCGAAATCTCTATGTTTTAGCTGCTAAACCCAAGAAGTGCTACAAAAGTTATGCTAGTAAGTTTAAATGGTCTAACTTCCTTAAAATCTAATTTATCGCGTATTTATTTTGTTTTTATATTTTATGGTAGCAGGTCAACCTTAGCTCCTATTGGAAAGTTCCTTTGCTAACTCTTATCTTCTCTTAGTAGCACTTCATTCGACTCTAAGTAATTAATAAATCATACACAAGGCTTAACGTGAATGTACACCGAGCTGGCCACCCTTACATAACCTCGCATAGAAATTTTACGATAGTAAAACCACAACGCCGTAAATCAATTGAAACTACTCTGAATCTTCCTCTCCAGAAGATGGCAATGCGATCTTACAAGTTCACGCATTATGCCCAGTCCCGTTGCAAATACCACAGCGCCTCGGGCGCGTTTCAACACGCTTTGCGCGACCGCCATTTCGGCGCTCTTCTTGCTGTATCTGCGTCGCCAACTCCCTAGAGTCCCGTAGGTCCTGTCCTTCTTGGAAAATAAGTGATTCTCCTTCCCGTAATTGCATTTTTTTTAGTCCTCCGGCGCCGGCTTAGCATCTTATTTGCCTCTCCAAGCTCAGCGCACTCGGCCCGTACGAGGGCGAGCTCGTGCATTATCATTTTTGCTCCCTTCGCAAACTGGTCGACAGCTGAGAAAATATTTGCGACGTGCGACGAACCTCGAGGCCCAGCGCGTTCTAATGGGCCCTGCGTTACGTGTCGCGCGGATAGAATTTGCCATTGCTTCCACATCAGCAATCCGGGGCGGAAACGCTCGTGCATCTAAGTCCAGTATATGCTTGATAATGACCTCCTCTTCTAATTCTGTCATAGTTCGTGAATTGGGCAAAATATCGCGTCGGAAAGGTGCGCCGTTTTTACGCGTTTGGAGGGTGCTTCGGGGGACTTGGTACGTTTTTGCCGCTTGTCGGAGACTAAGTTTTTGGTCATTTTTGAGAGCTTGAAGGGCTAGCATTAAGTCTGCTTCGTTGTATGACTTTGCCATAATTGGTTGTTGAGAAAATCAAACATTAAGTTGGCCGGTCGCGTTGGCGCATGAAAGTGGCCAGCTCGGTGTACATTCACGTTACTAATAATTTTGATATAACTAATATCTGCATAGGATAGAGGCCATAGGTAAAGGGAATACCAGGTGCAAACAGTATGAGTTATAGCTAGCTAGTTACATTTACAAATAGAGCGAGGCAAGACGCTTCCTATTAGCCGAGTATAGCCGTGGATAAATTGTGGCCAAAACTGGGTAGGACCAATTAATCGTGCACGGTACGGTATAGAGGGGATAGTAGCTCCAAAATTGAGACATAGGGAGAACGTAGGAGACTAGCAGGTCAAGAAGTCGAAGGAAGCTATTAAATTGTCAGATCAGGAACAGCTAGGCGGCGGCAGTCAAGAGGTTTTGCACTGACGAATGCCTAAAGGGTCGGTTCGTCTCGCAGAGCAGGAAAGGCTTCCCCTGTACTGGAATAGCTGACGCGGATTCAGCAGGATTATATCCCAATCTACATATATTAGCATGGAATGCGGAGATAGACTGTCGCTGATCTATAATTGTATAAGTCGATAAACTGAGATATAGCCCGAGTACTAAAATTCGTGCCAAATCTATACGACAGGGGAGGCGATCTCGTTAAACCTAATGCAACTAATACTTCCCTGAATTAAGGTCGCGACCCGATCCTTTGACGAGATCGACCCCTCACTCGCATGAATAGTTTAAGGATCCAAACCCTTCATTTTTGGTTATTTTCCTTTTTCTGTTCACACTAGGCTTAGTAGTTTTATTGCCTTACCGAGCCTCCGCCTCCTGAAAGTTTGCCTTACCTGTTAGTAGATGATAATCGGTATTTTCGGAGGAAGAGAACATCTTATCATGTAATCTGTGATGCGGTTCATGCAAAGACGCGTTAAAACGTGAAATGAGCCGGTCCAAGGTTAAAGCAAGCGGTGGGTCGTAAATCAAGGGTATCAACAATAATGCATGAAGATAACTGCCTGGGTGGTGGGTAGTGGGGGCTTTTTGTATCCAGGCCGACAGGCTTACTAAGGTAGGGAAGGCTTTCCTTACCCCGAGGGCACACAAGCTGAGAATATTCCTCGTTTGGACCTATTAATAAAGGAAGCTACGCGCAACGCCATCGACTCTGTAATCCAATCAGCATGGAAGCAGCTTAAGGACTCGATTGATTCCTTTCAAAAGAGATGTTCAGATTAGGCAAATTACGGTTGATGCCTCCTGATGCGAGTGCATATGGGGTGTGAATTGTTGTATTGGGAAAGGATGGCCTGGCAGAGCACTTTTATAGCTCTTATCTATCTTATCTCTAGCTATAGGGCAACCCCCCATGGGGTCACGTATCATTAAGCCTTCCTCGTGGCTTAATAGTAACGGCTTACTAGACGTGGTATCGTAAGGTCTCGCGTAAGATACCGAATATACGTGCAACTTGTGCGAGGCTTTCCGTAGGGTTCGTTCGCGTTTAGCGCACAGCGTCCTATATCTTTAAAACCATCGCGATCGAAAAAATACTTCGGGTTAGTAAAGATATGGTAGTTTGGAGATCAGTTAGTCGAGAGATTGGCTAATTCGGTGTCCAGCACCAACTTATGTTAGTGAGCTTAAGCGAGTCCGAAATAAGTAATAAGTAGGGTGTGGCACGGGAACTGCTTAAGAAGATGGCGGAGGGGTCAGGGCCGAAAAACAAGTTCCCACGAGCCAGGGAGTCGAGACTTGTGGGCAGAAAACAGGCTCAGCGTGTTTATTAAGATGAGGAATCTCAAGAGAAATAGTCACAGCCGTTTGTAGGACCAGAGCTCCCCACGACAACTGTTAGGCAACCTTTGTGGGCTTTGCCAAGACCACCAAGGTTACCACATGACTTAGCCCTTTGGGACTAAGTCCAACCTTCGTGCTCGATAGCATTAGATAGAATGACATGCTTTTGAAACTTCACAAATATTCGACCACCATTGCATGTACCTCCCAAGCCAGTGTTCTGGGCACACGCTGATCGCGGACTGTTCGGCGAAGGAAGGCAAGACTATTGCACTGTGCCAATGGCGAAGTGATCGGAGTGATGGACATGGACAGGTAAACGTACACGTGCGTCCACAGAGTCAAACAAATGACGATGTCCTCCTAAGACGTAATGTAAGTGGCTGTGGTCACGCGATTATAGACCTCGAGAATTTGTGCGGAGGGCTGCTCGGTAGAAGCTGTGCGTCGTATTGTCTGGTAACAGGCAACACGTTGGTACAACAACAATGAAATACCGGGAATCTGGTGACAGAGAGTGTTATTTAGCTAAGACTGTAAGCGGTTCAAGAATCAGACAAACAAACAATGAACATGAATGAAGTTGAACGCCACATGTTATTATGGAGGGGTTCTTCTAGATAGCTGATCATCCGCGCTCACGTCATATTGCAAATCGAAAAGTATCATGCCTGGAAAAAACATGGAGATGATCAATTCGTGACTGAAATAGTTGCCTTGTGCGATATTTTGGTGTGCTGCACTAGAATCAGATACATCCAGATTCCTCCAGTCACAATCCATAGGTCGTGGCGACTTTGCAAGTCCAAACAGTCCTCAAGGCTAGCCACCTCGGTGACCAGGTATAACAAAGGTCACTGAAGTCCGTCCCTCTCCAAATTTGCCTTCTTTTGCTTTACTGTTCTTGATCTTTATCTCTCTACCTCTGTCTGCTCAGGAAAACAGAAGGCCATGGAGGGCGACATCAAAGCACAATCTTTGTGTCTTTGTTGGTGTGGAAACAGTATCTTTGTTGTTTTATGACGTATCCGAAGAAAGCCCAGCGTACACGGGTCCAGAAGTCGCATCATATTTAACATGGCGCGTCTGTCGATAAGGCTGGTTGGCGCTCGTCAACCTTGACAACCTTGTGCAAAGCTGTTATGGCGGAGGAACTTGTTGCCCAACTGCGACAGCAGCTAGAGGAAGCTGAGCAACGTGCATCACGGGAGCAGCGAGAAGGCAGAAGAGCAGACTCGACGAACAACACTGGATGAGTACATTGCAGCAACTCATGACCTAGTCTTTATTCACTTGACCGTCGAGACAGATAAGAAATTGACATCAACGGGTTCTACCACACACCCACGAAACAAACTGTGCCCAACACATCTAAGACCGTGGACCGACTTTCTAGAGCAATACCAAATCATCCTCGGTAAACTCTATGCCACCCCTTTCCCACTGCCGACCGGCTCTTTGAGTCCCAAAGCCTTTTGGACGGCCTAGGCCAAAGAATCTCCAAGCGGTTGATATCAAATGAGAAGAGTCTTGAGTTTCCTACACAATAGCGTTGAGGATCCAGTGCGGGAAATATTCGATCAACTTCGAGGCGTAGACAAGGTTAGGCGCGAGTTCCAAGTCGGCGACGGTATCATCTTTAAGAACCGCCTTAACACAATTAATGACATCGACAAAGAGGGTATACAGCGACAAGCCCCATCGACGCCAGACCAAGGCCGTTCCTCGGGCCAAATCCGTCCCGATCAGATATGCGTATACCGCGCTGACGATGGACCGTCGTCAAAACGTACTATGTTGTATGTGACCGAATACAAGGCTCCGCACAAACTCATCGCTCCCCACCTTCGGGCTGGCCTTCATCCCATGAACATATTTAAGGATGTTGTTAACCGAAAAACAATCCCTACTGCCGCCGATCCGGAAGCCCGATTTCAATATCATGCGGAAAGATTAGCTGCTGCCGCCCTAAGTCAAACTTATGACTACATGATCAAAGGCGGACTCGAGTACGGCGTATTGACAACCGGCGAAGCCATTGTTTTCCTCAAGATGGATTGGGATACCCCGGAAACGCTCTTCTATCATCTGGCCGAGCCCGTCCCCGAAGTCCCAGCCCGTCGATCGCATCCGGCCGAGCCCGGCCCCGAATTTGCAGCCCGTCTAACTGACGGTCGCTTCTACACAGCTGTTTGTCAGTACCTCGCTTTTAGCCTGATGGCCATCGGCCCGCCAGGCAAGGCGTTGCAAGCCCGTCTACAGGAGGGCCGTCGGCGTGCGATATTAGGCTTAATACGATGGGTCCAGGACTTTGAGACTACGTTGCGATCTATCCCGCCGAATGAGCGCATACCGCCAACACATTCTTCATACGCACCCACCATCCATTTAAGCGTGAGTAGATCGCCAGTCCTTCTCCCGAAGAAGGCTCGCCGCAAGAGTGTCGAAGATGTTCATCCCGGTAATCAGTCTAAGCGGAATAGCTCGAATGATGAATCCTCCGATGAGGAGTCGCCGCTCCGGATGCCTGATAGTCCCAGCCCATCCGAACCACGCTCGTGTGGCCACGCCCCAGGTGTTCGGCGCAGTGAGTGGATCCTGGCCCAACGACCACGAGGAGGGGGCGAACAAGGTCGGCAATATTACACCCAGAAATGCCTCCTCGGGCTCGTCCGAAATGGTCGGCTTGACAAGGATTGTCCCAATATTACGCTTCACCGGCAAGGGGTACCGCAAGGCCTTCGCCACCCAATCAACCATAAAGAGTTTCTTCGACTTTTGTACGAGCAGCTCAAGAAGTCCCTGGATGATGGCGTCATTCAACTTTATCTCGAGGGCTCGCGAGGCGTATTGTTCCAGGTCACCCTCCTCGCATACGGCTACACCTTCGTGAGAAAGGCCACGGTAACTGCGTTCATTCCCGACTTTCAGCACGAAGAGAGGGTCTACCAGCTGCTCGATCAAGAACAAGGGGTAAACGTCCCTGTCTTCTTGGGTACGGTAGATCTGAGGGAGATGGACAAGATATATTATTATGCTCATCGGGTTTACATCAAGTATATGATGTTCCTCTCGTGGGGGGGGGACGATTGACTCGTTCGTTACTGCAGAGGAGGTGAAGCGCTGTCTCGGTGCGATACATCAGGCGGGAGTGGTTCATGGAGACGTGCGAAGGGCGAACGTGCTACGCGATGCTCAGACCCGTAGGGTCATGATAATCGACTTTGAGCGGTCCATCATCAAACCAGTACGACGTCCACTTGACCAGGTGGTGCCCAATAAGCGGGTATGGACTCGCGAAGAGAACGGGGGGGGAGGCAAGGAGCGTTCACGTGGTCAACACCAAAGCAGGATTGGGTTTCACGACGATATTCTGGCGGTAGACATTGAGTTTTCTCGCTAAAGCCCTAGGTGAATTGTAATGATAATACGCTGTGTGCTAAAGTAAAAATAGCTTGCGATGAAAAGGCTGGGTTAGGTTTGCAACTCATCATATTTGACATGACAGAGATGTTGGTTCACGACCGGCCTATTTACAGAAAAATTTGATACTGATCTAATCTGAGTTTCATAAAAGCATCTCGTACATACCATTAATCTTATAAACCAGCAGCCTATCATGAATCGCACGATGGCGCCTTGCACTTCTCAAGCAGATAACGTGTTCGTACTAGCTCGAGAGGGTGATCTCGAATCAAATCCTTGCGGTAGTAGAACATGCAATTGATGATGCTTTTTCAATCTTTCGTAGGAGATGTTGCGATTGGCGAATTTTCCGCCGATGTTTTCTACCTGCAAATGATAGATAGATCTCTTAGTCTTATTTTGTCTCTGTTGTCATCGCGACGACAGCCTGATACTAGCACACGATCAACCGCAATATATCTGGAAAGGATGGGAGGACTTCGCAGGTATTATACAGCCACAATTCCGGACACGTTTACACCACGACTGGGGAGTTACTCTTGTCCAGCGTCATAACATTGTAGACTTTCAACAGAGAGGGAAACACAAGTGCGTTATATGCTATTAACCAAGTTTACGCACTCATATATAGATCTGTTAATTAAATATTTGACGCCAAGCTTCAGCACGGGAATCTCGTGAAACTCTGACCACCTCCCCCTTTATGCCGCCTCTGGTCGATATATGTCGTAAAGGCGCGGCTATTTATCGTTAGAAAATGGATACATTTATTTGCTGAACGCTCACAATTATATTTTCGACTTATTAAACTTAGGATTCCCCTTCGAGTGTTTAATAGTCTGGACGAGTCTTTCAACGCGTCTTTGCGTGAATCCCGCAGCATTATGCTGACTGAGGTCCATACCCAGGGGTCCAAGCATTTCTAGGCATCTGCTTTTTCCATTACGGAAATCCTAGTTTCGATGTACTATCCGGTAGAACTGAGCGATAGGTAACAGCGAGTCGTTTAGGTGAACTATATATCTATTATCTTTGCTCGATAGTCTGTTAAAAGACTACGCTGGACTTCGGCGATGTAAGAATCCAAAGTCTGGAATGTAGCTTCGGCTTCACGTATGTATCACTCCTCCGGTTCCTATCTGAGTATTTTTGAGCATGATATTGGCTAGACCATTTATCGGCTTGCGAGTGTGTCATCTATTAGGTTGGCTTTGCTGATGAGTTACACTAACGCAGTTCTGTTCTGCCAAGTATTTAACCTGATAGTACAAAGGGACTTGCAGGTATGCAGTCCGCATGTAGGTCAAGACTATCGTCACTCAGTCAATCCAAAAATGCCGTTCGCGAAGGCGCAGCAGACGTAGGAATAGCTTGCGGGTTTGTCTGCCGTGGATGAACTATGGGGCTGTTGTCACCATGTGAGAGGAGTTGGGAGTCACGAAGAACGGTACGGCAGGAATCCCAGATTCAGGTGCCATTTCAGGATTGAGAACTGTTATTCGACGCAGGGCTGAGATAAAACAGCCTAGATCAAGATGTCTTAACTATACATGCATCTGATGTTTGCGAGGGATCAGGACAGTACCCAATTCATAAAGCTTGACATGTCTCCTCTGTTGGAGATCAAGGTACCCTCTTTAGCTTCGGTATGTAGGAAAGGCTTTGGAAGGAGACAGGTGGCGAGGGAAAAGTGTCGACACCGTTCCTTGAAGTCGGGGATATTACACCCTGTGTGGCCAGGACTCCCTTTGGCTGCATAAAACCCCGCTTTGTCCTGGGAATAGAGGCGAAGAGGTCGCTGGCTAATAGAGCCCGGAGTGTGCGATGTCCTGGGATCAAAGCACCTGCATGATATAGCCAGGGGTCACGCAGCCAACCACACCCATTCGACCTCAAGTACGTTCGATCTAATTGGTTACCCAGTGACTGGGTCAGGTCTAGTTGTAGGTCGGCGTATCTGACAAGTGACCAGGCGCCGGTTTCTCTTGTCACCAATTGAAGGGATAACATGATGTCAGGCACACAGCAACCAGCAGTCTAAGCTCCGTCTGGCACAATCTATGTCCGATATGCAAGATGACCCTCATCTTCCGATTAGCGACTATTGTCCCATGACAGTAGTAATATTATAAAAACAAGATAGGTCCTAACTCGTCGTCTACTTCGCCAGTAGGAAATTGGATTGTTCTGTGACAATGGCGTCTCCAATCCCTGCCAACGTCTGGTTGCCAGGCTTGATGGTACTTAAGGATTCAATGCGCATCCACCTGAGCGAGTCTCAAGTCAAGTTTGAAAATGCGGTAGTGCGGTCCGCCTTCTACTTCATCCACGATGCTGTAAAGGAGTTGGAGAACGATCATACTCAAAAGGCGATAGGGATATTGCTTTCGTAATTTCTGAAACTCTCTCTACCACAAAGCACAGATTAGCCGCGCAACATTCATATCGGAGGGAGCAAACCCTTAACGCAATCAGATGTTGTTTGCTAGGCTTCGTGTTTCCCTTCGACCCGACCATTACGTCGATACAAATTCCTGCGCACCAACTTATGAGCAAACCAGATATCTCCGCAAGGTCAAATTATTATCCTCCACGCCAGCAATACAGCAGTAGCAAGATACTCATTACAATAAAAACTCTATTCTTCTGATTGAAAAACTTACATTTTAGTATCACTTGAAAGTCTTACTATCTTTACTGCTTAACCTCGAGGCCTTGATCGAGTGCCAGGCGTTAACACAGTCGCCATGAGAGGGCCTAGGTGTTCTAATGCATATGCCCCTATGTCTGTCAACATTGATCCATGGAGTTGTTTGTGTGAGTGGTCAGTAACTTTAGCTTGCAGTTTACGTATCACAGAGTGACGCAATTGGAAATTACAGCCAGCGTATATCATCAGATATCCATAAGGTAACTTAGATATAAAGATAAATGTAGGCTCTTCTTGTATCCACTTAAATCAGTCCCACCACAGCCTGTTCGACGATGAAACGAAAGGAGTTATGGGAAAGAGGGGTGGAAATGGAAGTCCTTTTTACTTGGAAAGAAGCATGAAAATCATTTCTACGTCATTCAAATTGTTGTCCTGTAGCCTTGGTTCAAAAATTCAGTGTTGGATTCCGCATAATTGTGTAGTCGATTCCTTGCGTGGTACCTGGAAAAGTCCATGCACGTTCGATCGTGTTTAACATCACAGCATCAGGTTGATACGTTTCACTGTGTTCCTAGACCCTGGTCCTATTTTTTAACATTCCAATTCTACATTTATACGACAACTCTATTATGGTGAGGCAATTTCTGCACACAAAGAGATGGTGACGTTATCCTCGGCGAGCCCAGTCTACTTTCATAGTAGGAATGATATATCATTAATATACTTCACTTCAACATCAACCACAGTCCAAAGGAGCTTCGTGCTTAGGAAAACAACTGCTGCTCTACATGATTACAACATACCACAATCGAACCCGTGTAATCTCTCCTAAACTTCAGCAATCAGATGCCTTCACAATGACATTCCACCCATCGGTTTTGTGGAAAGCTTGACCTGTTCACCCTTGATCAATCATTGAGCGCTATTTCGATCACTCGGAATTGATTACCTTTGACCACGGGATATGATCCCATCGAGTCCTCCTTCTCCGTATAACAGGTTTGTGCAATTTGTCCAGCAAAATCCGACACAGTCGTCCAAGAGGTTGTGAAGGTGGTTGGATTGTCATTGCAGACAAAGATGCCTGTGTTGTAGGAGCAACTGACGCGACCACAAACATTGGGACCCGGAGGCATACGGTTCTCATCCTCGACATCATGCAAGTAATTGATTCCCTCACATACGGCATCTTTCCCAGCAGTGTCGGCATCGCTTTGCATACACAACAATTTCTACGTCTGTCAGCTAGTGCATGGAGTATGGCTCAACTGGCCTGGGTCAAAGGACTCACTTACGATGTCATTCCTTGCAGCGAGAACAGGGCAGTCGGCAGCGACTTTTGCATATCGGCTGCAACTCTTGCCCAAAGTTAGGTTGATTCTATCACTGTGGGAGCCGTATGGACATACAAGTGCAGAGATAGCAGCCGGGGCAGTCACCACGACGCATAATAGGACGAAGCGCATTGTGGCTGGTGTCTAATTGAGTGTGTGATGGACATAAGAGACAGTAAGCTTATTTTTTTAAGACGATGTTCGACGCTGATTGGGGATTTTCCAGAACTACCTTTATAGTCCATAGAAGTGAGATCCGCTCACGGCTATGACCACCATCCTGTTTGCTTGATATAGTCCCATGCATGGGATCGATAGTCTCCAAGAATCACCAGGAAGGCCGGTTTATTCTTCTCGGTGTTCCCGTCTCCTAATACAGCTTACTGCACCTTCCGAGCCTTGATCCTGTGATCCCTTGCGTCGCTGGATGTTAGGCACACGTCACTGTCTCGCACATTGCAGTTGCTGTACCACGTACCAACCTACCTACCGTGCTTACGATATGGACGCGTTTGATTTATACGTTGTAAAACTCTATGCAGCATGGACTATCGCAGCACATTTTTTTTACCGCTTTATAATCACTGGCCAACGGTGTCTCCGGTGAAAACATATAAACCAATATATGCTGGTGTTTGATACGCTGGAGAGAAACATTAGTAAGAGACCTCGATCTTATCACTCTTAGCCTTTAAACCTGCATACTCAAGCTTCACATTAGCCATACGTTGTGCCACATCGATCTCTCATTGAAAAAAGGCTTGGAGTGAGTAGACTGCCAGAATGCAGGCTTATGATGCACACTACAAAGGCCATTTATCCGTTGACTATGATCTTTGGTCAAATGTTCGAAGAAAGAGTAGTAATATTTAGGTGTCTTCTTTCCTATTGATTTACGCACAAAATATCCCGCCACGCGACATAGTCAATCATTTTCTGTGTCCCTATCCAAAACTGTCCTATGTTGCACTTCTTTGATATAACGCCGCCTTCCCATCGAGTCAATCCATCTCATATATTACCCCCCTCGCAAGCAATGACTATCGTAGGAAATGATGAATTTGACCTTCCTGAGAACTTGGTTACCACCGGGCAGAGGAAACGGCTCTGGTGGCCTTTGAACTAGCACACATGAGTACATGCGGACACGGCGCATGTATGCATATCTTAGAAGACTCATAATGAGCTCCTTGGATGATGGATTTCTCGATCGTCAGCCGAAATCCACCCACGGTGGGAGAATGAGAGGCCCACCGGCAGTTGATCACCGATTCTTCCTGAAGAGAACCAGAAGCTGAAGGAGGTCCAGAAAGTTATGAAGACGGAACACCAGTTTCCCACAACGTAAGAGACTCCAGTATGGACGTTTTCTTGCCAATGAACATCCTAATAAGGGGTATACTATGAAGATGTACAAGTACTGTACCCATCAGTGGGGGTTAAGGAAGAACCTGAGCACCAGCCTGGTCGAACAAATTATACGCCAGCAAGGCAGCAACATGGTCGACTCTTCTATTTAGGTACAGCCTGTCAAATCAAGCTGAATTAGAAAGTATATTTGTCGGGTATCAGTGAAGACTTCGAAGCAGACTACCTCGGCAGATCCGGATGAACCCAACCTGCAGACCAATGCTATGGACTGCCTCACCCAGTCTCGACTTGGTCGAGCCTCTATGCAGATACTAACCTACCTGGTAGCAGCCGATGGCTCTGGGGTCGTAGAGCAGAGCTTGTTGATAATTCGGAATCATTTTTCTGGAGATTTCGATGCCAAGATATGGAAGACGAATTCTGATGGTGTATCTTCCATCAGGGGCATTGGGATGCTAGAAGTACCGTATGCATGGATTGGACCCGTCGCATGCGCCTCGCCTGGATCTTATTTGCCTCTGGGGGATTCTACAGGGATTCTATTTGGTTAACCATTGCCTCGGTCAGTTGAACGCCCTCCTGAGATAAAATGATCCCATGCTATCGTTTCACTTGTCCGGGATGCCGTCGATCTGGCTATAGTCAACGTATCTGCGCGCTGGCAGCAATTGGACACCGCCCTCTTCGATCAACCTTCGCTAGATTGCGACAGCTTCCCTTGATGGAAGTACTTCAACATTCACCCACTGTCGTCAACGCCTATTTCAAAATCATGACTGGACTCTCTCGGACGCTGTCCCTCGTACACGACATGCTAGCGACTACCTTTAACATTAACGATGTTCTCGTCATTTCCGGATCAAACGCTCCGAAACAGTTCGAAAAGAGTTCTATGCAAAATACCATTACCAGGGTTTCCGCAAGCGAGAACTTGGCATCAGACGGGAGGGTCGGCCCCTTTGTGAGAAAGGCACAGGCATGGATGCACTTAACTGATGGATAGATGGGGATGAGTATGCCTATGCATTCCTCGAACAGAAGTTGCGAACGACAGGCGATACTCATAGCGCTGAAGACATTGCTCGGAGGTTTGACTCCCAGTGGAAAGTATTGTGTGCTAGAGGTTGCAGGACGTGAGGGCTCTAGGAATCACTTACCGTCTCACGGAATGACTCTTGGAGTCGTCAAGAACTAGAGGGAGCCGGTATTCAGCTGTATTTTCAAATTGTATCTCACACAAATCTCGGATCAACCCAGCCAACCCCAGTACATCCCTGGTGGGGAGGTTCACACGCTAGTGCGCTACACAGCTAGTCAGTACCCCAGAACTCACCTGGTGGATACTGGTTGGGTTGATCCAAGTCTTAATCTCATAGTTGCAAATGTAAAGCGCAAATATAATTACACGTAATGTGGGGAAACCTCTCGGAAGTATCGAGGGGAACAGAGCTGTTTCAAGCTGGTTTCCTTGTTTGCGTGACAAAAGACTGTAAATTTCTCAGAGATAGCAGATATAAGAACTATGCAAATCGAGCCATCGATCCCGTCGAAGCTAACAATCCTAATGGCGATAATTCGTACACTCTGCTAGATTCGTGATTTGTACCTCCTGTCAAACAAACAAGAAAGGGATACAATGGTAGCACACGCTTCAGTCGTATAAGAGTTGATTCTCGTTCAAATCACAAGACACGGCGAGCAACCCGCTTAGCCGTGCCAGTGGTAGGGGTTGTCGTAGTGGCAGCGCACAGGGTCTGGATCTCCTGGACATCTACATCGAAGTTAGTCATCATACTCCTTTGTCTTGCCACCAGGAAAATTTACCATCATCAGTGCTCCCATTCGTCGTGAGGCAAGTCTGGCACTCTCCGGCAACAGTAAGCACGTCAAAGGTCGTGTTGTTGCAGATGCAGTCCTTTTCCGTGGCGTCCTCAGCAGCATCATCAGCATCTCTAGCAATCTTTTTGGTAACGTGGCGGGAGAGGAGAAGACTGCGGCGCTTGTCGGGGACGTCGCAGGTATTAGTCAGGTCGACGAGCTGCTAGCAGGTGGTTGTGCAGGCTGCGGGAATGTCGTTGCCATCGACGGCCATAACGAGGGCGTTGGGGACCATGGCGACCAGGAAAGCGAGGGTGATGGCGTACCGCATTTTGAAGGTTATTGGTGTTGATTGTTGAAAGTGTTTTTGGGAAAGATGCGAAGAAGTTGAGGCTGGGTTGGATGATTTGACTGATGCTGTTGGGTTGATGAGTATGATGAAGAATAATTTCAGGCTGCTGAGAGTAATTCAAGGCTTTCTTATATACTATTTGTCTATTTTTATTCGTATATCGATCTGCTAAGGCTGTCCGTACGGGTATACTCGTACGCAGATCCCTGACTGACAAGCTCAAAAGCGGAAGCCAAGACTATGGCTATACTCTTGGCGCGACCTATTGCATTGAGTATCCGTCACTCTCGAACAGAACTAAGGCAAATCAATTTGGTATTCGCACAGACTGAGTCATCCGATAGCCGGTTCGCAAAGTCTATTTCACCCCAGGCAATGAATGAATCGAGGCGGGTAATAGCTCCACCACAGGGAGATCTGCTTCTGACACTCGTCCCATGCTACCAGAATGAGCCAAGAAAAATTTGTCTCTAGTATTAGAGTTGCCAAGTCATACGCATTCAAAAGACTAAAGCGCGTTCATTGGGCCATCCCCTTCCGTCATAGCCTCCCCAACATGGAAGGCGGGATATGTTTTACTTGAGCTCTGTTTCTGATCGAATGCTCTTCTGGATGACCTCATGTCATGTTGCCAGGTGCAAATAAGCCACAGTGGCTTATAGGCCTTACTTAGTCATAGGGTTCTGGTGGATTGCGGGTCCTGGCATAGGCCAGGGCCAACAAGCAATGCATAAATAGGTAATGTTGGCCCCCTCTGTTGAGGGGGGGCAGCGATTAACTTGTTGTAATTGAGACCCCTACATGACACAGCCGGTGCCTACCTGGTGCTCAGCAACCGACCTTCTCTAGCACGCTCGTCCTTCATTCTGTACTTGAATACCCGTGACACATGTTGAACGCCTGGAAGCCTTAGACTGACTCAACTTGAGTGCAATCCGGACTTGCCGATGGATTCCCTGGTCCTATTTGAACGTTTGGGTATAGGGGTCAATATACATTGGCTTCATGGTGTCGCGTGATCTTTTGCCTTGATGGGCAGCTCTTATCGTAAGAGCTGCCGTTTCATCGGATTTTCTGTTAGTCCAAGGAACCTGTGAGCTCCAAATACGACACCCAGATTAAGTCCTATGACATCTACGACTGAGTGACCCTGTTCTTCTTGGACTTGGCTATGACAGCGCCTTGTTGCGTTTATTTTCCTGTTTTCTTGTTTCTAGCTCCTCGGTCTTATCAAAACCTTCTCCAAAAGCACTACAAGCTAATGATCGACCCCTCGAATTCTCCAAAATGTGCTGTGCCACAGGATTGCGTACTCGCCGTTCTCACGAGTGTCGGTGGTTCTCCCTGGTACGAGATCTGTTGATTATGCAAGTATTTACTTTATCACAGTCCAAGATGGGAGCCGTGGCAGGTGTCTCTCAAAGATCTTCAACTTTAGCTGTGAGATCGTGGCGACCTTGACTTAATCGCTTCCTTTTCCATTTCTGGTTACAAATTTGAAGTTGGTTCATGCTAATGACCACTCTGCAAGTGTGTCAGGGTACGGCTAGGCCGAAGGCAATAGTACAGAGTGATGGGGAGTAACGGGCGTCCCTCCTACGTAGCACCGGGTGGTCACTGGCGGTCTCAGGTAGGGGTGCCCACGATGATGCATTGATCTCTACTCTCCCTCTATCTTCTTCCCGGGCCTCCGCCCCTTACATAGATAGCTAGAACCCAACGTCGGAGCCGCGGAGCACTAGTTTCTCCGATTGTTCCGCAAACCAAGACTTCCATATCGTGTTATGACTCGCACATCCCTACACCAGAGCCCCACCGGTATCCCACTGGTGCCTATGGCATTCTGTTCTCTGACAAAGTGGTCACGCAGTTATCTTATCACCGTTGGAGACCGCGTCTTTCGGCAGTATATAAAATAAAATGATCCCCGCAGCAGATCTCGCCTATGTGTGCTGCTGGAGCAGTACATATGTAGCGTACTGGCGAGATGCAGTCACAAATCTAGGTTTGAGGTGGACTGGAACCAAGTGGTGTGGCTAAGCACGAACCACTGACAAGGTCTGAACATCACGCAGCACGCATTAAGAGATTGCCCCGTGGGTCTATAAATTCGCTTCGATGAGTTTGTGATGTCATGGAGATTGGTGCCTGGTGCATATCTCATTTATCAGTCAGGGGTTGTAGGTAGCAAAGCAGACCTAAACCAAATGCATTCATAACCGAGAGGCTTCCCAAATCGACCTGCAGAAAAGAGTTAGAGATGATGACAACCTTCGGCGGTGAACAAGGATTAGTCGGGCCAAATCATCTTATCTGATGATCTGATAAGATTGTGCGACATCCTCCCCGTCAGCTCCGGCTTCGCTTCTTTTTCCTATAAGTTGCATCGTGCCCGCTGTCCTGTCCATGATCGTTGACCCGGTGCCAATCAACTTCGCAAGCTTTCACCTTTCGGGTAGAAGCTCGCAATCAAAATGGCTTCAGTCCATCACAACCAGGTCGCACCCGATGAAGTAGTTCCGGTTGCAGCTATTACAGCTGCCCCGGACATTGAAATGGCTCCCATGCACCCCGCCCCAGCCGCAAAAGATAGCGATCTCGACCCCTTCCTCGTTGCATTCGAAGAACCCTTTGACGCTGCCAACCCTAAGAACTGGCCCACCAGCCGCAAGTGGGCCATGACCGACGTGCTCTCGGCGACCGGCTTCAACCGCATCATGGTGTCCACCATCATGGCGCCAGCATTGTCGCTGATCGCCACAGAGCTGCACATGAACTCGGCCGAGTCGGTCATGGCCTTGTCCATCTATCTTCTCGCTACCGCGTTTGGCCCATTGGTGATGGGGCCTCTGTCGGAAATCTACGGCAGGAAAACGGTGCTGCATGTTTCCAATGTCTGGTTTCTTGTCTGGAATATCGCATGCGGGTTTGCGACTACTAAGGAGCTACTTATCGCTACTCGATTTCTGGCTGGGTTCGGTGCAAGCTCAATTTACGCGCTCGCCGGTGGTGTACTAGGAGACGTCTGGCGGCCGGAGCAACGTGGCCGCTCGCTCGGGACATACTTGCTTATTCCATTGCTTGGTGCTGCTGTCGGCAAGTCAAAATTATACTTGCACGCACAATATACCAAATAGCTGACATATGATATAGGGCCCATAATTGGAGGTTTCATGGCGGGTCGTACCACGTGGCGCTGGTTGTTTTGGTCGACTTCCATCTTCCAAGCCGTCATGATATTGGTCTCCTTTACCACGTTTTGTGAGACGCATGCTCCAACTATCCTCCAGCGTCGAGCCGAAAAGCTCCGGCGTGAGACTGGGAACCAGCAGTACTACACGATACATGAGCGATTCGACGGTAATAAGTCTCTCGCTCAGGTCATCCAACGTGCTCTGACTCGGCCTCTTCGCCTTCTGGCCTTTCACCCTATCATCCAGGTTTCGTCTGTCATATCTGCCTTTAACTACGGAATTCTGGTAACAGCTCTCCTGAACCATTTATCTTTCTCTTTCTCTCGGTAGGCTCGGGGATAGGGTTTCCTCAATTCACGTTGGGGAGTTTACGCCATTGGGACGCAAATTGAACCTATCAAGTCTTAGCCCGTTTCTTATGGGAATTTCTACTAATTCCACTTCAGTATATCATCTTGTCAAGCTTCGCCGACCTCTGGACGCAGCACTACCACCAGTCCGTCGAAATCAGCGGCCTGCATTACATCGCCTGTGCTCTCGGCGAAATAGCCGGTTCCCAACTCGGAGGTCCGCTCATGGACGTTCTCTTCCGCCGTCTCAAGGCCCACGCCAAGGGCGAACACACTCCTGAGTTCCGCATCCCCCTGATCTTCCCTGGTGCTTTGCTCGGCCCACTCGGCCTATTCATCTACGCATGGACGGCTGAGTACCGTGTCCATTGGATTGCGGTAGATATCGGCATTTTCATCACTATGTTCGGTGGCCAGATTACAAGCATGCCCATGCAAGCCTACGTTATTGACGCGTACCCGGATCATACGAGTAGTGCCATAGCGGCGGTGCAGTTCATGAAGAGTTTGACCGCTTTCTTGTTTCCTTTATTCGTACCGGCTATGTATAATGCTCTGGGGTATGGGTGGGGTAGCAGTACCTTGGCCTTCGCTGGGTTGCTCATTGGGTTGCCAGCTCCGTTGATTGTGTGGCTGTATGGCGCGAAGCTGCGGGCCAAGGCAGCTTCGAGCTACTAATCTTCCGGGGAGATTCTCAAATCCGCCTTGCGCTCGGAGAATTTCATAAGTTTTTGATGTTTGGCATAAACGGAAATATAAGTTTAAGAATAGGGGAGGAGGTGCCAGGCGAGTTGACCGTCTGATATGGATAGTTTCAAGTTTGTTTATGTGGAAATTAAGCATACAGGGGTGGTTGGAGTCGTGATTCAAGTGCATAAAAAGGTTGTACGTTCAAGGCGTACGGAGAGCTGGCCGCATGCGATTAGTGCAACGCCAAGAGCGAACAATATAGCTTCGGAGACTTCCCGGTTCCTTTTTGTCAACGAAACCATTGTAGTTCAAAGTCCAACGATGCGGTAAGGGATTCAGTCTAAGAAAGTCTCCGCTGTAGGCTTGTAGAAGGCAAATGTGTCCGAGAACATCTATAAACAAGTCGTGGCCGCATCACATTGGAGCCAATTCGGCCAACAGACAAAGCGACATATCCATAAACCTCATAACATTGTATACCACAGTCGCTCCGCAAATCCCAAAAGATGGATACAGAAAAGTTGACGCAGTACAACCGCGAGTTCTTTGAGTAGGTATCTCTACAGTACACTTGGGCTTACATTTGGCTGTCTTGTAACTAATCTTTCCCAGCAAAGCCGCGGAGTCATTGATATTTGAGACTCCCTGGATCCGGGACCTCGTCAACCACATCATTGACTTTATTCGTGAAAATAAGGAATGGATCGGCGTCTTCAAAGACCCAAACTGCCCTGAACAGGGTTTGAAAATGCTGGATTACGCCTGCGGTGATGGTGCCGCCTCCAAGGTGAGAGAACGCTGCCTTTTCTTCTTCTTTTTTCCTTTTTGATTCCTCTTCCCCTTACAACACTCACTAACCGCCCCCCCAGGCTTTGATTTCCTCCTTCTCCGTATTCCGAGGCATCGACATCTCCAGCGGCATGGTCTCGCAGTACAACGCCACCGGCCAATCTCAAGGCTTCTCTCCACAAACCTGGTACGCCGTCCAAGGAAACCTACTCGAGGACTCCGAAGCGCTCAAGGACCCCGATCTCCAGGATTTCGACCTAGTGGTCATATCAATGGCACTTCACCACGTCCCGCCCCAGGAAATGGTACACAAGCTGGCCGGGTGCCTGCGACCTGGCGGGACGCTGCTCGTGATTGATTTTGTCAAGTTTGAGGTATCGGGTGGGGATCTCCCGGCTGTGCATACTATGACGCGGCATGGATTTACGAAGCAAGAGGTTCTAGATTTGTTTGCTGGGGCGAAGTTGCAGGATGAGGGACATATATTGCATCCGGAAATGACGACGGTGCCGGATATGATGGGTGGGAAGCAGCGACTGTTTCTTGCTAGGGCGAGGACGGCATTGGGTAGCAAATGATCTTTCCAAGATGAAGGTCGGCTTAGACAAACGAAGGTATGGAATTGGAATGAACTGAGGAATGCTTTTTCCGAACCAACCAATTCTACAATCCAAGTCAATTACGAGGCGGTGTCAAAGAACAGAAGTAGGTCGTTTTAATGCCTTTTCTTTTTGTCCTTTTAGCTACAGACCACCTGCTCTTACTGGTCAAACCCAAGAGTCAACCTCAGCTTCGTCGAATAAAAACAACCAACATGATGGTCCGCCATTGTCCGATATAGTAGGGTAATTGTGACCATATTTCGTCACAAGCTGGCACTTTTTGGTGTAATAACTTTGTAGGCCCAACGACTCGTATTCCTCGAAATATGTGGCGAGGAGGACGGATTTCAAAATACGACATGAGAATAAAGTGATTGAAAATAACATACTGGTGTCTCGCGTTGAGGCAGGCTGCATTCGTTACATAAGCCGTCGCCGCGGCTTGGTTGTCGTTATTGTTCGCATTATTGGTATTGTTGCCGCCTCTGCCTGTTTCTAACCAAGTCAGAAATCGCTCGACGGTATCAACGCTATTCAGAGTTTCTCCACGATCTATCAAACTTACCCTTGCGGTGATGGGGCTCAATGGCGATGGCAGAGACCGAGATGGCCAGGAGTATAATTACGAAGAACTTCGTTTTGAAATGGAGGTGGCGGTTGAGTGAAAGCGGGAGAGGGTTGGAGGAAAGTGGACAAAGACAAGAAGACAAATGGGCCAGCCACAGCAGAATGAGGAAATGATAGAAAGACCGAAGAGGAAATCAGGGAAGACGGGACTGGATGATGGAAGGGAGACTGACTTGGCTACAGATGCATCACGACTTACTTACATACGAAAAGTTAGCGGCCGACATCGACCGTGCCATCTCAACCGTGTAAGCCTATTCGCAGGGCACTCATTCAATGTTTGCGAACCTGCGGTATAACTGTGCTGTGGTTATTCTTTGAGGTGTGTACTGTTACTCTGGCAGATTTTCGCGATGTCTCAACATGATATTGAGGCAGTGCTTATGATCTAAAGCTGGTATTGGAAGCTGTGCAAGTCGTTTGGTGTGGGGTATAGGCGTTTCAAAACCTGGGGGTGACCAGGGTTGTCTTGGGGTAGTTGGTGCCGAGCTTTCGCGACAGGTCTCTACCCCCATGGCCATTTCTAGGCGTTCGGACGAGTCATGTGCCAGACTTTGTTTCAACAAGAATTTCGGAATTAGTGCAACCTGTAGTATGCGCCTCCCGGCAGTCTGGAGAAGCCATGTTGTGATTCCGACGAATAGTGAAGCCCTGGCTACCATGTCTTTCTCGTTTCGGCAGGAAGTTACTAGGAACCCATGCATGATTACTGCATGCTTGGGTTTGCAGGCGGCTCTTCAGCTTCGATTGATGTGTGAAATGCCTATACAGTGCCAGAAGCTACACCTGGCGACTCTAGAAAACCGGGGTGCCCAGCAACATGAAAACAGTTGTTCCTGCTGGATGCACTGCCTTCACTTTGAAGCTAGGTTGAGAATATCTCCTGACCACGTGCCTTGCAATCATCGTGGGCTGACAATTATGGTTTTGTTGGTCATGTCAAGGGGACATGGTGGATCGTGACAGTTGGGTAGAATCCGACGCGCTTCAATGTTGTGTTATTGTATCTGCGTGCCATGCTATCCTCTTGTGTGTCTACATATGACTAAGCTTAGACGGAGAACGAGAGACTCACGCAAGTGCTGTTCTTACTGGCAAAAATTGGCAGATGACAGAGACGAGTTTGACATTGGGCGGGGGACTTGAAAAGGAAGTTCGAACCCGCACCTCCAGATAGCTCCAGAATGGTCAGAGAGAACTTGTTCTGTTGATTCCATCTTTTGAAACTACTCGGCTAAGGGATATAGGCTGTGGAAAGACGATACCTTGTGATTACGTCAGACGTGAAGTAGATTGCTGCTAAAACTAGAGTCTCGGTTGTAAACGCTGTCATGTGTTCTCAGTGACTACTTGTGGTCATTTTCGAGTGTTTTACAGCTTTCAGTTTTTCAATCTTGGTGAACTTCAAATTAGGGAGCAATACAACACGAAGAAGGACGGATGGTGAGTTCTATTCCAAGAATAAACGGTCTCATTTTAATTTTCTGCATCGATGCATCGCAGAGATCAAAGTTATGTCAACAACCACACACCATGCGGTCTGAATGCTCTCCCCTAAACAGGCGGACAAGGTTGATGTTGGTGTAGTAAGTTTGGGTCTTGGCTCGAGCATAGCAGAAGTAAATGCACGCCACATTCGGCATCGCCGTACTTGGCGCGTTCTAGACAAAGCATTGGATGAGATTGACAGAAATCGATACCGTAACCCAGTGGCTGGGAGGCTGAAAACTAAAACAACGTCTGTGGAATGACGACGCATATTTTCCCATCTTCTGGGTTGAAACGCAAGAACAAGACCTTCACGTATGACAAGTGGTAACGATGGCCAGCGCGTCACAGGGATTCTCGACTAGGCCGAAGAAACAGAAATCGTGCACTGAATGCAGACGACGCAAGCAGAGGGTTAAGTCGCCGTCTTTCTTTGACACGTCCGATGGTCGAGCTGACCCTCTTCTAGTGCGTCTTCAGGAAGCTCGACGCCCCTTGCATCAACTGCTCAAAGCGCTTTCCGCCGGTGGAGTGCATTCGCAGTGCTTTAACTCAGGGGGCCGAACTCTACGCTGGAGAGAAGATATTTGAGCTGAGGACGTGGAAGGAAGTCCCCGGATATGCAGCTTCGTCTCGACTGCAGCCGGAATCTCCTTTAATCACGAAGGCGCCACGATTCTCCCCGAAAGTTGAATGGCTACCCTCTAGACGCCGAGGGGTGGTTCGCCTGCTGCAAGATGGAGCATCGTCCGAGTCCGAAGAAGGCAATCTATTTAGCGACGATGAGCCGTGGATGAACAGCCTGGCTCCCGTAGAACGCAATCTGATTCTTGACGGCCGGGGAGATCCATTCACCATTAAGTCCCTGGGAGGTATTCTGGCCGAAGTCAGCACGATAAATGGGTTTCCGTTGCAGCTCACGCCCCGAAACACGGAGCTCTTGCACTATTGTAAGTATCGTTACTGTGCAAAAGCAATGCATCCGACGTTGCGTCACGCCTTGACTGACCAAAACCCTCAGACCTCCGCTTTGTAGCCCCGAACCTCGTCTCCATAGACGGAGAAAGCCAGCCCATAGTGTTCCAAAAAGAGGTTCTAAGCTGGCAGCTTCAGTCACCCCTGATGCCCAACATTGGCATTCTCATGGCTTCGACGATCCAGTCGCTAGATAGAGGCATCGAACTCGACAAGAACCCGGAATCACTTGCGCAAAAGGCAAAGGTTCTGGTGTTCATCAACCAGTTCCTCAGCGGTGCAACGAAGCAGGGATTTGACTTGATTGCGCCAGAGGCGATCAAATGTGTCATCAATCTTGTCGTAATGGAGGTGAGTCCAACCTTGATCTTGACGTATCGACACACCTGGACTGGAACGAAATGCGACTGACGGGACGATCAGTGGTTTTGGGGCGTGGGAGACACCATGCGCGCTCACTCGCGGGGCATCAGGGAGATGTTACGGCTTCGCGGTGGCATCCGGGGGCTCGGTGACCCGGTAGGCGAGTGTATCATTATTCTGTACGGCCCCCAAAACAACCTCTAACACTCGCACTGCTAATTAATAATTGCAGGACCGACTACGAGATAGCCTGCTGCTTCGAAGAAGACCTCTACTGGCAAGACGGAGACCCAGTCAAGGACCAAACCATGCCAATCCCCACGTGTTGGCCTGAGGGTTTCGACAGCCCTTTGATCCCATCGTCCATAACCTTCGAGGAGAACCATTACAGCTTGAACGTAAGCCACACTGCGGCTAAGATCCTCGACGACGTCCGCTTCCTCGCCACTTCAATCACGTCAGATTGCTCAAACCGGGACTCAATGTTGAAAACCAAGTCCACGGCCTACTGGCTGTACAATCGACTCAAGGCCATGCCCAGGCTCCCAAGTGAACAAAGTTCAACTCCAAAGAGCGAACTAATCCAAGAAACCATCCGGCTCGCGGCCCTAGTGTACAGCGGTTCCATCATGTCCCTTACCCTATTTTCCCAGTTTCTAAGTCCAGGTATCTTGGAGGATCTGTACTCGACCATGATGAAAGTCAGCTTATCCACATGGAAGTATATCCCGGGTATTTTCTTGTGGGTCATGCTCATCTTATGTCCTAGTACCGCGAATGATCGAAGAGGTAGGTTTATCAGAAGGAAAATGGCGGTTGCGGGGCTGTCGATTGGGTTCGAGGATTTTCCTCTCGCAATTTCGTATTTGAGGGGCTTCTGGCTGGTTCAGAGATGGATTGTTGAGAATGGTGAGGTTTGAGACGCGGTGGATGTGCTGAGCATGGACTAGGTACGACAGCCCAGTTGTTAATCGCATATTGAGACCTGCGTTGAGATGGTAATGAGGATGGCAACCATGGGAAAAATCTTGTATAGGTATTTGCTTTGATCAGTATCAAGATGTGTATCCAAGGCCCGTTATGATATTCATGGTAGTACGGGCTTCGCCCCGTGCAATCAAATTATTTCTGTTGATAGTGTTCTCCCAACCTCGTAAGATTGGAGCCGACGACCTTAGGATATCTACAATCACTTGAACAACCTCAAACCATCCACTTCCGCCACGACTCCACCCATTTCCTGATCCACGTCATCCGCGCCATCGCCATCTTCGTACAACATCATCTTCTGCCCAAATAGGGTTCCAAAGAACCGATCAATGGCACTCTGCTCCCAGCTTCTACGATCCTCCGGCGCCATGAAATTCTGGAGCTTCTCATGCACATTAAAACGCATCTTACGGCCCTTGCTGGCCTTGGTATCGACGTGCTTCTTCGTCTTGGCCTCCTTGGTGACCGCGTAACGAACTGTCGCTGCTTGGCCGCCAGTAGCCGACGTATCTGCCGTGCGATTATCGACAAGTTCCTTGAGAAGTTGCTGGTAAAAATCGGCATCATCGTAGATTTCTGGGTCCTCGTTGACTTTTTGACCGACTTGGATGGGGGCACACGAACGAGGTGTACGGGTTCGCTTGATCAAGCGCTCAGAGTCTTGCAGTTGGCCCTCGAGCGTTACGGTCAAGAGCTTCTCGCCCTTGACCAGACTTCGGTCCTTCCTAGTCCCTGCGGCATCAACTGTCCGCATCTGCTTGACTTTGTTAGACCACATGTCGAGGAGATGTTTCCGACGAACAGTTGCGTCTTGTTCGGTAGCTTCCATGCTATCCCATATATCCTGGGCGGTGCTCGAGACTTCGATGGCGCGTTTCCGCTTTTCTCCCGTTGTTGATCGCATCCCGGTTCGGTAGGTATCAATAGCGTTCCATAGCTTGACCGCAGCAGCTTCGGCTGCCTCGTATGGTTCAGACTGGTCACCCTCTTCCTCGACGGCGCTGAAGGAGTTGACTGCGACTAATGCCTTTTGCAGTCGGATCCTAACGTTTAAGACGGCGTCGAAAGCCATTCGCTGCTTGCGGACTGCATTGCCTTTCGCGATGTCTCTTTGCATTGCATTGGCCAAGGACCCAGCGACATCGTTCTGCTCAGGTCGTATCATTGCTTGAATGTTTCCACGGAGAGATGCGCCCGCTTTATTTGGTGACTCCTCGTCGCTGCCGTCATCATCGTCATCGTCGTCCTCTTCGTCATCGCCAGATGAAAAAGCACCGTGAACAGCGCCTTCATTTTTGGGCTCGTCCTCATCATCACCGGTCCCGTCTGAATCGCCATCATCACTACCCTCGACTCCTTCATCATCACTAGTCTCCTCGGCGTCTTCGTCGAACATAGGGTTTCCCATCAACGAGCCATCATCTTCATCGTCATCATCATCTTCTTCTTCCTCAGATTCAGAGCCCATATCTTCATCCTCCAAGAAATCGGCAGCCTTTGGCCTTGTAGTTCTCTTCCCCTTTACCGGCGCGACCAGTGAGCTGCCCCTAAACGTAAACTCCTTGAATTTTTCGTCGTCGCTCTCCCCAAACGCATGACTGCTGTCAATCTCTGCGTCCTCTTCATCCTCGAGCTGGTCTCTTTCAAGATCTGCCTCGTCCGGATCATCATACTCGGCATCATCGTCAAGGTCCTCGCGCGCGTCCTCAAATTCATCGGTCTCATCGGAGGATTGATCCAAAGCGTCACGACTCACCCGAGAACCGCGGTACTGAGGACCGAGGGCGGCAGGTTCTTTTCGCCGGAGCTTGGATTTGCCAACGGCGACGTAATGCTCGGTGCCCGCATTCTCGTTGGCGCTTTCGTCGCTATTGCCGGCCTCGTCGCTTTCGTCTGGGACGTCGGCTTCAGGGTCGTAGTCTGCGAGTTCCAGTATTAGTAAATGTTCCGATGGGTAAATAAGCAGCTTCGCATACCTTTGGCAGGTTTTTCTTCCCATTCAGCGAATTGCTGCGCCCGACTTCTTGATTTCGCCATAACTACGATCTTGTTTTGGGGAGCGGAAACTGAGTTCGCTGCAGATCAAGCCCCACCAAGTACAGTAGAGAAAATTTTGTCGGTGTCCGGCGGCAGAAATATGCCGCGACTCTGTAGAGGCTAACAGCGCTAACGCCGCTGGGGTTGTGCAGCAACGCCGTCGAACCTCGGAACTGGCATCGATCGGGAACTTGTCGCTCTAAAGGTGGACAATTCCGGAGCAGTTCATATATTCCAGGGCTGGGGTACGACCAAATTCACTTCGTGTCTGTTCATATCTTCGCTCCCTCAAATTTGTGTTAGGTGATGTGCGGTATAGTGAAGTAATCCCCTCACCATTATAGCACATCATGAGGGGCAGCTGAGAGGCCGTTGTGCATCATTGACTTTTCCTTCCTGCCATCTCAGGAGAGCCCGTCGGAGTTACACATCTAGCTGCTAAAAGCAGCACATCTGTTTTCAAGATGCGACCAAGTCCATCGCAGCTTTTCCGTACATTCAGTCCTCTCTATCATGAAAACCCATTAGTGAGTTATTCTTGCTTGTCAACCGGCCGTTACCTGAGTACGGCCGGGTCCTGCTTATCCAACATATATTCTAACATCAATCCCAGGGGCTCCCCCGAACGGGCACCATCCCACGCATGCAACGCGGCCTCCCAGAACGGAGGCCGATCAAGGATGTCCGAAAAGTCATCGCCGTATCTTCAGCTAAAGGCGGCGTGGGCAAGAGCACAGTGGCAGCCAACCTCTCCCTAGCCTTTGCCCGTCTTGGCCACCGCACCGGCATTCTAGACACTGATATCTTTGGGCCGTCGATACCGACATTGTTCAACTTGTCAGGGGAGCCACGCTTATCACATAGTGAGTCGATTTTTCTGAGAGAAAAAAAAGTGAACAAATTGAAAAGTGACTGCCGTGCTAATGGCCTACTAGACAATCAACTAATCCCCATGTCGAATTATGGCGTGAAGACTATGTCAATAGGCTACCTCGTAGGCGAGGACGCGCCCGTTGTGTGGCGTGGCCTCATGGTCATGAAAGCGTTACAGCAACTTCTGCACGAGGTGGACTGGGGCGGTTTGGACCTACTCGTGCTGGACCTACCGCCTGGGACGGGAGACACGCAGTTGAGTGTTACGCAGCAGATTGTTCTCGACGGTATGTTTTCGTGGCTTGCCTTCTCCATTGACATGGTCCTGGGAAAGAATACTGAGACCCTGCAGGATCGATAATAGTAACCACACCACACACCCTCGCAGTCAAGGATGCGGTCAAGGGCATTAACATGTTCAAAAAGGTCGAGGTGCCGATTCTGGGGCTCGTGCAGAACATGTCTATGTTCCACTGTCCTCAATGCCAACACGAGACTGCCGTATTTGGTTCCAATGAACGAGTGAAGAAGGTATGCGCAGATCACGATATTCGAGTCTTGGGAGAAATTCCTCTGCATATGAATATTGGGGACGACGGGGAGCGAGGCAAGCCAACCGTCGTCGCTGAACCAGAGAGCACAAGGGCGTCCGCGTTCTTGAGAATTGCACAGAAAGTGGGAGCCAAGATTGGATTATGAGGGCATTTGAACCGAGGACTAAGATACGCTACTGTGAGATACGGGAAATGGCTGTACGATAAGAACACGTTGTACACTGCGAGGTCCCCAGTTGTGACATTTATCTGGTGGTGCCGAGCATCACGGAATCGGAACTAGTCGGGACAAGATCGGCGGCTGTATTGAATGTGTATCAGCTCGATGTGGGCAAAGGCTCACGACACCTGCTCAAAAGGAAAATTTAGCAAATCAGCTCCTAGACGGGGATTATAATGTCTAAACCTCCGCATTCCTATCAGATCTCGCTGTATACAACAAGGTTTCCGAAGGCCCGGCTTGGCCGCACAGCCGAAAGCCGATGACTAGACGTCCGACTTGCTCAAAGACCATGTTAGTACCCATCGGCAGCGAAAGACGCAGAATAGGGGAATCGAGGGGCAAATCCTGAACTCCTCCATGAAAACCATCCGACCAACGCCGTCGTATCCGCATCGCCTCCGCATCGCCTCTTGTGTGATGATCATTCTCCTCCAGTACGTAAAGGCTACCTGCAGCAGCATCAGTCTTCAATCCACGTCTTCGTTGGGCTGGTAAATGTGGCGGCTTCTGGTGGCATCTTTTCGCATGGCCTGGCCTGAGCCGGTGAATCCAACTTCAAAATATTAGCGTGTGCGTCAAAACTGGAGGTTGTTAAAACAACCAACCTCTCCCGTGTACACCTTCCGGAGTCCGGAACATGCTCTCCTTCTTGACCTTTGAACCCTTGGCAAACTTGGACTTGCTGTTGAACTCCTGCCACTTGCTCTTCCCTTTCTCGAGTTCCTTGGTCGCCTTGATTTTCTTGAACTTGGGCTTCGCGTCTTCCGGTGCCTTTTCCGCAGCTTCTCTGTTCTTTTGTGCGAGCTCCGGGTTGATGCTGGCTGCAGCGGAAATGACTCCAGGCGCGGGGTTCGAAGACGGCGGCGGCTGGGTTGGCGCAGTGAAAAGTGGAGTATTGTTCACGGGCGTTCCGTCTGCTTTGCGCTTTTGTGAGATGGGTCGGATATCCTTAGATCGCAGCTGCTCTGTGTTGTCGTAGCTCTTGAACTTCACGATATAGATAGGCGACGTAGACGAGCCGGTGATGGATGTGATTCGCGCAGGATAGAATCCCTTGTCTCCAGACACCCATTTCGCCATGACCGTATCATTGACCTGATAGTTGACCGGACCGACGTCAACATCCTTCTCCTCGAGGGGCGTCGTCTTCTTAAAGGCAGGGTGATTCTCGCGCGACCATTTTTCTTGGGCGGGCTGTGGCGACGCAGCGGTGGGCTTTGGCGGCGAGGCGGCTGCTTTCGCAGGCTTAAGTTCAGCAAGCGTTTCGTTCAAAAGGTTGAGCGCATCATCTAACTCAGACTTCAAGGCAAGAAGCTCTGCGTTGCCGGGGTCATCTTTCAGACCAGCGTTGACCACACCGAGCTGCGAAGCAGCTCAAGTTAGCGTCGCATTCACGAATGGGCGAATAGGGAAGGCATGCTCACCTGTTCTCGGTATTGTTTGATGTCCTCCTCGAGGCTTATGATGTCGCTCATCTTGACGGAGTCTTATGAAGTTGAGAGAGTGGGCTATCAACAATTGCGATGTGTTGAAATAAAATGGATCAATGTATATTCAATGTTGGCCTCGAGGTCAACTTCGAGGTGAGATGGAGTGCTTGGCCTGAGCATTAGTGGAGAAAATTCGGCACCACTCAAATCATCCGAAAGGCCAATATTGATGGATAATTGCAAGCCTGCACCTTGACTCGCAAGCGGACTCGATCTACGGCTTGGTGGCAATAATGGTTACTCGGGAACCTCATAGTGAATCGAAATCTCCGTCTTTGAAACTTTACCAGGGGATTTACTTACCAGTACACATCTTGACCATCCTATGCAAAAACCACTGTTCGGAAATTGCTTTTATAAGTGCTGCCGGCCTATCAATGCAAAGCTGTTTGACTCAAGTTACTTAACGTACCAAGTATCTTCGGGCCTGTTCATTGATAATTTGGCAACGACTCACCGCCGAAGGACAGGAATTTCTCCCACGTCTATGATCCTGAGGCACTGACGAACAACATATGTATTGCCTTTGTGGTGTATGCATCTATGCGTCCCAGCTTGTCTTTAGTGTCTTCATGATAATCTATTAGCCCGTGCCCTTACTATCAATTCGCAAGGTTGCAAGTGTTGATGTCATGAAGGTTATTCGCTTGAGCCCTGCGCTCTACCATAGATACAGCTCGCAGTTGTGATGCTGCTGTCATGCGAATGGTCTTTTGAGTGATGCTATACCCGATATATTCTCCGCCCGCCAAGTTTGGATCCTGGCGCCATCCTAAATGGGCTTATTCGCTGCGAGCTCAACAGACGTCGAGCTCATCAATGTCTCTCATTGCCTTCTGGACCTCCCCAAAATCAAAAGCGTTACCCCCAATGATCAACCTTGCCTTCACGTCGGTACCATTCTCCAGGATACACTTCTTCGCCATTAGGGTCCGTGTGGTCACATCACCAATATTCTTCATTGCCTCGTTCTCGGCAAGTATCGGCATCCCAATGACGCTTCCGCTTGCATCCTTGAATACTCCTGCTCGCGCATCCCACTCCCACTCCCACTGGTAGTTGGGATCATGCTGCGCCCAAGGGTTGCCAATGGCTTTGCATTTGCGAGTAGCGCCTGCAGGAAGGAAGGGAATCACATTATCCACATATGTTCTTTGGACGAAATCCGAGACCAGGAGCAGGGCGACTGGTGTCTTCTCGCCATCAGGGCGGATGAATTCCGGTGTAGGGGGCTGCGCATACTTGAATCGAGGGTGGTAGAAGAGGACCCTTAAGAGAGTGGCATATTTGGAGGCAAGTTCGAAGGCCTTGGATGGGCTTGGGTGCTGGATTGGTGCCATTTTCGCATGTGCCCAGTGACTTAATAGGAGATAGCTGAATTAATAAAGACCCGTTCCTTCCCAAGGCGTTGTGGTTGTAATTGCAGCATTCGGATATATCTCTACAAACAAATGACGTTGATCTTCCATATTGCTTCAATCAGTGGTCAGTGCGTCTCCTACAGATCTTCTGTTGGGCAGGGTTCCGGACGGAAAGCTTTTGGTCGATTGCGTAGGGCCTAACGTACAAACCCACCTTTCTGGCCACATATTGCAATCCAATTGAAGGTATTCGAAACAGTGTATTCAACGTACTATTATAGCTATTCAGGTACAACCAGCTCTAATAGAAAGCTGTGCTCTAGGGCTTCCTAAGGTATAGATCTGATAGATTCTGACGCCTTAGCTGGGTCCAGTATTCCCTGATTCCGACGTTGTACCTGGTCTCGTTGCCGTTCTACTTCAAGGGCTCGATCCATCGCTTCCTTAATCTGTACAATGTTACCAAATCGTTCATTAGGCCCTAATCGTACCTTCTTACGTGGTTTGGGGCGTAACGAAGTTATCTCGGCTTCTAATGCGTGTACACGTTGGGTCAAAGTAGCGACCTCGACGCTCTGTACATCTAGCCGACGAGTCAGCTTCCGAAACAATAGCCGTTGCGACGATCGCAATGGCGTAATCGCTGCCAGACTCTCCCTAGCTACTAAGCTAGTCACTGGCGTCGCTATTATTGTCGGATCAAGCCAATTACCAGCTGTTGGTGGTGTAGTTGGTCGTTCTGATAGGGGGGCTATCGTCGGCTGAGGTCGCGATGGATCTAATGGGTATATTCTAGTTGCAGAGAAGCCTGATTGTATATTACTGATCGTGAACGACTTCGTATATGCCTCGATGTATAGCGAGAGGAACGTCGACTTTTTAAATGGAATAGAACAGTACTCGATCGAGAGAGAGGTCGCTAACGAGCGATAGTACCGCTTTAATGGAGCAAATACGGCGACGTCGAGAGGTTGGAGCCCGTGAGAACAGTGTGCTGGCAAAAATAGTAACGAGATCTTGTTACAATAGGCTAACCACATAAACTCGACGTTGTCGTGAGCGATATGACCATCTAATATCAAGAGCCGCTGCTCGTCGGGATCAACTGGTTGTGTACGAGGTATAAAGATATCACGAAGCCATCGAACGGCGATATCTGTACTGATCCAACCGTTAGACGAATAAGTATATTGCCAATCAGGTATATCGTCTCAATCGTTAAACCATTTCCCTAGATAGCTTCATCGACGCGATTGACGCGTCAGAATGGCTGAGGCCATCGCCGAGTCGTAATTGGAGGGTAGAGCGTGGAACGCCCCATCGGAGGGAAGCCTGGCGCTGGGATATCCCTTGATTGATATCGTTGAGAGCGCCTTGAATCAGATTTTCTGAATATCGAGGCATTGTATAATAATAGCCAATACCGACGATAATCTGTTGTGCCGAAGGTTGTTGTAGTTGGCAGATTAGGTGGCCAGAAAGGTGGTGGGTACGTTAGGTAGGGATAGTATCACGGGAATCGACACGGATTGCATTGGGAAGACTTTATAACATATTCCAGAGCCAGCATAGTCCCGCTTTGAATCCGCCAGTCTAGCACACTGCACACTTGGGATCTCAACGTGTTGTAACGGTTTCTGCGGCCTATTCCTTGTAGCATATCAATCCGAGAGTTTTAACAGCCTGAAGCTGGCCCCATTAGATACACATGAAAGAATGCTATTTACAGTTGTCAGTACATGCGAAAGTGGGCGCAGAAAAGGCATTTACCATTTATATACGTACAACCAACATCTCCCATGTTTTGTAGCAGGAACCCAGAGATAAATCAAACTTCCCAGGATTTCTACCTCATATTCTGTTTTCCCGAATGGAAATTAGTCACCATGGCGCAACCTGAATCAAGCCGCCTACGCGGCTTGGCCCTGGATCCTCTCGTCGGAGTCCCACACTGCAACTTGTGAAATTTGGCGTGTCGTGAACACTGTTGGACCAAATTGACCGTCAAAAGACGAGGGACCCACTCGCTATAGAATGAGGTATTTTTGGTAGTTATAAGGTCTGACAAACACCATCTCACGACTCCATCTGCGGATCCAGACACTGCGGAAATAGACACGCACATTTATTACTTCGTATCTTTGTGCAACTGTCAATGTCCTTTGACGGTGCCGTTGGAGTTCACGGATCGTCCCTTCTCGATGGCGCCACACCATTGCAGCAGCACAAAAGTGTAGTTGAAGTGAATTAGGTCTTCTATTACTGTGTCAAATATGGGTAGTTTAATCTGAAAAACGGTATCAGCAAAACTCATGCCGAGGTACTTGGAAGTATAGATGCTCGCATCCGATTGATTAAAGCCCAAGCCACGCAGAGCAAACAGATACCGAAAATCTCCAGGTCTCGCTCTCATTTACGCCCCAAAGTCTCCTAGAATCTCTATCAGTTTCCTAACTACCCCTGAAGTTCCTGGATAGGTGCCATTGCCCCGTGACCCCCTTGGCCAGGCGGCGGTGATCCCTGAAGCTCCCCCGTGGTCTGCGGCGAGACATGCCTGGCATACCCACCCCCACCGCCAGGCAAAGTCGACGCATCCGAAATGGTAGACCCCTCATTATACGGACTATACGCCTGATACGGCGAATTTGACGTCCCCGTCCCTGTGCTCAAGTGCGGACTCTGGCTCAGAATGCTGTTGCCATCTACCTTGAAAAGCGGGCTCGATGCATGTCGCACAGGTGCGTCGGCCGGTAGCTCAGACTTGAAGCCCTCGTAAGGGCCTTGGGGCGGGGATGAATGCGGGCCTGCTGTGGTATTGGGGTCATAGTAGCCTGATTGCTGGTCGGGCGGCATGGTGTAGTGGCTGTTGTTGTTCTCGCGGTTCTTTCTTCTTCGGCGTCTAACGAGCAGGCCTAGCAGGATGGCAACGACGAAGAAGAGGGCTGCGCCTACGGAGCCGATGCCGATGCCTGCTTTTGCGCCTGTGGAGAGGCTGTTGTCGTCGGAGTGGGCTGATGTGGTTGGGATGGATGTTGATGTTGTCTGGGATGAGGCTGAGGCGGAGGTGGACACTTGCTGTGAGGATTCGGTCGCGCTTTGGCTCGTAGTCGTAGACTTTGGGGCCTTCAAGGTGTTAGGGTCGAATCCGTTTGTCCATATAATGGTTCCCCCAGCGCGCGAAGGTACGGTAGCGTACGCAGATAGCGTTTTAGACCCTACGTATACGGGAATCGAGGAGCAGTAGGGATCGCAGCTGCTGTGGGGAAGCCTGGTCAAGCTGGTCAAGTCGGTGTCAACTTCGCATCCGCCCCACTGCATGCCGTCGTCACTGCTTTCGCATTGTTGTATGGCTACCCATTCTTGATCGTCAAACAATGGGGTCTTGTTTGGACAGACTCTCGCCGAGTACCCGCTGTCGGTACAGCCTGCCACATAAGTGTTTCCGGCTTTTGGTGTTCAGTCAGTCAGCTTAGCCTGCGTATATCAAAATCACGTCGCTTCCAAATGCTCACTATCATAGTCCCAGCAGGCATTGGAGTCATCATAACCTAGACATATGCTCCCAACATGGCAACATGGCCAATCCCCCCACTCAATATTCCCACATGGAATAAAGTCGCCCTTGGCTTCCGAGTTCTGTGCGTAGTAACAAGTGCCATGAGACACATCTGGCGAGGAAGTGTCGCTCATGCTGAGAATCCGTCAGTGAGGGGAGTCGTTGAGGTCGCACTGGTGAAGCCTGCCGCACACCACCAAGTTGAAGGAGGGAAAGCCAAGTTAAAAGAGGGGAAGAATGGCAAGCATGGCGAGGCTCCAAGGCTAGGAGACACTCACCATGGAAACCCATCAGAATTCCCCTTGTTTGGGATTCTAGGTCGTGCTCAAGTCGTGCCAATTACACCGTCCTACAAATAATAGTGCTCCCGCAGCTGAGCATGCGATCAGCATGAATGTGCCTCAAAATATGCATTGTCATAGGTCAATTTCCTATCAGACGCAGAGCACCTATTATCGTTCCCTGTCACCGACGTTCGGGTGAGACAACACGAGCCAGTGGCAGGCGAAACTCACGTTAGCCCAATCAGGACTCATGATAATTAGTAGCTACCCGCAAGCTATGTCCAGCCACTTTTCTAGCCTGCCGCAATTGTGCTTAGCTGCTTTTTCTAGACCATGCAGTGTACCAGGTCAGCATTTCTGTATTAGCCTTGCCCGACATATGAACAATTACCCCATTTGAGATAATTTTGACTTGCATACCATCTGTTGGATTTCACTTATGCCAATATCCAATTTGGATACGGCCTTTACACTTGTAATAAGATGCATAGATATTAGTGAAAAGGATTCGAACAGAGGGGTTGGAAGACCAGGGTAACACATACAGTGTGTTGCTGCGGCTCTATTTATATTCCTGCGAAAACCACTGCAGTGTCGGTATGAGAAGCCATCGTGGCGTTGTTCATGATTCCAGTCGAGTAAGTATAATTTGACAGCATTTCAATTAGCTTTGGGTGACATTTAGCAGTGGAGTTGAAAGACTAGTTTTGCTCATCCTCCAAGTCACAACTACTACTGACATTTTTGGCACTAGAATAACGCATGGATCTCTCCGCGATACCTACTTTCGTTCAGTATCCCGGCCGACTCCTGAGTTTCTCATTCGGTCAGGCAAATCCGCATTTGCCTAATTGGTGGCTAGAAGTTCCCCCATGATCCTGATGGTCCCAGCACTTACAGCAATATGTAGAACTGTTTAACCGAGATTATTCTGTTGAATCGGCAAATCTAATAAGCAGGTGGTTTCATTAGCCTCCTTAATTGTTCATTATTGTGAAGAATTCTCTTTTATATTCGAGGTGTTGGTCCGCCTTGTCCCCGATGTGCCACTTCCGTCATGGAGGTAATGCCCGTGGAGGTCTCGGTGTCTTTTGAGGGACATATATACGGAGGCGTTGCACAATCATGAATAATAAGTACTCTAAAACCATCTATGCCGTTCAAGAACAACGGCTTCCGCCTTCTTGGTTGATGGTTTGATGGCATTGTCTAAGGTCTCCACTATCGCCGGTACATACAGCGACTATGTTCGGCCGAAAACTTTTAGTAGTTTAGAATGTCGACCCGGAAAGTGGCGGAATTTTCGCCGGTATGGGGCGTTGCTAAAGGATGCGATGCGGTCTCTGAAAGTCCTTGTTCATTGTAGGCATGTGCGCCGCTGTATAGAAGGTACCAAACCGGATTCTGACCTTGTCTCTAAGTACTGCGACAAATCTGAAGATGTTATATCGATGGAATGAATAAAATTGCAAGAGACTATGGATCATATCTATGAAGCAAGATCCTAATTGTACATTTATCAGAGGTGGGTGCTGTTGTGGTATTACTTTCGCAGATTGTATACCTGGTTGCATGATGGCAGTAGTAATATACTCTCTTTGGTCATTTGAAGGCTTTTATATACTTTTAAAACACTTTAGAGTGTAAGAGGCTATGCGTAGAGCAAAACTGGCGAAAGCAAGTATCAGATACGTTGAGTCAAGACGAAACGGTCTTCTCAAAGTCGAGCTAACAGATTAGGAATACAGAAATGCTCTTCCAAAATATTCCGGTCTGGTGCACTCATCTAAGCACTGTTTTCGTTGTTCTATCCGTCCATGATTGTCGAAAAAGCTATTATCGCTCCATATGGTAATACAGCAATACACATACCTCGCCATGATTAGCTTTCTCTGCCAAATGCAGCGCAGAATGTCCCAGCCGGTCAACCAGTCGAATATCAGCATGGCCCGTCGCCAAAATTGCATCTACGATGCCGAGGTTTCCAAGACGACAGGCTAAATGCAGAGTGGTCTGTCCAAAGCTATTTTGTTGGTTGACGAAGCATGTAAATGGATCAATGGTTTCGCTAGGTTGGGTAGCGTCTGGAACAGCATTGGAGCCAGTGGCCTCGCTGTTCCAATCCGAGGATGATATATGACCTTTGTTTTCAACATCATTGTTGCCAAAGTTGTGCTCTCGGTGCCATGAGCGTGAGAGCTCCAGGAATGTCCAGCTGAGGTCTGGGACTGGTGAACCAGAGCTGAACCCTGAGTAATGTCGGATGAAAGGGTCGTTGAGGTTTCTTTTCCAGTTCTAGAGGTGACAGAACCGGTTGTAGTGTCTCGCAGAGATTGTTCTAGAATCATACTGAGGAGCATATTCACCGTTGATATATGACTACCACGAGCTGCAATGTGAATTGGCGTTTCCGAGAAGTTGTTGATACTTGCAACACGGGCACAGTTGTGTACAAGAAGTCTAATCATCATATCGTCTCCAATGTGGGCTGCTTGCATCATCGGTGGGTTGCCTTCCTGATCACGACCTGAAATGATGGCACCCTTGAGACCACGCTCTTCATCTGTGAAAAGAGAAAGACATCAGACCAGTTGCACTGTTAGGTTATGTTAGTCGGAATTACTCAGGTTGAAAATTAGGGCGTGAAATACCGCGCGATTCGGTCCCTCCGTCTTTGGTCAGGTAATACCCAACGGTATGACCACTGTTGTCCTTGATCCGGGCCACAATCTGCCCACGAGCGACTCCCTCCCTATCTGCAATAGCCGTCACGGCATGCCAGAATTCCAGGAAGTCATGTTGAACAATAAATTCTAAAAGATTCTCAGTCTCCGATTGAGTAATTATCTCGAGCATGGTGACTTCTTGGTGCGAAAGCAATTGTAAATGCAAGTGTTTCGTGGACTTGAAAGCACGTTAGCAGCGAATACTAAACATATATGAAGCCTACGAAAATCATACCTCGCTCGGGTCCGATAAGTACAATCTTAGTATCAAGACTTCACTGGTGAACTACTTGTGAGATGTTCGTGATATGGACTGATGAATTGTATACACTAGCGACTCAAATATTTATGCCTGACTATTCAGCTACCCATCATGAGAGCTTTGTATTACTGCTATGGTGTTATGTATACAAGGCATCCAGGCACAAACTAGTGTATTTAAGGACGTCATGGCTGCCGATTGGGCAATTCTTCCATACGAACCTTCGTAGTGCCAATACAGCCCCCAATATTCGGAATCCGATAATGAGTAAATAACTACTCAAGTCGTTATAATAATATATATCAGAGCTCTAACACAACTATTAGTTGGATATAAAGGGGTAGCAAAGGAAGACTTAACGTGTTCACAGCTTTCCAGATCATTTAGCTAGGTGTGATAGCTCAATGGAAATGAATACCACGCGTCTGTGTCTGTTTATGCCCGCCCTTCGGGGCTAACATTTTGCCCTTACTGTACACTTAGAACCGTAATAGCACGTGTAGTTGCGCAGTATCTTTTATTTCTTGTAGTCTCGTGTAGTAGGAGCTGCTTTTGGTACACAGATCCAGTATATGCCAGATATTCTAAGGTCCTGGTCTTCGACTCTTCGGTATACGAAATCCTCCCACCCTGGAGCAACTCATCTCCGCTGCTTTTTCTATAATTAATGCAAAACCCTGACAAGAAGGAGAGTTAATTGACTATCTCTAGCTTCCGTCTCCCTTCTATGTTCTTCTGTATGTCAGGTTATAAGGTGCCTCGCTCACTCCTCATAACCTATTATTGATTCACTCTGCTTATATACTATCAGGACAACGACGGGTCAAGTTTCATACGAAACCAAGTTATCCCAGGAATAAACATCGACGGTTCGTTCTTCTCTTTCTTATATTTTGCGTTGCAGCCTCTCATCTCTTGCTTTGGCTTTTACTCGAACCCATTTCTCCCATACATCCTTTTTGGCAAATATACTCTTTTGAGTACCGTTACACCTATTCTTGAATCTTGCTGTATCGTGGCTGAAGCTTTCTGGATGTCCACCTGCAAAGTTGAACTTCTTCCAATCAGAGGTACTATCGCAATCTGTTCTCGGCCTCAAATTATTCCGAAGCCAGATCTACCCTCATTCCAACTATCTATGAGTAGTAACTCCGCTGCATCATCCTGTAGCAGCAGATACGTGTAATGTCAGGACCCATTTCAAGGCTCTCCTTGTTTAACGCTGGATGAGGCATTGTCCAAGCGCAGCTGAGATTGATATTTTAGCCTCTGAGCGTGTTGTCCAAGTGGATGTCACGGGGCAATATATCAAGCTGGTGCATTGTCTTCAATCCCCTGATCATCGTGAAAGCTATCGAGAGCAACATAACCTGCGGGGAACTGATCATGGCCAAGCCGCCTCTTTGCAGGAAGGTCAAGGAGATCCTTGGCGATTACTCTAATCGTTTTTCCCTTGTCACGGTTTTCTTGGACCTCCCTGTCATTAGCAAAATTATAATGCTCCCGAGGAAATTTCTGCTCGTCTTTTTAGAGCAGGATGTTGTCGGACTTGTTGCAAGTTGTAACAAGGCATAAAATTTGAATATTTCTCTCATCTCACTAAGTTCCAAGGATTAAAGGCGGTCTTAAGGGCCAGTCTTCGAGCATGAAAGAGCTAGAAAAAAGGGTTGGTGCGGTTCGACAAATGTACCCATAACACCCGATGGCAAGATGTTTTTGGTTCAGTGCAAACCGCACACCTGTTTATGAGCACCTTTCTACCCATTTAGACGGAATTTACACGCAAACGAGTGCATCCACTTCCGAAGCTCTCGAAAATATTCGACACAACCTGGCTTGCCTTTGGTATCAAATGGGGGTAGCTTCGACCCCGGGAAGCCGGGGAATCTTGGCATGGTAGTATGGTAGGGAAGTTTCAAATAGTGGCGCCATAAGTACTAGAAAAGTTGTCCAGGGTACAATATCCCTCAGTTATCTCAACCATACCAGCCAAAGAAATTCTAGGAACAATGAGATGTGCGTCACTTGGTCAGGGATGGAGACAAAGACTGGTGCCCCTAAATTTGGACAGCAAAGTTCAAGAGTGGATATTCTGAATGTGTACCGTGATAGTACTTGCCAATTGACTACCTATATGTGTTGCCATCACAAGTCAGCAAGGAGAGGACAAATGGTTGTAGCTATCAAAGGTCATATCGGATTGTGGGCAAATGGTCTTGTATTGAAAGTGCCATGATGTCTGGAGAGTCCTACAAGAAGTGAACAGCGGCCATAAGGGTCTTATATAGACAGGAATGACGATGCCTGTCCCACAGGCAGGAATTTTGTGGTTCGATGGGTGGTGGTTATATTGGCCTATTACGTACGGTACGTGGCCATATGTCCTTCCAAGACTGGCATGGCAGTCTTGGAGTAGTAGCCTTGAAGATCCAACAGGTCAGTTGAAGATGCTCCTGTGCTTTCCGAGTATTCCACCCAAACAAAACGACGTACTTGGGATAAAGGAACCTTGTCAGCAAGTCAAAGTGTCCAAAAATCATAAGTGAATGCCCTGCTCAATGACTATGCTTCGGTGCTTGTGGATACTGTCAAATTCAAATACTGTTTCGAGCTGTTCTGTGATTGTGATTGGTTTGTGCCCAAGATAAGCCAGCCACTCATCTTGCGTCATTGATCACCTCCTTTAGCATAACAGCCAACTGTAATATGTACGCTGAAGTCCATCATTGTAGTAATCTATGTAAGATGAAGTATAAATGATGGGGAAGAAAAAAGAGAGAGCTCCACTGAACCCCAGATTATGCCTTCCCCTATCCGTGGTACTCCCCTGGTGTTTGCGTTGTCGGGATTGCCGGCTTCCCCGCTTGTCCCCAATTTTGATTCGAGAACCTTGATGGTTCGTTTACATCCCTTGCAAAGTGTGGGGTAGAACTTCAAAAGACTCCTTAATGTTTTTACTCTGTAATCGTCAGCAGCAGTTGCAGCAGCAGCAACAGCACAGCACAGCACAGCGTGCAAGCATCCCTAGCTCCCTCGAAACGAATCCTACAGACCTCCCAAAACACCAAACCCATCCCTCGATACCGCGCCCGACCGACCGAACGACCGAACAATAAACCACCAAGATGCAAGGCTTCAACATGGGCCGGTACGTCCCGCCGGACCTCGAGGGCACCACATCGGCCAACAAAGCCTCGGGTAAAGGTCATGCGCTCGGCAGCCGCGCCTCCAAGCTCTCCTCCCAGGGTATCCTAACCGTGCGCTTCGAGATGCCTTTCGGAGTCTGGTGCACCAGCTGCCCGAAACCGACCGTCATCGGCCAAGGTGTGCGCTTCAATGCCGAGAAGAAGCGCGTGGGGAACTACTACAGCACACCGATCTGGAGTTTTCGCATGCGACACGCTGCGTGCGGTGGTGCCATCGAGATCCGGACTGATCCCAAGACAACGAGCTACATGGTCACTGAGGGCGGGAAGAAGAAGGACACGGGCGAGGATAAAGTCCTGGAGGGGGACTTCGTGATCCAGACTGCGGAGGAGCGGGAGGCGCTCAGGGGCAACGCGTTCGCGAAGCTGGAGAAGACGATTGAGGATCGGGAGCAACTTGTCCTGGCGAAAGCGAGGATAGAGGAGCTAGAAGATGTGAATGCAAGGCTGTGGGAGGATCCTTACGAGCGGAATCGGCGGCTGAGGAAGGAGTTTAGGGTTGGACGACATGCGAGGGAGCGGGAAGAAAAGACGGCGGAGGAGTTGAAGGATAAGATGAGCTTGGGGATTGATCTGATTCCTGCGAGCGAAGAGGACGCGCGGCGGGCTGCGTTGGTAGATTTTGGACAGATTGATGGGGATGGGCTGGGGAGCAAGGCCCTTACGAAACCGCTGTTTGCAAGAGAAGCGAACAGAGCACAGAAGCTGTCTGTGAAGGGCAAGAACAGGCTGAACTCCAAGATTTCCGCCGCGTCGGAAATGAGGGAGACTCTCGTGTCAGAGATTGTGGGAAACACGCGCGCCGCGCAGGATCCGTTTCTTGTCCAAGAGCAACCCCCAAAGGCGCCAATGAGGATACCAGGAATTAAGAGGAAGAGAGATCTGGCCGATGAGCCGGGCAGTTCAAGAGCTGACGTCACAGAGAACAAAGTTGCAGCAGAGAACCCAGCCATAAACGTAACAGCACCAGCCGCTCTGGTTGACTACGACTCGAATTCGGAATAGATGTATTTGGTATGACGTTGCACGGATGTTGCATTTACAAGATACCCAAGGCGCAGTTCAAACTTCGGAATAGAATATGATAGTGTACGATCATGGGCGATCGATGATACCCATGGCATAGAACTAACACGGAAAGGATTCCTAGAGGGGGCACAATATCAGACCCTTTACTGTATTGTCGTCTCGAATATCGAGTATCATAGCGTACTAGCTCATATTATCCCCCCAAAACAAAGCCATCACAAGTCTGCAAAAGAAACCCCTTGCTGTGCCGGAGAGGAGTTAAGATCTCTGAATCGATCTTATGCAAACGCTAGTAGCAAACTCCGGTAGAGTGAAATCCATCCTGGCCCGTGCAAACACAAACCACATGACTCCATAATCCTGAGAAATCGAAATGCCGAAGCAGACAGGCGCCAGCAAACATCTGGGCTAAGCCTGCCGTGCTTCGTCGAGCATCCAAAAGCCAAAGCCGCATTCGATGATGACCCAAAGCATTTCGTAGGTTGCACCCTACAGTTGTTCCCTTCATACATCGTCCATTTGGCCGGCGGGTTGCTCCTCATCGTCTTCCCCAAAACTCGCTACCGAGGACATGTCGTCATCGTCTTCACTTTGTTCGCCTGCTTCGTCGGCTGCGTCTTTGCTGGCATATTTCTGCACATACTCTGATGATATGTTAGACCCAGCTCTAGCGCGTCAGTAGGGCATCAACAATCCTCACCCTTAACCTTTGCATCGTAGCTCTTGGGCTCGCGCATGAGCAGGGCAGCGGCCTCACCATTCAGAGGATCGGCCGGGTTCGGGTACCGCAGGAGTTGCGGCAGGAAGACCTCGAAGATGTTGATCATGTCGAACATGGGCGACCAGGTTTGGTTGATAACATCCAGGCAAACGGAGCCCGACCTAGATTACCCTTCTCTTAGTCCCTCCGACACCCAGCATTGTGATCATTGCCCGTCACTCCATCCACTTACAGCTCATCGATATTAGGGTGGAAGATTCGGTTAACGAAGCCGATGCTCGGAGACTTGTAGGGGTACTGGTCGGGCAGCTCGACGTGGACCTTCCAGACGCCGTTCTCGAAAGGGGTTTCGGTCGGGCCCTTGAACCGGACGTAGAACTCTTGCCTGAAACGGTGAGTATTGAACGATCGGTGAGGGCCAGTGTGCCACAGGTCCACTGCGAAGTAGGTTCATGACATAGCTGGGTTACCACGACGTGGACTTACACTGTTATTTCAAGTCAGCAAACCAACACGTGAAGGCAAAATTCTACGTACTGTTGTCATTGACGAGCGTCACTTCATAATCACTCATCAACCTGAAACGATTAGCAAAGGGAGCAGCGACGCACTGGAATTTGAAACTCGTACATCCTGCGAGGTGTTAGTGGGACGTGGGCGTCTAACAGCGTTGGCGGGGCAGGGTGTATACTTCATGACCTGTGCCTGATTAACACCAACCGCGCCTCACATTTTCAACAGTTGCACTCACATCAGTCTCGATACGTCTTCTAGGGCTACTCATCTTGGCTGCTGTATTTGGTTCTTGTCTTTGTCCTGGTCGCGATGCACAGGCGTTCGATTGCGACTCTGGTAGTGACTTCGGTATGCGGACTTGCGTTGACGGGTTGACGGCTGCTCAAGACGTGGAGGCTGAAAAAGTAACGTGGGCTGCTGTTGTTCGTCCCAAGCACATGTAGAAGTGAGTCACTGACAGTTTGGGGGAAATAGACCACGCAGGTTCGTTTGGAGACGTTGGGTGGTCATAGGGGAGTCAAACGATGGAGACGGTGCAGTCACAAGAGACGACCCGATGACGCGGGATCTCCTGATAAGACGATAGCGCGGCGGGTCCGATAATGATCCGTAGCATTAGTGCATAACCTGCAAAGTAAACATTCCATATTTACTCCGTGCAGATGTTCCAAAGTCAATTCGCATCCATGTCCGCATTCAATGTTACCACCACGGAACCCAGCGAGAAGGTGTCCAATCAAAAGCACCGTATCTTGTAACCAACCTCTGCCGGCTGTGATTCATTCCTCTATTAAGTTGCACTGGTCTACCGGGGCTGCAGTATCTAGATGGAATAAGTACCTGTCTGGACAGATTCTCCCATTTTAGTTAACTTTGAAAGGAATGTGCTCCTTATTATGACTTCCCTTTGCACATGGTTCATCGGCTACCAGCTTCCAAACGGTTGGGTCCATTATTCCCAACCTAGAGCCTGCCCCTGTGGCTCGTCCTTCAGCCTGGATGTCGACCAGTTCCTTCAGAATGGCATCTCACACCAACCCTTCCGGGATCTGCCCTTGCGTAGACTTGCGACAGCTTAGGGGTCACATGGAAATACGCAAGTGGTAATCCAGGGGGCTTGAGGTCCAATCGGGCCACTAAGACCACCTTATGGTCTAAACGGCTTGATAACTCAGCACCAAGTCCGCCGTTTTGGTGGTTTGTTGTTCTGGGATGTGTTCAGAAAAAGAAAGTCGAAGTCAGCGGAAGCAAAGAAGCTTCTCAGGCTTGAGCCAGTACGATAGCACATCCCGCACCCCGAGGGCAAAATTCCGCCTGATTTGAGTGAGATGGTTGACCCGTTACAAAACGTAGTTCTTCGATTCGAAGGTTTCAGGAGTCCGCTCTCCGAGAAACCAAAGTTTACTGCCCAGGAAACAACGAACAAAATATCGTAAAAAGAGGAATAACTGCGGTCTACACTCGAGGCATCAAAGACGAGAAATAAGCCAAAGCAAGACCAACGCGCTAATAACAGACACTTTAACGTTGTCATTAGCAGAGAGGTCTTCGTTGCGCCTATCTGTGCGACAACTGCAAAAAGTCCCCAACGCGCCACGTGTCGGAAGACCTTCCCATCAAACGGATCTACTTCACTAATGATAGATATCCTAAAGTTCAATGGAGGCTTGCTATCGAACATTTTCCCCGATACACCTCTCCGATAGTCGAATACTTGTGCCTAGAATCATGTCAGGTGCAGATAAGCCACAGTGGCTTACCGGGCCCTAGCCTATGCGAAGGTCGGCAATATATAAATAGACCAGACCAAAGGAACGCGATTGTACTTTCATCGACAATGAAAGGGTGCTTCATGAACGGTTTGGAACTGTAAGGTACGAAGCACGCAAACTCAGATATGCGCTCGTTAGTGGTGAGACTGTGAACATCTTGCATGGCCTGATGACCATATTGAATCCATTCAAGATGGAAGACGCGGTAGACCCTAATGCCAGTAATGGAGCAAGCTAAGCGCCTTAGATAGGGGGAAAACTTTGACTGAAAGTAATGGAACCTGAACTTGAAGACAAGGAGAAGAATTTGCGGTGAATCGGCGTCTTTTTTTTGCAGGCCAACGGGAAATTTGCGTATTGCTAAGTATTAAAAGCGCCTTTCGCGTTGTATAAAAGCTCTTGTTTTTATTGGCACTGAAGGAATATCTCTGCAATCATGGTTTGACAATATATCTACACCGGAGTTCCGACCACCTAGGAAGTACCCAACTTCATTTTCCGACGACTACTACGGTATATAAGGGCTTTGGAAAAGTCATCAGTAATAAGCTGGCTCACCTGAGCTACATAGATGGGGTCTTTCATTCGTCATCACGCCGGTGTCAGCAACAATGTCTGTTCATTTTGTACGTATCTATGTAGGAAAATATGAAAATCGGGGGGGCTAGCTAAAATCCGAAAGCCGGCAATGTCAATCTAGATAGCAGAGCTGATCGATGCATACTGCGAAGATTGCATACTGGGGTATTTTTATTTGTCCTTAATCAATTTCTAGTAGCTGTCGAAGAATATACCGGCACAATACAGAGGATTAGATAATAAACGGAGGCCTGTGAGATAGATTCTGGCCCAACTGGGGCCTCGCAAGTACCATCAACCTTGCAACACCAGTAGCGATTCATTCCATCGAGAAACCGGAGTATTCGGGAAGGATCGAATATTTGATTAGCTATTTAATAAAGCTTATTCCTTACTAACTACTGTGATATTCAATGCCACAGTTATGCCCTAGGCCAGAAGCAGTGTTTTTGCTAATGTAGCTGGTTGAGACCCTTCCTTCTGCTCAAGCACCCTTACAGAGCCTCCCGAATACCAAGCTACGTAGCATAACACGTATATCAGGCATAGCAGTCAATACGACATTTGTTCAGAATCATTAACAGAGGACTGATTCCCTCAACTACTTAATAATAACAATATCTTTGAGCCCCATTGGGCTTTGTTCCCTTTTAGCCACCTATGGCCGGGCACTTCATTTGTACCGTGCGCCTATTTAGCCTATCATATATTCTGCATTTATCCTCATGATTCCTCATCCCTCTTCAGATAATTTAATAACAATACTTTTGTGGGATCGCACTGGCACTGGCATTACGGCTACATACGAAGGTGAAGAAGAGAAGTATAGGTGGGGGGATCCAAGCCGCACAAGGGCACTGCATTATCTCAGGTGTACCTCAAGGTGGCCTGGGTCAACCACCAGACCTCTTTGCCTGTGAAGCTATTCCTAAAATTGTCGTCGCCCTCTGGTTAACCATCCCTTTATTCCTTAATAGAACTTGTCTTCTTGCCACAAGTATAGCAACGTACCTTGCTTATGTCTCTACCGTCACCACGGTCCTAACTACATATCAACCTCGTGCTCTTCTAATTCTAACCATCGCGGAATTCAGCAGCAACATCGGCGTAAACTTGGTCGACAGTAAGTGTACTCTAGCGTAGCGTTAACTTCATACGGTTAGCTCAGTCGGTGGCGTTCTCCTTAATGCTATTAACAAACATTATAACTTCTTGTGCTGTATTTGTTAGCATATTAACTTCGTCGTCCCGTTAAACCAGGCGCTTAAACTCAACGATATAGTCCAAAGCAGTCAACTTGCCCTTGCTACTCCAGGTTAGGCCCTGTATTAAGCTCTAAAGCTCCATTTTCTAATATGTTACTTAGCCCTAGTAGGTATTTTATAACGCGGCCAGCATCACTAAGCATTTGGCTAAGCCGGCTACAATGGCCATCGGCTCCTCCTTAACATTAGCTATAACGGCGGCGGTCATCTTCGCTTCGTCGATTACCGTGTGAAGTGCTCCGCATCGCTATCCTTGTATCCGATCGCTGAGATAAACATGTATAGACCTGTCTTCCACGACTCCCACTTGTCACCGCCGGCCAGGTTGTTCTCGTCTGCTAACTTGATGAAGTGGCCCCAGTCCATATATGTCTTAATGCTCTTCTTAATAGCTTTCTTACCCTTAGCACCTTCGCCGGCGCCCTCTAGCTTTCCGTCGCTTATCTTCGTCTTGGCACACAGCCTTGTGGCGAAGCCGGTTGGACACGCAGTACTCTGACCCTTGTTGTTGGTACACAGCCATGGGTTTGACACGCATTCGGGGTTGACACGTCAGGAAGACACACAGCCTGTTGCCTGCAACTGCTCAATTGGGCACACAGTCCGCCGTACGATTTGCCGAATTAATCGAAGGAATGGTCGAATAATTATCGCGACGGCGACCTCGATGAGCCTTCAGGAATACCAGCACTCCTAAACGGGAGATGCTACCATGTGGGATCGCACTGGTACTGACATTCCGGCTAAATATGAAAGTGAAGAAAGGAAGTACAGGTAGGGGGCGTGAGGGGGGGCCCAAGCTGCACAAGGGCACCAAAGTATCTCAGGTGTACCTCACTGTGGCCTCAGGCCACCAATTCCACAACTCTTATATAATTATTTCTTTACAACTAAAATTGAAACTTCCTATCGTCTCCGTTGAAGTCACACCCATTTTATTCTACAAGCCGATGGTTTGGAGAATAACCCGAAGTGTAACAACTGATGTTTATTCGACCCGTGGTTTGGAGTATTTTCAAGTTATCAGTAACCTTCGCCAGAATGCCACGTCTTTTCAAGTGCATTCTAACATCAGTCCTTTGGTCCTCCAAACACCATTGGTAGCCTCATGTTGGAGGCCCACCATGCCGGCGGCCCATCATGCCGGAGGCCCATCTTGCGGCGTTATTGGCTACAGTCGCATGTGGTGTAACCAGATCCCCGACTTGCAAAAGCCTTGTGTGGCTATTAACTACACATGCGGAAAGAAGTTTCAATTCAATGCTGGAGGCTGGGTGCATACCCAATTTTTCATATGTAGTAGACCTTGAGCAGCCAATATTTCTTGCGAAATACTCAACAATTTTGTATTAAGCTCTATAGTTTCCATCCCCGAACAACCATGGTTACACACAAGGACAAGCACTTCTACGCCGTCGCCTACGGTCGGACGTATCCATTGATCGCTCAGTCATGGTACGAATCGACATGACAATCCCTCTGGCATGAGAGCTGACATAGCCATGTTTCAGGGCAGACACCTGGAACCTCGTTAGCGGATGTCCCGGCAACAAGTACAGAGGCTTCTCAACATTCCAGGAGGCCAAAGAGTACTTGAATTGCAACGGATGCACTACTTTCCATTTCTACGAAGGGATGTCAGACGGGCCAAAACCTCCTCCACGATCGCGGGACTACACAGTGGGGAATGGCAGGCAAACGGGCATCTATACGAGCTACGGGTATGTTTATACATCTTTCAAACCCCATGGCTATGCTCTAGCTGATGAAACACCCGACAGAACGGGGGCAGAGCCTGAGGTCACTCGGTACAGTCATGCGTGCCATAAAGCGCTTTCTGCCGCTCAGGCTGCTGCTTTCGTTGAATCATGTGTGAAAACCAACATGCATGTGCGCAGCATGAGCAACAATTCGGACAGTGCAAGTGAGGATGTGGGGTCTGGAGATTCAGACATCGATGGCGACCTGGCTCCGCAACTGGAAAGACTGGGTTTAGATGCCCTTTGATGCCGTGTTAGTACGTTTTTATGGACTATCTTGAGTGTGGAATTTAGGATGCTGGTTTCTTCTGCTGTATGGGTCTAGGGGAGGGCTATGCACACCTAACTGTCAGTGCTTCAGAAACGAAACCTCTGGTGTAAATTTGTAATACAGTCAAGTATGCAGCCAAAAGGCATGTTTTCCTGTGTTTAAGGCCCTTATGGCTGGCTACCTTCACGCCTTTGGACTTGGGGAGATCAGAGAAACATTCAATTTTATCCTTTGTTACAGCTTGACATATATCCGATAATTAGGTCAAGTGAGTTTCCCAAGTTCCTCGGCTTTTCGAACTCAGAAAGTCCTAGTTGTGACTAAGGCCGTCATCCAGCGCCAATTTGGATATACTGGGATTACAATGCGTTGGCCCAACCAACTCTTCGTGATTAGATTGTCGCTCATGACGATGCGGTTAACTTCGAATAGGGACGGATTGTGGCTCGGCGTGAAGTTTGCCGACACGTAGAAAGGAAGTGTGATTCTTAGAGGACAGATTGAGGGCGGATTCGGGTTCCTCGGAAAAGCTGTCCCTCTCATCACTTTCAACCTCATCCAGAGGCAGTACGGAGCAAATCTTCTGGCTTTTGTACTTGTGGCTGCCTTAAAGCGTGACGGATTGACCAGGCATATCTCGGGGTATGCTCCCGGGTGTATTCTAGTAAAACATGATGTCGCCCTTCTTAGCAAGCATGTACTCGGAGATCATCCTTCTAATCTCTGGTGGGAAGCGGGATAGTGATCACGGGTTCGCTATGTCTTCCTAATGGATGATCAGCATGTCCATTGATAATTTCTCAATACCTTAAGGTAGTTGGTTCCGAATGGAAGCACTCGGCTCGGTCTCATGTTTCGTGATACTGGCTAGAAAGGATTCTAGAGATGTTAATGGACTGATTGTGGACCTAGTCGAGGACGGGTAATGGAGTAGTAAGGGTCTTTGCAGGATGCGATTCCAGAAAAGAAAGCCACAATGCAAAATAACCGAAGGGTGGTTCTTTGGTCCACGGGTGACGTTAATTTTGGACCAAGCGGATCCTAGGTTACGGTCCTTACTGAGATCAGTCTATATCCTCAATTGCTGGAAAGGCGCCAAATTTCTCGTCTGGGAAGTCAGGTTTCATCCAAGATGGGTGACTTCGGTGCTCTATTTTATTCTTCAAATGGCGCCGCTTCAGGAAGGTTCTTTGGCCGAGGTGGGCTCCGGTGATGAAAAATAAGCGGTGAATCCAGGTTGGATAATCAGATTATGCCGGTTTATGACACTGAAAGACCGAGCCATCCCTAGACTCCATTATAGTCGCACCGTCTCTTCCCCCATCCGATTGATTGGCTTTGCATCATGTCGTCGATATCTTATAACAGAGGACTAGTGGCACACAGTCCACTGGCGGAGCCCTAGTTACTCCGTAACAATGTACACTAGTTAGATAGGTAACATTCTACCGTTACACCTGACGGAGGTTAACTTAGCTCAATCAACATCACAATCCTCCATGATCTTATAATGAGCTACGAGTGGGTATATACCAGATACTATAGTGCTCCGCAACTTTTGGCGATCAATTGACATCTCAATCGTCCCTCAAGTCAAGCTATTGATCAAATCACTATGTAGATGAAAATATGGTGCTCTGAATGAAGTTTCTGTTATTTGCCAGTACTGAAGTATTGTTGGGGCACACAGAGAGATAGTTATAGTGTGTTGCCAGTGCGGGTAGGGTGGAACCAAGTGACGATGGCTATGCACGAACCACTTTAACTAGTATCGTGAGCTATGGCCGAGCTAGTTGCATTGTGGCTGTTTGCGGGTCTACGATAGTGACATCGGCCTGTGAAACTCCAACCCAACTGCCATATTGGCACGAACAAACTCTATATAAGCGAATATAAAATAATATTAAATACGCCGTAGGTGTTAACCCTCGGTACCTCTACAAGTACTCCCTTAAGGGGCTATAGATGATATAGCGGGCCCTTAAGCCGCGTCGGGCGGTTATACAGGTAAACTTGTAGCCAAATGACTACTAAACCTCCTGTCCCTCCCTAAGTCTGTGCTACAACCCCTGCCTGAACTACCGATAAGTGTGGTAATGTGGCACTTAAATTCGTCCTCAGGGGTGGGATGCTGCTGATGTGCAGAAGATGCTCGACTATTTTTTTGTCGCGACAAGTCGTAGTATCTGCTAATTGGGGTTCTCGTCGAGCGTATACATCTCAACCATACGCTCAAGTGGATAGACCGTAACGTGGTCAGACGCTCGCAAGAATCGCGGCGAGAGGGCGTGCTGCGCGCCTTCTATCGTGAGGGGACGGGTTCGCCGACGAGCGTTATCGGAAAGGCGAGGTCCGATAAGGGGTCGGATTAACGATTCGAATTCTGGACCGGCTGTCGAGTTATATTCCGCCGACGTAGTGCTTGACGGTCGACTGGCTAGGATGCTCGTAATCCTAAACTGCACCAATCTCCCTATTATCGCTAGGTAGGCGAAGTCAACAAGGTGGGCAGCGCGCCGTAAGGGTTGACTAAACCCCCTTGTGTGTCAGCTGCGGGATTCGAACCCGCGACTCGTCACCGACCCAAGTGGGCGAGGCTCAAATCGGGACTTATCTACCAGCGAAGTGACCAACTACACCAGCCGACAAGCGAATATAATTATGCCTTCAGACAGATCACCGCATTCCTCTCCGAAATTAAGGCCAACTCAGTCCAACCAGAAAGGACCAATCCTTCGTAACCTTCTTTCCCACCTAATGCTGAACCTGCAGCGCCCCCAGATTCAACGGCGCCGGCTCTACGCTTTCCACCCCACACGTAATCTCCATACTCCTATAAACACCGCCCATGGTCCTCTTCTCCGGTATGAACACCGCCAAATTGACAAACATTTTGCAATCCGGCTCGGCGAATAATCTGGCCTCGCACCCATCATCCTTATTCGCCATGAAATTCGCACAGCTCACTACGCCGGGGGTGTTGTAGCATTGCGGCGTCGCAGGCCCCGGTTTTGGCACAGCAAGATTCATGATTACGTGCCCACGGCAGTTTTTGGGCCCTGGCGAGCCAGAGAAGAGGAGCGCGTTGATGGGCGTGTAGGGTTCGGGAGGAGGGGCTGGCGGTGCTGCAGCGGCTGGGGCAGCTGTGGGTTGGGTAGTGGTTATGTTCGAAGGCAAGATGGACTCGATCATGGCGTTTTCGCCTAGGTCTGCTTCGGATTCTTGGACGGCCCCGTCGACCATGACCGGTTGCATTTTCCGCCTTTGCGCGCAGGCGGGCGTGAGGTAGAGGGCGCCGAGAACAACTAGGAAGAGGCTGGATGTCGTTGGGATATGCATTATGGTAGTTATCAGCATCTAGGGACGCAGATTTGTGACTGTTGCAGCTGTTAATGTTGGTTGAGTTCGAGCTGCGGCAGAAATTTGTTCAAGTGTCGTCTCATGACACGCCAAGCTTCCAGTGTTGCTGTCTTGGCGTTTCAAATTGCCAAACCGTGCACATATTGAAAGAGCATCAGAATGCCGTCTTGGTCAAGGTTATGTATCTTCCTATTTTCATTTGGAGGTGTGAGGTAACAGGTAGTGAGAAGATATTTCTTATACGCATCAAGCTAAGTCGAGAATTGCCTGTAAGCGGGTATACTAAATCCAGCCTTATCAGCAAACCAATTAGGTATACCCAGCATTAGCGGAGTATATACCTAGTTTATACCACCTAACAAAGAAACTTAATAATAACTAACGTACCCCACGGTCCAATGGAACACTTTCGCGCATTTCCGTACAACCTAGGTTTTATCCCTTATTTTCCACCTTCTACAATGGCACGTAATTGGGAAGAAAGCGATATTCAATTAGCGCTTCAAGCGCTTCAAAATAACCCCAAACTAAGCGTACGATCCGTAGCACGGATCTATAATATCCCTCATACAACCTTACGGCACCGATATCGCGGCGGTACTTCACGACAGGATATACGATCACCAACGCAAAAGCTTACCTATTCCGAAGAAGACGCGATCGTACGCTACATAGTCGACCTAGATTCACGATCATTTCCTCCTCGAATAAGTGGCGTTGAAGATATGGCGAATCGACTACTCCACCAACGCGACGCAGGACGCGTCGGTATTAACTGGGCTTCGAGCTTCGTACGACGACAACCAGACCTCCGGACGCGTTTTAATCGAAGAATCGACTACCAGAGAGTCCTCTGCGAAGATCCCGACGCGTACCGCGCGTGGTTTTATCTCGTACGGAATACAATTAATAAGTATGGAATTCAAGAGGAGGATATCTATAATTTTGACGAGACTGGGTTTCTTATGGGTCAAATCTCATCCGAGATAGTTGTAACGACCTCTGATCGACGTGGAAGACCTAGAGCAGTACAGCAAGGGAATAGGGAATGGGTTACAGTTATCCGGGGCATCGGATCGGACGGTTATACTATCCCTCCGTATATCATCTTTGCTGGTAAAACTCACCTATCTTCGTGGTACGAAAATAGCCTACTACTAAAGGATTGGGTTATCGTGGTTACGAAAAATGGCTGGACTACAAATGAAAGAGGCGAGGACTGGATTCGACATTTCGATCAACATACAAAGCTTCGTACGAAAGGTGTTTATCGCCTCTTAATTCTCGACGGCCACGAGAGCCACCACTCGACCGCTTTCGAGCTCTACTGTAAAGAAAACTCTATTATCACACTCTGTATGCCTGCTCATTCGTCGCATAAGCTCCAACCTCTCGATATCGGCTGTTTTCGTGCACTGAAAAGAGCGTACGGTAAAGAAATTGAGGATCTTATGCAGGCACATATTACCCATATCTCGAAGGAGGACTTCCTCTCCGCGTTCTTAAAAGCGTTCCAGGCAACTTTTACGATATCAAATATCCAGGGAGGTTTCCGAGGGGCAGGACTCGTACCGTACGATCCGGAATATGTGATTTCGCAGTTAGATGTGAAGTTACATACTCCAACACCTCCGGGTACCTCGTCTGGCCTTCCTATTATCTGGGAGTCGAAGACCCCAAATAACCCAATTGAGGCACAATCCCAGACCGAACACGTGGAAAACCGAGTTATACGACATCAAAATAGCTCTCCGACAGCTACACTTGCTGCACTTGACCAGTTTGCGAAGGGTACGACGCAGGTTATGCACCGGCTTGCTCTTTTAGAGGGTGAGAACGCCGCGCTTCGAAAGGCAAATGAGACACTTAGCCGGCGGCGTTATACGAGAAAAAAACGTTTACAGTATGGAGGATCACTTCGTATACAAGCTGGAGAAGATTTACAGTCTCAGAAGCTAGTTAACGGAGAGTTAGATAATAAATCGCGCTGGAGTCGTAGTCGTACGAGGAGGCCAGAGATACTTCAGCAACGCTGTAGGACGTGCGGAGAGCCCGGTCGTAATATGTGTACTTGTCAGAATAGTAAAGAGATATCTGAAGAAGATAGTTCCGAGTAGTTTTAATTATTTTTTACGTTATAGTTGAATTAACTTATATCTTATTGTACGAGGTCTTAAGAAGTGTTCAATTGGACCGTGGGGTACGTCAAGGAGTAACATTACAATTTCAGTGATAGGTTGAGCTAAAATCTAGCTAATATTTCGCCCAGAGGACCACGAATCTTGGGCAAATGTAACCGACGGCACGGTGACAGTGTGTCGGTATAGCTGTGCATGGCGTCTCGCCGGTGCGTTTCCGCAAATCTCCTGATCGTCCTCCCATTCAGGGAAGAGCAATACACCATCGTTGTTGACACCGCATCTAGCTAGGCAATGAGAAGATCTGATGCATAGTCCGTGGCTAACATTTCGTGCAGCCAGAGATCATCGTTGACAGCTGGCAGTTGTCCAACGGAAGGGCTGCTACATTCTTCATCTTTCTGGCTTTTATGGTTGCTAGCATCATTAACAAAGTCTCCACGAACAGCATCTCCGTCGCCGTACACCTGATGACGCTGTTTCCGAATAACTGTCAGGGTACGGCTAGGCCGAAGGCAATAGTACAGAGTGATGGGGAGTAACGGGCGTCCCTCCTACGTAGCACCGGGTGGTCACTGGCGGTCTCAGGTAGGGGTGCCCATGATGATGCATTGATCTCCCCTCTCTCTATCTTCTTCCCGGGCCTCCGCCCCTTACATAGATAGCTAGAACCCGGCGTCGGAGCCGCGGAGCACTAGTTTCTCCGATTGTTCCGCAAACCAAGACTTCCATATCGTGTCATGACTCGCACGTCCCTACACCAGAGCCCCACCGGTGTCCCACCGGTGCCTATGGCATTCTGTTCTCTGACAATAACCTCAGCCTATAGCACATAGTTAATCTGCGCGGGGCTGAGTGCGTGGTGCATGATTCAAGTGCAGGACGGTAGGTCATCTTGGCGTCGGCTTCTTCGAATTAGTAAATGTACATGAAAATTCTGTATTTGAGCGGAGATTTTAGCAATCCGGACACGGAGTTGGGGCAATGGGTTAGGGCTGTCTAAGACTGGTCACACAATCCAAAAGATTGCCTGTAGTATGCCCAGAAGATCACTGATGCACGAGAAGTGATTGTTGATTTGGCAGCAGCCACTATTTATCTCATTTGACGGAAGCATCATGATGTTACCAATGACGCAGAATCCGGATATGGAGCCGAGCTAGATGTAAAGCGTCGACAACCCTTCGACTGACTCGCGCGACATGATCCGAATCTATTTCGGGAGGAATGAGAGGAGGAACCCAACATGCTGTGTTAGTGTGTTGTGTCAGCGTATAGTCCTTGCTGTTGCTGCTCACCAAAGGGATGAGTGTTTTGGTTTGGGAAGGGGGCTGGGGGTTGGAAGACGACAAATTGAGAGATCCAGGGCTGGGAGGGTGGTTTATACCTGTTCAAAGGTGTACACATTCATTGTATAACAGCTTCGGGAAAAAATCATCAATGTGTACTGTCCAGCCCATGTCATTTAGACTCGTGGATGATAACACGCGCCCTTGATCCAATCGGAGGAAACACTCCAATACAAGCTTAACTTTGCATGAGAAAAGCATGGTCAGAAATAATGCACTTCGTGTATTTCTTCAGGTTTTTGAATGAGATATATAAGCTGGAAAGGGGAACCTTAGTCGATATATTTCCGAAGGAACGCCTAATCGGGTGCATAAAATTTCGCAAACCATGTGGAACACGCTATTACATATACCCCTTGCTTCGAACCAAATGCTTGGCGCGTGGTCTAAGGAAACAAAATGAAGTCAAGGTTGCCAGAAGCACATCGCAGGTATGAGGGCTTATCCTTTGCCGATGTTTCGTGACAGCACAATGCTGCTTTGCGAGATTTGCCGAATATGAGAAGGCATTGATATGTGTACTAGTGCGAGGGACCCGTTAGCAGTATGAGTGTTCGTACAACCGGAGAGCTCTCGGACAGAAGATAGTTAGCACCATGACACAGTTGGCACTTTGTTCTGCCAATCGGATCAGTCGAGCAGCTCATCTCTCGATATTCTAGAGCCAGTCGTCCTATAAGAAGCTACTACCTTGCAGAAAGAAATGTTCTGGATTCGCAGCACTTTGGTAAACATTCAATTTGTGCAGACATCGCCATTACTTTGGGCTCGCCTAGCCTAAAATGTCCGAGGCCAGATCTCGATTTGATCAAATGCACACCAACAGACGGACATTAAGTAAAGCATATAAGTCGTTTGCAACCTTGGACATCCTTGTTTCACGTGGTACGCTGGGAGAATATAAGTCGGTTCGCCTATCAAGTTGGGACGCCAAGAATACATTAGACAGCCTTTTGCCCATTAAGCTGGGATATCAAGGATCTAAGGGATTTGGCCAGAACGGCTTTATCTTGAAATACAGTTCGGCTAGCGTCGTAGATTTAACATAATCCTTGACCCATTACCACCGCCCTGGGTGAATGCCCATCTCTATTATGATCGTACAACAATCGGACGTTGAAGTGTTTCACCACGAACTATCGGCACTGCTTCTCCTGGGCTCCCTGCATCGATCGGCACTTTTAGCGTTTTCTGGGGTCCATCTCGGTAACTACTTCTCTTAGGAGCTCGAGGTTCTAGAATTCGGATAGTTGTGACTTCTTCGGCTCCCGAAGCCGGATTGTGAAATCTATATAGCACAATTATCTGCCGCACGTAAACTGACTTTATGTAACCAGTTCCTGCAACTATTGAGGGTGAATGCCACCAAATTACACTTCAAGACTCCCTAAATGTCAAACTACACCATGGAACAGATGTTCAAACACCAGAAAAGCCCAAGCAGCTACTCCCATCACCGCGACTGCAGTTTCTACCATAACGACGAGTATTCAGATCACAGCTCTTTGCACTCTCCTCACAAAATGTTCACCGACGACGGTCCTCTCTTTAGAAATGATCATAGACGACCGATGATCAGAGCACCTTCGAAGATTCCCATCACGCACGAAAGTGTTGAGCAACTCTTCATGTCGCCTCCGGGCACTGCGAAGGGGGAGTTCAACCGCCTCTCTCCTACACCCCCCAACAATGGCAACCCAACTCCCGCTCCAGCTCCAGCGCCAGCTCCACCCTTGGCTAACCCGGCGCCAATGTACGTATTAATTCCCCTCTCAGATATGTATCCATCTCGACTGGGATAACAAAGAAACTAACACAAACCTAGCGCCATCTGCGGTGTCCTCATGTCTGTTGGCCCCCTCGCCTGCGATCTCATGGGCTGGCGCGGGGCCAGCGGCGGAGGAGCAGCTAATACGTACGTGCACGCCCCTCTCCCCTAATTTAAGTCGATTAAGACGACAAACAATTCAAAAGTCTGACTAACATTCCCCCTTAGACCTGCATTCCTCTTCTTTGGTGGCGTCCTCATGCTACTCGGGGGAATCCTCGAATACATCCGGCGCAACACCTTCCCCGCCGTTGTATTCTCCTCCTTCGGCGCCTTCTGGCTCACCTTTGGCGCTACGTTGATGCCGCAGTTCAATGCATATGCTGCGTATGCGCCTACAGGGGCCGCAGCGGTGGAGGGGTTGAAGACGAAGGGGTTTAATGCCAGTTTTGGTGAGCTCGCCCGGAAAGGGTAATTGCAACTAAGATAGGAATGGCTGACTTAATTCTGTGAAGGCTTCTTCGCCCTCTCGATGATGATCCTCTGCTTCGTATACATGATCTGCGCCATACGAACGAACTTAGTCTTTCTCCTCATGTTCGTTACCCTCACTCTGGTCTTCGGTTTCGTGACGGCGGCGTATTTTGTTCTTGCGTCTAATTACGCGGGCAACGCTAAGCTGGCTGGTAATTTTCTCGTGGTAAGAGCTAATGCCACGATTTCTCGGATGATGTTTATGGCTGGTCGCTAACATCGGCTATTTCAGACTGCTGGTGCGTGTGCATTCACCACCACTGCAATTGGGTGGTATACGTTTCTCTCCATGATGTTCCAGTCGGTCGACTTCCCCATCGTGCTACCAGTTGGGGACTTTAGCAAGACGACAAAGCGACAGAGCGAGCCAGCGTCATCGAAGGTATGATGCTGAGTCATTATCTCCCCGTGGTTGACAGATGGAGCCGATGTGACGGCTTCGAGGATCCAAAACGAGCGTTATGCCCTCCTGAATATCTTAAAAAGGACAAGGGCTGAGCTGCTATAGGACGTAATGTTGCCGCAGGATGACAGGATGCTCAGCTTATAACGGTAAAATACGGACCCAAATCAGGGTCTGACGTCTGAACGTTAACCTTAATTACGGGTATAGTCTGGCCAGATTGGATACATTGTCCACGGTCGAACTCCTTGTGTTATGTATGATAATGACAAGATGTATGTCATGACTACCACCTGAGTATAACGTTGTAGCCTGTAATTTTGGTATGGAGGCTTTGTGTGGTGAAACCCATATGAAAGAGAGTTGAGGAGTAGCGGAACAATGTTATGTTCAAGTTAAGTTTGTGCTGTGTCCACTGTGTCCTTCGCCTTCGTCTCACCTGAGTTCTCGCCCAGCTGATCCCCGAGAGACGAGTCTCGCCCCGACATTCCCTCAACCTCTTGAGTTCCCGGTTCAGCCCCAGTTTCAACATCATTCCCCGAGCGGGCTGTCTCTCCAATCGTCTTATCCTTCAGATCCCATCCCCCACGCCACCCAACCCATCCTTTCTCATGAGGCCCCTTAACCAGCATCAAGAGTAGCGCCGCGCCTACCATCCCAATACTCAAGGCCCCACTATGAACCCATCCACCCCTCGCATACAGCATATTCCCGACCGCAGTGCCAAACAACTGCCCACAAAAAGTGAGAACCATATACACAGAGTTGACCGCATTCTGCGCCTTAGGGTCCACACCCGCTATGGCCATCCTATTTGCGACAACGAGGGTATTCATACCGAGATCCCCGAGAAACGCCCAGATAACGAGACCGGCGAGTGAGAAGGTGCCCACGAACGTGCCCACACAAACAGCCGCTAGCGCGACGAGACCGGCGATGAGGGACGTCCCCGTGGGATGGAGCTTGGAGGTCAGGAGGCGGGAGATGACGGGGTTGAGGAAAACGGGGGAGATACCGATGAGGGCGAAGAGACCGATGGCCAGGGTGCTTAAGTTGAAAGGGGGGGCGGCGAGTTGGAAGGTCAGGGTTGTCCAGAAGGAGGTAAACATGGCCATAATAAAGAACGCTATAAAGCCGTGTTGGGCGAGAACGGGTTTCTTAAAGGGGAGGCTGAGGATCGAAAAGAGGCTGCGCAGATAAGAGGTGTCTGGGCGTAGGATGGGGTAATCGGGCATTGTGGCAGTAAGGAGGAGGAGAATGAGGATCTGGAGGCCGAAGGACATCCAATAGACGTTGCGCCAGGAAGTGTATTGTGTTATTATGCCGGCGAGGAGACGTGCGATAAGCATTCCGAAGACAACGCCGGACATGACAATGGATGTCATGGTTGCACGATGTCTCTGAGGCGCATATTGGATCGCGAGCGGAAACATCAACTGGGGAGTGACGGTCAATATTCCGACTAAAAATGAAAAGCCGAGAAACACGGAAAATGATCGAGTTAGGGTCAAGCCGATCCACTGATTAAGGTCAATTCTCCTTTCGCCGAGCGTTCGGGGAATGAGTACTTACGATGACGGCTGTGGCGAGCATGAGGCCCAAGACCATAGGTCGACGGCGCATGATGTCGCCAAGGGGCACGATGAATAGTAGTCCGCCAGCATAGCCGGCTTGCATTATGGTGGGAATAAGCGCGGCACGCTCGCCGGTGACCTTGAAATCGTCGGCCAGGACATTGAGAATAGGGTGGTTGTAGTACAGATTGGCCACGCCAAAGGCTGCTGTCTGTTCAGAGAGTAAATACTCGAACGGTCTAAGGCAGATTCGCTGGCACAACTTACGAATCCGAAGATAATGTTTTGTCCCCAGGTTAGGTCGTGGTTGTTTCCATCAGGGTTCCATCTCAACCATGGCGGCGTCCAAAAGACGCGATCCAGTCCACTTAGCCACTTCGGCGAAGAGTGCAGCTTCTCGTCGGATTCAGTCATTTCTTTGCTGTTGGATGATTATTTTCTTGATTTATGAAGAGACTTGTTGGCTAGGCCACAAGGAAACCGCCTTCTTGTGGTCACCGGGAAAAGGTGTCGTGTGGTAGGTTGTCGCCGTGCCATCCATGGACGATAGATATTCGATTTGTAGGACCGCAATGAGGTCCATGGGACTCCATTGCTAGCGCCGATCGATTCGAAATTTTGGGCTAGACTAGCACTGCCTGCGGAATTTACTAAGCCGCTTCTTGATTTCTTGGAACTTCGACAGGGGGCTTTTCGCGAGCGGGGAATGAATGAGGTGGTTGATGTCACCCTTATCGAATCGAGGCTTCTTTTGGTCGTAATATGCAATTACGAGAGGAATTGTCAACCACAGCTGGCTCAATGACTCCATTAAGTGCAAATTTGACCCCCGATTGCAACAAGTCGATATCGACATCTTGTCATCAACCTGGTTCAACCAGCTGACATCGGGATTATCTTCTCCCTGTCATGACAAATCAAAACATAATTTAATCAACGAAAGTCTCACTTATAATCAGAGCGATCATTGACGTCAATGCGAACATAGGTGTTCGGGTTCCTTTGGATAAGATACTCCTGAATCGGCTCTCTGTGGACTTGCTCTTTGGTGGCCAGATCTTGCTCAACGCAACATGGAAATACCAAAATGTATCCGAGCGAGTAGATGTGCTGCGCTCTCTTCGAGACACGCCTGTCTGCTTTTAAGAAGCCCGGAAGCAATGATACGCAGGCTCCATCTTCGTCTTCCCAAGAGCTTTAAACTTGCGTTGAGGTGGGCAAGGTGGTGATGAAGCACGCGTTGCCTTTTCATCTAGCGAAATTATAAGAGCGAATTGCAAGTCGCAACCATCGAATGTGTCTTCGAATCTCTTACCAATATGGAATCCCATCCTGGTTGCATGAGTTTCACAATCCATGTATCTGAGCTGTAGGATTTGAAGTGAAGTATGCTATAAATAACGATATTATTTACTGAATATTCAAGAATTATTAAATGTGGGTATTATCATTTTCCTTCTCTTGATTGCCCTCCCACGTGCTGTTGCGCACAAGCTATTGCTTCCAGTCGTCAAGCCGTCCTAAGGTTCAAGTCCTTCAGCGACTTTGTGACAACGGGAGGCACTCGTCCAAATCGTCGACTGGCTACCTCACATCTCGCACAAATCTCAGTGGGTGCAACAGGGCGAAAAAGAGCATGACCTAGCCCATGGGCAACCCGTTGATGAGATATACAAAAATATCGTGCGAGGACAAAAATTCATCGGTGCCCTGCAAAGACTCAACGGCGCGCACTACGGTCCTAGCGAGGCGCTGTGGCGACATTTTAGCTTAGCCCATACTCATATACATGGTGGCGCTGAAGCAGGGAGCCGCGGTGAGGATAAGTAGGTTCTGCATAATCTAGCGGCATACCTTGGCGGGTTGGTCAGAGGACATAACGTTGTCGTGGTGCCTGAAAACCTCGCTCCTGCTTTCAGAGTATCGAAAACATTCGAGGGTTTTTCACAGGTCAGATATGGCTTTAATAGTAGAAATTAAAGAATATACCAAAACGAACCTCTTGTGTAAGAGTATGGTTTTCGTACTTGTGTGGGGAAATAGTGTAGTGCTGCATTCTCGTACCTGAGTGGAAAATAAAAGGCCAATCAGAGTATCACAGGTTGATAGCGCATGCCCATGTAACTTCAATGTTATTCCTGCCCATAATTACCAAGGGCCCACTTTGGTTGTCTATACCCAGCTAGGCCCTTCACGACGGAGAGAAGAACTAGCCTTATACTGTTTTGAACTTTGTTGGCGGGGTTCATGGAGCCCCTAAGTGACACTGCGGAATCTGTAAAGCCCAGCGAGCCGGTCTGTCTAAGTGAGGGCTTTGCATGTATAGACTGGCAGATGTAGCTGAGAGCGTTGCGTGAGTTTGTTGCTGCAAGTCCTAGCTACTCCCACTTTCCCTCTTTAAGGCATTCACAAATGACGATTTGCAATAGGTCTAGATATTAAGGATAACAGGTCCACATCAATAATGGGAAATTCAATTAATGATGGTGGTATCTCTAGGCGTACAAAGTGAATTATTCGGGTTGACACGAACAGATTGAGGTAGTTGTAACTACCAAATGGTAGAATGTCAACCTTTGATAAATCAGTGGTCTTCCAAGTTGTTATTTGGGCATGTGCACTTCACGTGGTCATTATTTAGGATCAACCCAGGGGCTTGGATTCATCAGATTTCTATTCGCTGTCGATATATTCAACACCCAGAATTGATTCGCTGTTTCTCGCGTGTAACTTCCATAATAAGTATGTGGCGCTTAGTAACCCAGTGCACGTACTTGCACGGAGAACCACTTGAGCAGTATGATAACCCTTGCGCTTAACAACCCTTCCCGTGCCAGACAAACCACGTTGGTAACTTTCATTCTACAAAGAGTCTTTAATATCGCCGTGGGCATCCTGGCAACAAAACCCTGTCAGCATTGCGCCAAGTACTCGCATACATGCTTCGTTGTCAACGAAATGGAGCTCAACACTTTGAAGTGTTTTCATTGCATCAGAATAAACTGGGTGAATGCTTCATCTCGAACAACCCAGACACTCATTATGCTGCGGGAAAAATCGACAACCAAGCCTCAACTCAACTCAATACCAATTGAGCATGGCCCCTTGGTGGTTTGGTGGTTTGGTGGTAGAATTAGTAAGCAACATAGCTGGTGGATTGATGGATGGGGTATCAACGGAGCATGCTCGTGGATTTGAGGGTATTCACGTGAATATTGTTCGTAAATTGTAAGACTATCGTCAATCTCGTGGTCACCCCCACTGTTATCGCCGGCGCCAATACCTTCATCCTCGCTAGGGTCTGTTAACTACGTATTTACCCTTGTCATCTGCTCTGCCTCTGTGGCCGTGAGGACCTTACGGAGTTTTTTCTCCTCCCGGAAAGACATAAGTGGGGGGTTAAGCCGGTTTATTAAGCCAACTTTCTGCGTTAAGGCTAGTACATTAGGCTGGCATTTTCCTACGAGCGAACGAGAATTGCCTCTCGAACTCGGCTGATATAGCTTGGATTGTGAGAAAGTCCAGCAATATTAAAGAGAGCCAAGGTGCTTGAAGCGCTTCTTATACTAGTACGTGATAGGGTCGCAAATCGACGTTTCTCTTTCATTCGGACAGTTAAGCGCGGTAGGAACAGCAAAATGCCCACGAGAGACGAAATTATAAGCTATCTAGCAGACATTTTCAAGTTTACGTGTTCCTACCTTGGTCGGCCAGGGCTAGCCGAAGCCCTAGTAGGGGTCTGATACCTGATATTGCCCCCTTGTAGAATATCCACCAAATATACATTCATAGCAACTCACCAATGTCTCCTAGTTGGTACCGACCCCACAGCAAAATCGGGAGAATGGGTGGACTTGGGTATTCTGTGGAATTGAGTCGGGGTTTTCGAGCATCAAAGCAAGAGAGGAGACGTGTTCAAGCAGGAGAACGACGCCGCTTGATCCGGATGATCCGGCCAATTTGAACCAGAACGCGACAAGCCCGAAAGTTCACATCCCGTTTGGAGTATTGTGCGAAGCATCAAATTCGGCAACGCCATCTAAGAACGGTGCAAACTACGGTCGCAACCCCATCAACAATGTTCAAGCGTCAAGGGCTCCTCTGGAGATAGCCAGCCCATAGGCGGAGGCCACATCCCCTAGCATCGCTTCCTCTACCAATTACGATGAGTTTCAGATGGCAGAGGCTCGTTCGAGCCTGTCTAACGATCAGAGGTTGCGACCCTTGACCAAGAGGAGCCCTCTATCAATACTGAGTAATTTGACACGATGAACGAACTTCGATAAATGGGTGAACTTGAACGATATTTGTATCCCACGCTGCGATGGCTTCGAGACTTTTCTGGCATGGTCAGAAAGTTTCTATCATGGCGTTAGACCTGGGTTCAGTTTGTCTTTTCGGTGTTGGCACTCAGACTCAGTTGGAGAGCGAAGTAGGGATTTTCTGGGTCGTTGCTTTGCTTCGATATTAATGTGAGCTGGAGGCTGGAGCAGGAGAGCCGGCAACGGGGATCATGGGGAATATCGCCCACGCCGAGGTGTTGGGGGAAATGGGAGGAATCCTCCTCTTTTGCCCGTTCTCATACTGTTGAGATGGTGACACGGGGACCCGCTTCCCTCTGTACGCACTTTTTGGTCTTGGCTGTATGTTCTTTTTCTCGAGTTGTTAGGTGGTGTTTTCTGGTGTCCAAGAACATCGTCGCCGGCTTGCATAGCTTTATGCAATGTTGGTTCATCATATGAGGGCTTCGAAGGGACCCGAGTCATGATCAATAATCAGTTTGTGTGCCCTACATTTTGAGTAGCAAATCTAAACGAAGAGCGTAGAAACTTCCAGATCATAATTGCCATAAGCCCTGGTCTTGGTTGAGTTGGATCAACGAACGTTACAGATGCGGCGGTTCCAGGGTTTCTAGTTCGATCTAGTAGCACTAGCAAGGGTGCTGATATAATAAGTTCTGTGCGATACGCAACTGATATATGATAAGTGTTACACGTACGGCCTTGGACGTATGAAGCGAGAATCATGTTTAGTTATTGGACAAAATCTGTTTTAGCAATGAAGGCTATTGGATACCATAGTCCTCGTTATCTTGATAGCTTCCTTGCTCATGTACAACTAGAGCTAGGCAGCCCCACGAAGACAGTCTGGTTCAATCCTTTTCAGTAGGAGCAAGAGTGCTTCTCGCGGTGCCCTAGTAGAGAGCTTGGCTCCCAGGACAGACCTAAAAGCCCTACCACTCTCTCTACACTCTATTTAATACTAAAATAGGTAGAAAAGGACTACTTAACTACTTAGATAGTACGAACATATCTACGAGGAATTGGTATTTACACCAAGGATAGCTAGACTGCGAGGGAAAGGTTATTAGTATTTGCGGAGGAAAAAACGAGACAGTATTTACCCTTCTTTCTAGGTATAACAGCCTAGGAGATGGGGGCACAGGCCCCTATTACCTTTTTCGTAGATAGTAGCTAGTCTATTCCACTGCCTTCATAAGCCGTAGGCTTCTGTAAGGCAGTATAGTAAAAGATAATATTTTTCTAAATAAAAATAGCTTGGCTATTACAAACTCACGTCGCACCGTTTATCCAAGCATTGGCAATGCTGAACGTCCCAATAGAAGAATGAACGAACCCATCTAGTCCACTCTGTGTATAAGCCAGGATTTTGTCTCTCTAATCACCATATCTACTACGGCTGATCCCTGGAAGTTACTTCAAGTGCCGACCGGCATGTGAATGTGGTGTGAGCATCGCGTTCATTCAATATAGATACGCCTTTAAGCAGTCTAACGACTTAGGTATAGTGATCCCGGCGCTATTAGACAGAATAGCGGAGAAAAGGTTGTTAACGGTCGGTATAAGCTAGCACACAGTCCCTTTATCGGCTCGGCTATGTGTGGCATTTCCGGATGTAACCATACATAGAGAGGATCTTATTTGCAATTTCTCATTGGTTCGGCACTGACGGAGCGAATTGCACCGTTCAGCGGTCGCGACAGGCCACAATGACAACTTCAGAGGTCGGCGACTCATCACCCATATAATTGTTCTTCCCGCCCCCACCCCCACCCTCGAGTTCTCTCCTCATAGCTGATCTCATGCCCTATCAATGATTTGCGGCAACAGCCTTCGGTCCCCTGGACCGGCAACGGTGACGTTCGGGGCCAATCGAAATCGAATGCATTAAGACAGTTTGCGACGCTGCCCCCCATGACGCCAATGACCCCCCCGGGTAAATACGCTCCGCCGGATGCGTGGGAGGCTCATCGCGGCATCATTAGTGACCTGTACCTGAAGCAGAACATGACGCTGAGGAGGGTGATGGAAGTCATGGAACAGGAATATGACTTTCATGGAACGTAAGTCCCTTGCCATAGTTGGCGAAAACAATCGCTTACCCCTGGATCAGAATCAAGATGTACAAGCTGCGCATATCGAAATGGGGCTTGCGCAAGAATTTCAAACGTCGCGATGTTGATGATCTCCTCCGTCGGGAGCAAACGCAAAACGGGACCAGCCATATTGTCGTTTCCAGGGATCGGAATGTGGCCAGTGGGATGGCCAAGGCCGGCACCGGGAATGTTTACGGCGGCATCCAAAAACTACCAAAAAAAGCGACCCCAAAGTTGAAGCAAACAAGCACGATTCAGGAGAATGCATCCCTGCCATCGCCTATCTCTTGCCGAGCCCCTTCCCCTGAACCTCCAATCTCATTTCTCTTCTCGCTAACGACGCCCGACGTCGTACGAGTGCCAGAGGAGTGCATGTACCTTTCACAACAGTACATCTACGGCGCGTTCTCTACAGGCCTATGGATGCCTGCCATCCCCGAACCCGAATGCGGTGTTCGGGAAGCAAAAATACTGGCCTGGTATAATATCATTATCGGTGGATCCGAGTTATTTAAGCAGGGCAAAACGAAACACGCCTTCAAGATGTTCCAGGACGGATTCGCTCTTTACTGGAGCCTCCTCAAAATGTCGGATCCGCGCCTACTCGCTTATATGTACATGGCGGCCATCTACCTGTCCGACATCGTTCCTGAACTCACCAGGTCCATGTTCAAGTACGCTGCTGGTCTGTGTCGCGTTGTTTACCAATCATCGCAGCACCCGCTGTACCTCTACATGGACATGCTAGCGTGCATGAGCACAAGCGAGTTCCGACGAAACGCCCGGGCTCTGATATCTTGTTTCCTTCAGAGCACGGAGACTCAACTGGACTCAAACAGCGATTTAGCTAGATCGATCATGTTTCTCCACAGTCCCGTCACCGCCTTCCTGGCATCTAAGGACCTCCTAGATATCGCAGAGGTGGAGCGCACGTCTGCCCGCCTGGTCAACAAGCTCGAGCAAATGCCCCTGGACACGGGCTCGCAGGTATGCCGCATCAAGCTGCATCTCATCAATCTCTACGAGGAGAAGAATAAGTTCCCGGAGGCGCATCGGCTGATCGCTGAGGTGCTGGGCTCCGACGAGATCAAGCGGTATCCTAAACACCTTCACTACCTCAATTACTCCATGATGATTATCGCCCGCAAGGAGGGCAACCACGGGACTATTCTTGAGCTGGCGGACAAGGTCATTGGATTGTGTATGAACCGCTTGGCACTTGGTGATCAGACGGGAATTGGGATGTCTGTTTCGACGCTTTCTACGCTGGAGGAGTATCTGCGAGAAATTGGGTATGTCGAGAAAGCGGACAAATTACGCGCGGATGTGGATGCCGCAGTTGGCGAGGCGGATGGAAATGAGGACATATTGGGGTCGATTGATGCACGAGCTAAGCAGGAGGAGGAAGAAGAGAATGATGAGTAACGTCCCACACCCACATCCGGGACACCCCCACATGTGGGACACCTAAAAATGCCTCATCAACACCGCTAGCCTCCAACTTCAACCTCTTTTATCTTTACTAATATCGATTCAATCGTTACGAAATTTTACGTACGTCTTCTCTGCACTAATATGAGTTAATATACCGAAGATCATATTTATCGAGCTCTTCAAGCAATAGCTACCGGTCAAAGTCTCCGAAAAGTAGCATATGAGTGTCACGGTCTATGACCGGTATGTGGCCTCTGCGACGCCTTCGGCCAGAAAGACCCACGGAAATCTCTGAATAAGCTTCACTCCGACAGCACTCTGGGATCAGTGTCGACCCCGACAAAGTTGAAGCAATTCGAGAATGGGAACCCCCTACCACAGTTCGAGGAGTTCGAGGATTCATTGGGTTTGCCAACTACTACAGAGACTTCATTCCTCACTTCTCAACGGTTGCCGTGCCTCTCACTCATCTGACAAAAAAGGACGTGGCATTCAATTGGACGAGCGAGTGCCAGCAGGCATTCGAGACACTGAAGGAACTGCTAGTTTGTGCCCCTGTTTTGACAAAATTCGACCCCGAAAGAGAAACCCGCGTACAACCAGACTCGTCCGGCTATACTATTGGAGGGGAGCTCTCTCAGCGATGCGAGGACAAGAAATGGCGCCCTGTCTGCTTTTATTCAAGGAGGAGCACCCCAGCAGAAGTCAATTACCCGATCCATGACAAGGAGCTTCTAGCCATAGTGAAGTGTCTCGACGAGTGGTCAAGCATGTTACGCAGTATGAAGGAATTTGAAATCCTCTCAGACCATAAAAATCTGGAGTTTTTCATGAAGAAACAGCAACTGTCCGAACGACAGATGAGATGGGCACTGGAGCTATCGAAGTATAACTTCCGGATAATCCATCGACCAGGCGCCGAAGCTGTTGTCCCTGACGCACTCTCCCGACGTGACCAGGACTTACCGAAGGACATTACCGATGAAAGACTCCGAGCCCGTCATCAGCAAATGCTACAAGGAAGTATGGGGGACTCTGTTCGCCTGAACAAAGCCTACGTGCCCTCACTAGTTACAACACCTGGACTCCGCCATGTCAGGGTTGCAGCCGGGTGGGTTTTAGGAGGTGACAGAGACCAAGAAAACGACGAAGAATCGGACAAGTCAGACCCCCCTGAGAACCCATTTCTGGAAGACGACATCCGACGGCTCTGGGACCAAGGCCTTGAACGAAACAACCGGTATTGGCTTATCCGAGGTGCAGTGATAAGGGGCGATCGACAGTTCCCTATCCAATGGGGGCTCCCTATCTCTATTTCGGAGTGCTCTATCGATGAGGGCAGACGACTATGCTGGAGGGATAGGATATGGATCCCCTATTTTGAGCCCCTCCGCACGCGAATTATCCAGCAGTCACACGATTCAGCAGTTACCGGGCACCCTGGACGGGATTTACTCAAAGCAATCATTAGTCGACAGTTCACCTGGCCAGGATTATCGAACGACGTGCGTCAGTTCGTGCGGAATTGCGATGTATGTGGGGGAAAAAGCAGTATGGCGAGAGAAACGTCGAGGGCTTCTCAAACCTTTACCAATCCCAGACCGACAATGGAGCGAAATTTCTATCGACTTCATCACAGACCTACCGGATTCGGACAATAACACCTTCGTAATGGTCATCACAGATAGGCTGTTCAAAAGTGTCATCTTTGAGCCAATGAATGAGATCACAACAGAAGCAGTTGCCCGAACCTTAAAGGACTGCTTAATTCGGCATCATGGATTCCCCAAGGCTATTGTGTCTGATAGAGGGCCGCAATTCGTCTCCCACATGTGGCGGCGTATTTGCAAGCTTATGAAGATCAAAAGGCGGCTGTCGACAGCATATCATCCCGAGACTGATGGTGCTACTGAGAGGATGAACCAGGAGCTCGAAGCGTACCTGAGATGTTTTACATCTTATTTCCAAGACGACTGGGCGGAAATACTAGCTGCTGTCATGCTAGCCATTAACAACCGAACGGCACGGTCAACCGGAATGAGTCCCTTCTTTGCAACACATGGCTATCATGTCGACCCCATCGAAACCAAGGAGAAACTACGAACGACAGGACAATCCCCCGTCGCCAAGGGAGAAGCTTTTGTGGCCAGGCTTCAAGAAGCCTCGGAGATGGCACAAGCTATGATAGCCAGTGCTCAGGATCAGTACGAGGAATACGCGAACAATCATCGACAAACCTCGGAGCAATATAAGATCGGAGACAAAGTTTGGCTTAATCTTCAGAACATCAAGACAGATCGACCGTCGAAGAAACTGGACTGGAAGAATGCCAAATATATGGTAACAGAACTCGTTAGGTCGCATGCCGTCCGACTTAACACTCCCAGGGGCATCCATGACGTATTTCACGTTATGCAAATCAAACGAGCTGGCAACGACCCCTTACCATCTCAACAAGTCCTGGAACCGCAGCCCCTGGCTATTCGACACGAAGACAACGAGGAGGTCTATTACGTCGAAAACATTTTAAAGCACAAGCAGAACCGCAGGACGAAGAAGATCACAGTGTTAGTCAAATGAAAAGGGTATACCAAGCCAACTTGGGAACCGCTGGAGGAATTCGACGAGACAACGGCCCTAAATGAATACCTCTTGAAAACCAACGACTTACGTCAACTGCTAGATGCTCATGCTGGAAAAGGAGGGGGATAATTGTCACGGTCTATGACCGGTATGTGGCCTCTGCGACGCCTTCGGCCAGAAAGACCCACAGAAGTCTCCGAATAGCTTCACTTCTCGAAGATTCCTGAAATGACGAGACGGGAGGACAGAAGGATAAAAGGGAGAAGGGTTCACCACACTGAATGTATCTAATGTTTTTCTCTTCATAGATGGATAGTACTCGTAGAGTAGGCTAGGCTAATTGCATCGACATTGCCCTTGACCCTTACAATGAGCATAGTGTCCTAAGGTCTACTCTTTCACGACGGATTCAGGGAGCCTAGTTAAGAGATATAGCCTTCGCTGACTACTAGAGGCTCTCTCTAGCCCAGGAATCCTATCTGGCTGAATGGGTTCGAATCCAGGCTGCCCTAGGCCTCCTACTAACCTATTAACAGCTCAAAGACTTCGCCGAGCGTATCCTATAGATCCACGGAGACACCGAACCACTTGGAAAGAACTAGGTCCAGGCTTTTATCAAGAGGAACCCTTCAGTCAAGGTCCAGAGAAGCAGAGCTATCGATTCCTAGCGTATTAATGGAGCCTCAGCTAATATAATCAGGCAATGGTTTAAATACCTCGCTATCCCTGAGATCAAAGCTATTAAGGCCTCTAATCGATACAATATGGATGAGACAGGTATTCTAGAAGGTAGAGGATCAAATAGTCTTGTTCTAGGATTATCTGAGACTCGTTCTATACGGAAGAAACAGCCTAGATCTCGAGCTTGGATATCTCTTATAGAGTGTATCTCTACGACTAGTACTGTACTACCCCTACTTATAATATACAAGGGGAAGTCTATCTAGCAGTAGTGGTTTCCTTTAGACTTGACTCTATACGAAGCCTGGAGGTTTATAGTAATAGAGAATAGGTGGACGTCAGCCTCTACGGCTATTAAGTGGCTACAAAAGATCTTTATTCCTTTGACTTAACCAGAGGACCCTGAAGAGACTAGGTTACTTATCCTAGATGGGCATAGTAGCCACGAAACGGCAGAGTTTATATACCTCTGCTTTATAAACAAGATACACTTGCTTTTCTTACCGCTACTGTCACAAGCTAGAATTCGAATGGGCTAGAAGGTCGCGATCGGGCCCGCCTGGAGAAGCGGACGAGATCATGACGATCCGATGGCGTTTCAACAAAACCTTCTAGGACACTCAAATAGTGCTCGAAGCACCAAGGACTCTTAGAGGGGCAAGTTTCCTTCTTTGTACCTAATTGATACTGGCATTAGGAATTGACGATTGTGCCTGGCATCTACTCACACCTCACTTATTGTTACAGCTACACACATCCCACGTTCTCTAGCGTCTCGATCAGTCAGTCTTTGGACCCCTTAAGGCAGCCTATAAGAAGGAGCTTAGTTACCTTAACTAATAGGATACTACTACTGTCGTAGGGAAGAGAAGCTTTCTCCTCTGCTATAGAAAGGCACTTCTAGCAGTATTAACCGTTAAGAACATTATTAGTGGATGGAAATATACTGGTCTCTAGCCTTCGAGTATAGCTAGACCCTTATAAGCCCCCTGCTCCTTGAGAATATGTCAGTACTAATCAAACAGCCTAGTTAGACTCGCAAAGGGCACTCTAGTAGTCAGGACTGGGCGTTAGAGACATCGGTAGTAGCCTGGTTAACGCCTAAGAGGAGAGATGAGCTCTAAGATTAACTCAGCTTATTCAGCAAGCTTGATAGTGATCCAAATACCTAGCGGCTACTCTTTCGGAAAGTTCAAAAGGGCTTTGATGAGAAGGACTACTAGTTAGCTGTCGCATAGCGAAAGATTGAGGCAATAGAGGCAGAGCTTAAGGCTAGTAGGGCTAGGAAGCGGAGGAAGGTCAAGATGAGCCTAAATTCGAAGTTTACTAATATCAAGGCTATTCGGAGGGCTTAAATCGAGTCTAGTGAAATTAAGGATAGTATAGATGAGTCTAGCGAGTCTGAAAACCCCAGTGACGGTGAAAGCTGTATTGTAACGTATTTCACCCCCATTCCGACACCCCGCCATTCCGACACCCCTGTAAACCCCAACAATAACCACACCGCTATTTACATTATCCTTTTATTTCTCAACCACTTTTGCTTCAATTGACTTTATTCCAAGTATTCGATCTGATCTGCTATCAATGCCTTCATATACGGAAGAAGACCTCGCTGCCGCCGTTCTAGACGTTGCAAATGGTAAATCTGTGCGACGCGCTGGCCTGGATTGGGGTATACCAAGGACTACACTTATCGGCAGACTTCAAGGCGCTGAATCAAGTCGCGAGGCCTCTGCTAGCCAGCAGAGGCTATCTCCAGTGCAAGAAAAACACTTATCAGACTGGGTTTTGGTCCAGGAAGCCCTTGGACTAGCCCCAACGCACGCGCAAATCATTATTAACAGCGCTACTAAGGACGTGGGTAGGGCTATCTTTCAATTAATTCAACCAGTCTCTTGGTCCGCTAGATGAGTTGATTGTAACTCCCGACCGTACCAGCCACTACCGAATAGCTTATAGAATAGTAGGTTTTATTGGTAATGATGCGGAGATTTTAGTTGATGTAACAGAGGTCATTGCTAATCTAGATGAGGGGAATTGTTGAGCGAGTCGCGGTATCACTCGTGCGGTCGACTAAGATAGCCGCTAGCTCTCGAACCTCCTCTCTGCGACTGGTCAATTTCTTCCGTAGCTCTGAATTATAGTTGCTGGTCTTATGAATAGGCTGAGAAGGTTGAGTTTGAAGGTATAGGGCGGCCCTCCTTGGGGTCACGTATCAGCTCGATTTCATGCTTTGGCCGGTAAGCTGCTTTCTATTTGGCCTACGCAGAGATCCAAAACCCTATCTATGTAACCTGTGGAGAACTATGCGTTCATCGAATGAACCGTGTGGCTGGTTTGCGACACGTGAAGTTACTTGCAAAAAGTAGCTCTGTGCAATCTTCAATATTTAGTAATCCGACCCCTTATTTGAAATCATAGTAATGGTATTCAAACTTATGTAAGCCTATGATGGGATGTATTAGGCTAGGATAGTTAGTTCGTTTAGTACATGTTCTAGTTTGGTATAACATCTCACCTTGAAAATAATCATTGATTGGCAGGAGTTAATCAAGATCTAGGTACAAGCTAAGCCGAAGCCACCCAATCATAATAGAGCCTATTTCTGTGCTGTGCCATGAAGTTAGTTCGAGGCCTTGGGCGTGGTTAGGGTAACTTCGTAGTCAAGTCGGCTGTCCGAAAACATCAACTCATGATAATCTATTAAACCTCGATTCGAAGACAGAGGCGAGCACATCGAACACGAAACATGCCAATAGATTCTATACCTAGTATATATATCGCTGTGGACAATATAGGGCGCTATTAAAGCCGGATTTTCCTGTTCGAAAACATGCGAAACACCCACAGCTCAACCAAAATTTGGGACAGGCCGATTAGAGCACCGCATGCCAACGATATGTGCTCTGACTGCGCTAATGCAATGTAACTGCTTCCGAATCATTCTGATTCATCCCACATCCCAATGTCACCTCGTATATAGCAACCTTGTTGGAAATTGGAGTAGTCGCTCGAGTGCTTTATTTTCCATCTTGCCCAAGCTCAAGGAAGTTCCTCAAGGTCCAACTTATGATGACTTCCTCAACGCCCTCACAGCCCCGCATGAGGGAGCTTGACCTTCTCAACAAAGTCGCCGCCATAAGCGGTGCCTCGCGTGGAATTGGACGCGCCATCGCATTGAATCTCGCATCACGCGGATGCTCAATATTGGGAACATGCAGCATCGAATCCAGCGTCGACAGCATCACATCGACACTCGACAGCGAAGTAAGCCGCATTTTCGTAGACACTAATTGCCACCGCCCTCCGTCTCTCCGAATTCAAGGCCTAGTCGCCGACATCTTCTCCGCAGACTGCGCCACGACCATTGCCAATGAACTCGAGCGTTCCTTCGGCAGCCGCGTGGATATCTTCGTGAGCAATGCATGCGATCCCATGCCCGGCACCATTGGTGAGATGACTGTTGATGAGGTCCAGCACAGTCTACTTGGCAATATCCAGACTCCTGTACTCATTGTTGATGAGCTGGTCAAGAGACACCTGTTCCAGCCTGGAAGCCGCATCGTCTATGTCTCGTCTGTTCGCGCGAGACAGCCGTGGAGCATGCAGTTGATGTACGCGGCAGGGAAGTCGGCGGGGGAGTCGTTGTGTAGGACTTGGGCCCAGGCTTTTGGGGGGAAGGAGGAGAAGGCAGGTTATTCACTGGAATAAATTTGAAAGCGTTGTACTCTGATAATCAACGTTTAGTATTCGTTTATGACGGGAACAACGGCCAACGCTGTGGCTGTTGGTTTAACAGAAACGGAGGCAGTCACAAATTGTGGACCCGAGGCAGTGGAGAGATTCAAGACGGAGTTCATGCCTTTGCAGAGCATCCCCAAGTTCGGTCAGCCTGAGGATGTCGCCGATGTGGTAGGTCTGCTTTGCAGTTCGGATGCAAGATGGATCACGGGATGTGTGGTCAGCGCGAGCGGTGGTGGGATCAAGATCGGGTAGCTTGTAATATTTTCTTTAGTTGTGTTAAAAAGAGACGCATCTGCAATCCATTGGTTAATTCGACGATAATGATATATGAAAATGGGGGTTGAAAAGCTTCGGGGAGTTGAATCCGTTCACCCGAGTTCTTTATTTTGGGGTTATGCTTTCTAACATCTATTAATTAACCATAGCCCAGCGTTAATGACCGAATCAACGATTTGTCTGTTCAATTAGTGTCACACTCCTTGGGCACTCACTATATCTGCTCCCCGCGCCAACTTGTACCAACTCGAAGTCGATAAGCCCCTCCCAAGCAGGGAAAATGGCAAGTGGGGGCTATAGTCTGTAGCCATGCTGTTAAAGGTATGAGTAATGTTGATGGGCACGGTTGAATGCGGTAATGTTGGCGAGGATATTGGGTTTGTTGACACATCTTCTAGGCGAGACTCAAGTAAGACTTCAGTGCATATCTGTTCCAGGCCAAATGCGGGAAAGTCATGCTGAATGTATCCTTTATTGACTGAGTTGGCAATTGGCTTGTTACAAAGTGGGCAACAAGCCATTGTCACTGCTCTTAAAATTGGAATAGTTTGCATTGCGTCTGTTACTCTTCACATTGATCATGGTGCATGTAAATACTCAAGAAGCCAAGAATATAATATTATCATTACGACCTCTACTTTGAATAACCGATGATAATATTGGCGGAGTACAAAAAACATTATGTCCTCCCAATTTTCAGTTCAGGTGCATCTTTTCTAGTCCCTTTAACGTAGTCCACAAGCGAACGGGTCACCCAACCGAACGGGTCACGCCCATAGCAAAAAATAGAACTAAACTTCCTAACTTTACCACGCAACTAATTCTCGATGGATTCTGCTCAAAAAGAATCTCAATTACTCCTTGCAACTCAGGCTATCAGAAATGACTCAACACTTAGTATCCGACGTGCTGCAACAATCTACAAAGTCTCGAATACTACTCTCCAGGCGCGTCTTCAAAAACGTCAATCACGTCGCAATATCGAAGCCAACGGTCGGAATTTAACAAAACTAGAAGAAAATACAATTATTCAAAGGATAATTGAGCTAGATTCGCAAGCATATCCTCCCCGGCTAAGTGCTGTTGAAGATATGGCAAACCGACTGCTACGCGACTCGCATATCACAAAGGAGGACTTTCTTCCGGCATTTTGCGACGCGTTCAAGAAGAGCCTGACCGAAAGCAATATTCGTGCAGGCTTTCAAGGGGCTTGGCTTGTGCCTTTAAGCCCAGATATTGTTATTGAGAAGCTGGATGTGAAATTACAGACTCCAACGTCCTCCCGGCCCCCTACGCGCCCGACGTCAATTTACGATGCTATCGATCAGTTTTCGAAAGGAGCGCGGAGTATTATGCATAAGATGGCTTTACTCCAAGCTGAGGTCGCCGAACTTCGAGAGGCAAATGCTCTAATTAGCAAGCGGCGCAGGGCCAAAACAACACGAGTACGGCTTGGAGGATCACTTAATTCACAAGACGTACAAGATCTTCAAGATCAAAAAGACGTTGCGCAGCAAGTACAGCAGGAAATGCATGGAAATAGCGCTGGATCAAATCGTGGCCAGCCACGGCAACGGCGCTGTGGCGTATGCGGAAGACCGGGCATAATGCGCGAACCTGTCAGGTAGAGATAGAATCATCTGGGCAAGAGTATTCTGAGTAGTTTTAATTGATTTACGGTGTTGTGGTTGCGAAATCGTGTTGAATTCCATGTTTTGCTAGTTGGCGTGACCCGTTCGGTTGGGTGACCCGTTCGCTTGTGGACTACGTTATATGAATAATCTAAATTTTCAATACCTCAGTGAATACTAGAAATAATTGCCTGTTTATGAAGATCAAATATTTGCTTTCTTCTTCTCTTCGAAGCAAAAGACTTTGCAAACAAAGGTGAGCTTATATTTTTCATCTATGCAATGCTTTTATGCGACATACTGCGTGTCAAAAATTGATGCATATCTCGTAGATTCGATGTTGGATCTGCAACTCGTATAATCTCGTATGAGGCATCTGGATGAAAACGGTGCGCAAATCTTAGGTGCTCAGCAATAAATCAGCGAAGAAAGTAACTTAGGCTGGCATTCATTGGCTCGAACTTATGGATGTCCTTCCAGGGAGTAAAAACAGCAAGATGTATGTCAGTGGCACATTTCTAGGGATATCATACGTTTCATCCGGAACCATCGAACTATAAACAGGGGCATTTTTACCTATTCAAATATTAAAATTACTAGCGTTTGATGACACTCTACTTTATGCTCTCCTCTGTTGTTACTCGGACCTGGCTGGGGCAGAGCCTTGCGGTTTTTTATGTGTCTTTTTGCTTTCACCACCTCGGGATCAAGGAATTCTTTCCTACTAATGCCCTTCCCGCTATACTACTCTGATGCGCAACCACCCTATCGAAATATATCGCTTCTAATGCATTGACAACCCTATACGAGCAGGCTTAGATGCAATTTCTAAAACCATTATTGGACACCATCGCTAGCCTTCTTCGGGACCGAATAGCCATATTGGACCTCACGCGTTTCACTATATCGCGTGTTTACGGCGTACTGTTTTGAGTATCACCCATACTGCATACTAACGTGCGAATATGTATCATTGTTGGAGTGGAAATGCGGAGATTGTCATAATGACGAATCGTCTGTACTTAAATGGATAGAACAACATTACCACTGGGGCGAAGTTCGTGTGAACTCATGCCATACCAAAAGCGAGCAGAACACGCATAGGCGCATGCCACGAGGATTCAGTCAATAGTTTCATGCAGGTCTTCTGTGATCCAACGAAAGGCCAGGGCTCTTTTCTCTCGGCCTGCACCTCATCTAAATTTCTCGTTCCGGCGACTCACTTACAGATCTATTAGACAATTATTCACTGCGAAGTACTTTTTTAACTGTTTCTTCACCATTTTGGGCAGAGAACGAGTCGATTTCAAGGATGCGCTTCCTACGAGGTGACTATTCCACATTCCCTTACTTGCATGAGCTATAGTTGGCGTCTACGATTCATTGGTTGGACACCTGGTGGCAGCCTGCAGACGCATGCAGATAGCATCCGATTCCGGTAAGTGGATAGCCAATGGTATTCGATATTTGCACTGTTCAGGCACGCGCCTATGTAAGTGAAGCGAACAGTGCATGTACCATTCGACTCCTATCTCAAACATAGGTCATTCATCGTGCCACCCGCGAGGCGTAGATCGAGGTTCCCAGTAGCAGGTCAACATCGTGGCTCCGTTATTTTGCATCAACTAGTGCTTTTCTGCGGTGTGAAGGCCCAAGATGGACGGATCCTGGCATGTCGTCAGCGGCCCCTTGGCGTGAACCCAGTAATAGCTCGGCCCAGTTGCAATAAGCTGGTGAGGGGGGGACAAATCTGTCAACGAGTCATTGCTGTATTTATGATTTCTTTAGGAGACTCCTATATAGAACATCACCTTTCTTGGCACATGAACAGAATCTTCTCGTAGCAAGGAACTGCCAACTGCATCCTGGCCGGGTTTGAATAAATTTGGACATCACTGTGATAAAACCAAATGCCTGCTGACTGCCTGTCCGGTAGGATCTTCACCCTTATCGCGATTGTTGGCATGGGTGGAAGGTTCCCAGGGTAGGCCACAGACTCTAACAAACAATAGAATCTATGCTCCGAGGGTAAAGATATGTGGGGTGCATCGAGGTTCAGCCATGATACTTTCTATCATCCTAAACCAGCCTGGAGCGGTACTATGAGTCGGATCACTCATATTATCTCGCTGTGCACTTACATCGCATAGCACGGCGTCAAAGGCAGTCATTTTGTCACCGAAGATCTGACCTTGTTCTGGCCTTGTTCAACGCACCATTCTTTTCCATGGCCATGTCAGAAGCCGAGGTAATATGCTTTCTTTCTGTCGTGTTCCATGAAATATGACGTGTTTTTAATATCAAATATTCTCTTGATCTGCAGCCATGAATTCTTGAGTGCAGCTATTAAGCTTGCAAAAATGGTAGGTTACTTTGAAATGGCCTGGTTTTTTCCCCAATATGAATCATCAGCAGCGGGCGTCTCAATGAAGCAAGTCTCGGCACGAATATTGGGGTGTTGTAGGGGTCCGCCTTCAGAGACTGGGGGCAAGTATCGTGGTGCGATCCTGTGTGATTACGATGCGACGACGCCTCGGTAGCATATCACAGGAAGCGGAATTCCCATGCTTTCAAACCAACTTTCCTACACTATCCATCTGATAGGTACGTCTCTCACTGTTGACACAGCCTGTTTAGAAAGTTTGGTGGCTATGCATCTGGCCCGTCAAGCTACTGGACCAAATGACCGTCAAAAGACGAGGGACCCACTCGTTGCAGAATGTGAACATATTGGTTGTTATAAGCTCTCACACAAGCAATGAAAGCCGGGGACTGCAAAACTTCCCTGGTTGGGTGAACTCCACCATAGACCCTGTCGTCATGGTTTCAATGAGCTCGATGGGAGTCTACTCTCCGGACGGCCGTTCATATGCCTTCAACCATCGCACCAATGGATACGGTTGCTGCGAAGGGATTGATTGCTTGTTGCTTAAGCCGCTGGCTGATGCATTGGCGAGTGGCGACACCATCGGGGCTGTTATTCGCAGTACAGGAGTCAATCATGAAGAACTCTTAGAATTATTAATTCTTGGCTCTTTTTTCCTTCTCGTGCCTCAGGGGTGATTGAATCTGTAAAATCAGTCTCCTACCCAAGGACAGAACTTAGCCGTCCTAAGACAAAATACGAGGAGCACTTACTGAGGCCGAGAGCTGATATAGGACGGCAAGACTCACCGGATCAGCGTTTCCATGGGGAATTCCTAGCGTTCTCTGATCAAGAAGGTTTATGAGCAGGCTGGACTGGATCCGCTTGAGACGACCTACGTGGAATCTCATGGCACAGGAACCCAAGCTGGCAATCCAGTCGAATCTGCAGCCCTATCAGAGGCATTCAGGCGGAACATCCATGAGTATCTGGTGTTCGGATCAGCTAAGGCCGACTTTGGGCCACCTTAAGGGTGCCAGCGGGATGGCAGGCATTGTCAAAGCAGTCATGATGCTTAAGAGATGATTGTCCCCAGGGCAGGCTTCGAACGGCCCAATGAGCGCATCCATTGAATGAGTACAGAATAGGAGTAGTTGGACAATATGGGCCCTGTGGGCCATGTGGGTCCTATACTTGCCACTATCGCCACCTAGAACGGCGACCATCCCCACATACCTCTATTACGAGAAATGTGGCAAGGATAGAACATTCCCTACTTATCTATATGCTTCTACAACTTGTCTGAATTAATCAGCAAGTCTACCATTCATTGACTATATAAGAACCCTTTTGTTTCCATACATAGACCCTCGAAGAGAGGACCAGAGTTAGCTACAATACATACAGGTTAGGCATATGTGCCCTCCTTTTGCTCCTTCAACGGGAACATCAAATCCAAGTGGAGTAAATGTCAGCATGTTGATTTGAGTTGAGGGCATCAAGCTGATCATCTGCAAACCAACATCCCCACTTCTCCGCGAGAGCGTAAGGCTACCCATGGCGTTCGTTGAGCATCCGTGAATAGCTTCGTACTTGGAAGCACGAATGCCCATGTGATTCTCGAGAAAGCTGAGGGGTAGAATAGGTTACATGGCGTGGAGCTGTGCCCGGAGCACCACTTAGCTCTCGAATTGCCCGCCTTAACTGCAAATGATAGCAATCACGTTGAAGACATGAAGCAATAGGTCTATCTCAAGACTGCCTGGCACTTGCCCTGCCAAAGTCCTGTCCAACCTGCGGCTTTGGTTAATATCAACTCAGAGGAAGGAGCTACAGCAGTTACAGAGGATATGTCGGTTGTGGACAACTTCGATACAACTTCGATACTGCTGCCGGCAACAAAACCAACTAACGACCAGGTTGGCCCTCCCGCCATCATCAACGATGATCCGTGATCCGGATTTTCATGCGGATTTTAATCCTCCTACTCTGTTTTCGATTAATGAAGTCACTCATGGGAATATTAAGTGTTTTGTACTATCTGTATCTTACCAAGAATCGAGCAAGCAACAAGCCAGACAGCTTGCCTCTTACGTCTTCAACAATAAATCGACAACAGAACTCGGTTTCTTTGAAAGCCTATAACACACTCTCGGTGAACATCGCTCATTTCCTCGTTGGAAAACGGCAGTATCGGCATCGTCCCGTGCTGACCTCGGTTTTGCCTTGGACAAGACACTCTACCGACTCTCAAGCAAATCTTCTGGCTTCGCGTTAATCTTCACTGACCAAGGCGCTCAGCACTTTTCTATGGAAGGGAGCTTCTTAGTGTGCCCGGTTTCCGAAATTCGTTGATCGTATCCTCCAAATTGCTTCGGTCCCACAGCGCTACTTGCTCCTTATTAAAAGCTCTGTCCAGGGATGAGACAGCCTCAAGAATCAACGACGCCAGCTTGAGCCAACCCTTGTGCAATTCATTGCAGATTGCGCTGATTCATCTACTCCAGCCTTGGTGGATCAGAGCGGCAGCCGTAGTTGACCATTCGAGTGGTGATATTGCCGCTGCTTATGCGTTCAGCTCTGTTAGCCATGAGGTTGCCATTGCGGTAGCATATTGCTGTTGGTGTGGCTTATCATTCACCGAGAATGGAACAAATTGCTGAGGCAATCGTACTGCACTCGCAGGTACGAATCTCCAAGGCCAAGCCATAGAAGAATTATACTGTGAAATGTTCTCTTCCAAGACTGGAAAATAGTTACATCCTGAAGAACTCGATCCCAACTACTGGATACATACGGCTGAGGTCTAAACGGCCTTCAGAACGATGCACAGTGGAAGAAACCTTGGAAAACTGGTCTTGGTTCCAAACCCCAACGAGACGTTCATGGTAAATTGTGGGTTTCTCTTACTTTTGCACATTTTCTGATGAATTTGTAGGTCATGCCAAGGAGCGAGCGCAGTACGCCCTAAACTTCGATACGATGCGACGTAACTCCTCGTGGGTGGATTCGGTGGCATTGGCCGCGTTTCCGCGGTGAGACTGGTGCAACATGGCGCCCGGAACCTCATGTTCTTGGCTCGCAGTGGCATATCCAATTTCAATGCAGAAAACACCATCCCTGGGCTTCGATCGCAGGTTATGTTAGTTTCGGTCGTCAAGTGTGACGCTGCCGACAAGGCCCAGCACCCAGCTGGAAAAGTCATTGGAAGATGTAAGCTTCAAGTTCCTATTAATAAAAGTAGCATCCATCTCGGACTAGTCGAGCGGAATGCAAAATTTCAAGGAATGGACTTGGAAAGTTGGAGGCGTCCTTTGAAACCCAAAGTCCATGGAACTTAGAACCTAATGAAACCCGTGCGGGACTCGACTTCTTCATCATGCTGTCGTCTATCGTTGGCATAACTGGAAATGCAAGCCAGGTGGCGTGTGGCGTAACTTCATCTTTTTTAAACTCTTTCTCTAGCGACCGGAACAGCTTAAACCTGCTAGCTATGTTGATACATATGGGCGTTGTGAATCTTAATCTCCAAGACATTCCCGAAGACAATATCCGGCTATCATCGAGACTGCTATTGCTATGCTATATTGGTCTGGAAAGAGCGGAACTGTTATAACAAGCATTGGTGGGGCTAACTTGTTGTTGGGAGCTTACTAAGGCCCTCGATTCTCGCATATCCGACGCCTCACCAAAGGTAGCGAAATATAGGGTTCCAGAACAAACATAGAGAAAACTAGTGACGGCGCTCTACTTAAGGAGGCTCATTCGGTAGAAGAGGCAGAAATTTGCACGTCGTAAGCTGTCGCTTTGAAGATGTCGACACTTCTAGTGATATAAGTTGACGGTATTGATCCCGCTAAGCTAATGAACTATATGGATTGGATTTAGTACTTGCTGTTGCAAGTAAAACCCCTTGGGTATATTGCGTTGTGAGTTTGGGGCTATTTTAACTAACTGATCACCTTACCAAACGAGGAATTGGGTGGCTAGTGATATCGAAGCTGTAGTACCTGTTCTTGAATTCATGGGAGTCCATAACATGAAGCATCGTGATAAGTCAAGACTTGTTAAGAGTAAACTGATTGAGTCAAGTAGTGATGTGATTCAGGGGCTGCCACGCGTTATTTCACCGTTCTTTCGTATTCAGGGGCACTTGTTTGCTATTCCGTGAACTTGCTTTAAAGTTATATAGTATCAGATTTACTTTATTTCAGTCTTATAGTTGGTCTAGTTATCACTCTCCGGAATGTGACTTTATCTGCCAATATTTATTCCTTGGTCTATGTTTTTTCGTTTGAGCGTGGTACACAGATGTCGTGGGGACATCCCCAGGCAATTACTTCTTTATTCCCTTGGCCCTATAAATCAGTTATGCATTAATGTGGTACGACACTCAACATTAACATAGAATTAGGTTGGAATTCCGTTCTACAATATATGAACCCCTCAATCTTTCATTTTGCAGCATCGTTGCCATAACATCTGTGTCGTTAACAAATGCCATTCACAGCTCGAGTAGACAATCACCACCACGGGAAAATTATGTTGATGTAAAGGCAAAATTTCTAATTGAGTGGGCTTGGTTAGTGAGTAACTCGTGAAATAGAGGCTACCTGCATGGGTAGCGTTTGTTATTGAGGTCAGCAGAAATGACACCACTTGTCTGGTCACTTAAAACTATCGGGATTGATAATGTTTCTAGGGCCTACTAATCCGGGCGTTGGTCTAATTTCTCAAATACTAAGAAGGATAGTTGATTTGGAAGCAGGACTAGTTAAGGACGAGATAACTTGAAGTGCCTTACTGAACTCGAGATATGTTAACATTGAGATCTAGCATCAGGTTACGACTCACACTAGGTCGAGTACGCACCGGCCATACCCTGAAGAAGACGCGCCATAGCGCGGTATTGCCGAGCTTTATTGCTGCATGATTCTCCTTAGAGAATTCACGAGTATCAACTCAGTAATTGGAACTGTTGGTAATTAATTAACTTTTGGGGAAGAGCCTAGATGAGGTCAAAGTTGATGAGAAGCCTTTTTGGTGGCTCGATGAAAGAGCACATTGGTAATTCATATATACTTCGCGATAAAATCCATTGAAAGCAGTATAAAAGCATCCAGAAGATCACTTAATAATACGAACTCACTACAGGACCCTGCGTACGTAGGCAAGTCAAATACGCCATTGAGCTGCAATACACAGTTCACTAACCACCTGGCCTTCGAGGAGCTATGTCTGGGTTGGTAGCAGACACCACTCCCGTCCAATTATGGGCGTCGCGAATAGTTACTAACTTCATCTCTTCAGACATGTTGGTTAGGCCTACTGTTGAGCTCTCATTTTCTCGTGTATCTCAATGTCTATGATCTTATAACAAGCAATATTCACAGCACAGCCACTATTGACTTTACCTGGCACCGCAGGCTATTGATGCGGCGTATTAATCGCCGCGTGATAGAAGGTTAATACACATTGGTGATAACAAGATGCTCAGCACAATCGAGTTCTTTTTTGTCTATATGTAACGCGATCCTTCCTCCGTCGTTAGACAGCAGAAATGTCGGCGCATGTGTGCGAATATGGGTATCTTCTGGTTTCTTCATCTTGCCTAAGTCCTGTAATGTACATGGATACGGCTGGATTTGCAGTTCAAATGCTTGCAACCTCATCCAGTTCATCGATTATTTCCTTTTGCCCAAGATCTTATCGGTGGCATTTGCGTACCGGTTGGTCGAGTTGGGGGAGGTGGTCGCATGGAAGATTGGCCGCTAATCCACGGAGCTGTGGAATAAGGAACGCCAGGTCCACTAGGTGGCATGCTTGTTGCTTGGGCCCATGGAGCAGCTGTACCAGCAGCGCCGCCAGGGGCTGGCATCGTTCCTTGTGAGGCCCTAGGCTGATTCGCTAGATGGATCGAGTTCTGCGGCTCTGCAGCGCCCGGGTCTTGATCCCATGAGAATAGGGAACCGAACGTAAAATGTTGGACGACAGGAAACTTGGAGAGGACTTCAGCGTTGAACATCTTGATCATTCCCTGTTTCATGCGTCAGCGTATTCCGATGCTCAAGTCATAGCCGGCTGATACCTTGTTGATTTTGCCCCAACCGTCTCGTACGCCCGAGATGTCGAACAGTATGGGGCTGTGTTCCCAAAACGGCCCAGTTTTGACATCGTTGATGAAACCTATCGCAGAGAAGTACATGTTTCTCTTTCGCTCCTCCTCGACATGATCTGATTTTGCTACTAGTGCAGGTTTGGGGACACGGAAAAGAGAGCCCTCAAGAGGCATAGGCTCGTCTTCTTTGATTGCACGGGTGAGCTGGGCCGAACCAAAGACGTATGGGAGGAACGAATGATCGTCCAATCCCCAGACTCCGTGAGAGCCCGCGGGTTCCAAGTTGTACGTCAAGATAAGTCGACGAACTACGCGGAGGTAGGGTTCGAATACACCGAGTACTAGATTCCGTTCCGTGTCGCCGTTTGGATTTCCGTCCTGGAACGCACCGAGCTTCCACAGACAGCCCAAGAATGCGAGAAAGCTCAGCTCATGTCCTGTTCCGTAGTCGAGTCTTTGCTGACTTCCAAAACTCCCTAAAAGATAGGCCTTCAACTCATCTGCCGCCGTAGCTTCCGTGTGTTTTGAAGTTGAGCCATACTTGAGCACGGGCTCTGGCATATACTCGTCGAGCAACGACTGCACCCTCTCATCCAGGAGCTTATACCATTTGCGAAAGCTCACGTTTCCAAAACGTCGAGGGCCTGGATCAGGAGGCGCTTCGTCGATGAATGAGTTGATCTTGGAAAGCATTTGTTGAAGTTTCCTGGCTGGTTCGGCGGGTTGTGTCTCGCTCTCCGAACCAATCTGGAAAGTCTTGATCACTTCGTTGCCATCTTGATCCGTGACCTTTCTTGGACACATGGCCCGGTTGAGCTGCAAGACGAAGGTTCCTATGTCGCGGTACGCCTTCGACTTTAAAAAAGCCTTCACATCTGGTCCGTCGTTGATGCGTTTGGCGGGGTTGATGAAGGTGTGGGGTTCGGTAGGGTTCAGTATTTCAAGCGTTGGAAACTGAATGGCCTGGTTACCGGGTTGGGTTGACGATGGTGCCTCCATGATGCAATTATCGATTCAGGCTCTATCGAGTGTGTGGAAGAGGCACGCTGCTCAGGTAGCATTGAAGCGTTCTGGATCAGCACATGCTCTAATTTGCGCTTCTAGATTGATGTCAGGAAGGTGCCGATGGGTCGTTGGCCAGAGAGCACAGCTTGACGTAGAATGCAAGCGCCCCTCCAACGCGGGGCGCCCACATTTGCTTAGGGATAGCTCTCCATCTAACCAGAGTAGGAATAGTGGCCGGCGTCTCGGTCAACGAGTTTCATTCAAGGCTGACGCGTGAGTGAGCGTGTCCCGGTGTGACCACAAGGCAGGCAACCTTACAGACTACACATAATGGGGGTTAGGTTTCGAGTCTGGTCAATTGACCGCCAGACCTGACGAGCACTGCCTCAAATATAGATCGAAACCGCAAGAACACCTTTGTCTCTTGTACAGCGTCGAAGAAAACACTCATTTACCACCGAAAACTGCGCCTGCATTACCCCCAGTTGCGCTTAAGGCTACACCAAATCGTCAGACTTTTCAGTCTGGGGTCGAGTCCCTAGCAATCAATCCTTGACCAACTTCAGTAACCTCCAAGACATTAAAGGCACTCGTATCTCCTCAGCAAGCAATCGCCCTCGCTCTCAACATGTCACCAGCGAAAACGAGGAATAGAGCCCGTCTGGAAGGCAACGGCTCAGCCGTTCAACTCACCAATAAGCCCGACATCGATGTCTCATCCAGCTCTGATGACAACGACGAAGGAATTCCTAATAAACCAACTCCAAAGAAAACCATCAATACATTAGGGCGCCCAAGTCTGAGGCGAGCTGCCGGCTCAGGCCAGTCGAAGCGGCCTAACGAAGACCGCAGCACCCCTCATCTTCTTGATTCTAAGAGGCGGAGAGCTGACGATGGCCGGACTGCATTCAATATACCAACGTCTCGGTTCATCGCTTCAGATAAATCTGGCTATCCCAGTCCTGCTTCAGCCCACCTCGTACCTTCCATCGAGGGTATCGAGGCACGAACGAGAATATCAGCCAGTGCCGAAGATGATGTTCCGCCCGAGCTACTGAACAGAGTGAACGCTTCTATTCTGCGCCGCCGCGATGTTCCAGAGTCGCCTAGTCGACAACTGCTCCGCGACCAACATGCCGATGTGGAGCATCAGGGGCAAGGAATATCGGATTTTGAAATTGACGCAGATGTCAAGGCAGATCCTATACAGGAGCTGGAGCTTGGGGATGAATATTCAAGCATTGCACCAGCCCAACCTCAGATGGCGGCGCTTGAAGATACAGAAAATGCCCTTGAGAGAAGCGATGGTTCTGCAGCTGGAAACGACAGCAGTACTAGCAAGCCTCAGCTTGACCATGAGCTATCGAGCGTGCTGGAACGATCAATTGACAGTATGAACGGGTTGGGGGGACAAATCGGAGCCCTTGGCTCGCAGGCCTCATCCGCCCAAGACAGATGGGAGGCTCCAGAACAACCGCAAAGAGACCCTCTGCCAACGTTGGTCAAAACATCCGCTTTATTGAGGCGATCTAGACTTGGGCAGGAATCAAATAGCGCAACCGCCGACCAGGAGTACTACAATGAAACGGAACAGGACCGAGAGATGCAACCACCTGAGTGGAGAGAAGACCATGCGATTGCAGTTCAGACTATTGAGGCAGAAGACGAGAATCAAATCGTTATCTCCATAGTGGAAGTTGACGAGCAGCCAGACATTGTTAATGAAGATCATGCTGGACCACAGGATGCTAGTAATCCACCTAACGAAGCATACGTTGACTCTGATGTTACTTTTGACGTCACCGACACCGACGATGACAATGATAGCGCTACCAGGCGATCTGGGGATGGGGCAAACGCTGCCGGCGTGCGAGCAATATTTGCGTTGGACGTGCAAAATTTAAGAGCCAGACCCATTAAGTATGATGAAGACTCTGTATTCTTTGACGCGCCACCCGCTTCAGAATCAACAATCATCCCCTTGTCGTCTACAGAGTTCAAGGCAGTACACAAGTTCATGAAACGGCGGGGATGGACTGGCTATCAGCGCAACTGGGAAGCCGAGATTCTACGGCGGGATCCGTCCACAACGGGTGGCAAAGTGCTCCTGCGGTACCTATTAAAGTTTGAGAGACTTGTCAGGATGACACCGAAGGCTCTTCGGATCGCAGAACAGAACCGATTTCTGAATGAGCATAGTGACCTCTTAAGGTTCTATTTCTACCAGATCGATGCCAACATTGATCGAATCCGAAGTCGGCTGCCTTCTTTCACGACTGAATCAGAAATAGCCGAGGCCAAACTAAAGAAACGCAAAGCGATGGCTCGGGATCTCATCAAGGTCATTATCCCCATGCTGGTCCGTGTTCTTGGAAGGGCATGGAACTTAGGTGACGCCGCCGAGGTTGGTTCCTCATTCAGCAGTTCTACAATTCAGCTCCTTGCGAGGGTAGTTGGCTGGCTACAGAAGCTGTACAAATCTTGCGCTTGTGAATCCGAGAAGTGGCAACTTGAAAAGAAACCAGAGACCCAGTACGCTTTGGTTCAATGGCAGAAAGATATCAGATCCAGGGAGCAACTCGGTCCTCTTTTGAACGAGCTACACGCTGTGCTATCGCAGGCGCCTGATGATCTGCTCAGGGAGGAGCAACGTATTCAAGACAAGGAAGAACGCCATCTTCGGAGCTTGGCGCGACAGGAACAGTTAAAGATCAATTGGAAGCGTCAAGAAGAAGCAAGGCAGAGGGGCATTGAGGAGCAAAATCAGAATGTCGCCAGATCAATCCGTGGCCGTCCTCCGCTTCCTCGGAGAACTCCGGCGCCGTCTAGCCAAACTTCGTCTCCAATGCCCCAATACCAACCCGTCGGGTGGAGGAAAGAAGAAGAAGATTTTCTTTGGAAGATGATGCGAGACACGCTCCTAGACATGAAACTGCCACATTTAGCGAGGATTGCAATGATGATAAGTCACACAGAAGGGGAGACGATCGAAAAGGCCCAGGAGATCCTCGAAACTGTAGCCAGACACGGCTGCGGAGAAAGCACAACTGATTCAGCTATCCAATCGTTTGTCCAGCAGTTGATGAGCCAATGGAAAAAATGAGGATCCGAGGAAGGACTAACTGGCATCGTATAGGTATTTGTTCTATTTCATCGTTTGCAGAGATACCCCAAAGGCGTTACCAGGAAATGCCCATCACATCACATGGAGCTAGAGCTCGTTAGGAGTTAATGTATGCAACGGCTTGCTTCCACTTCGCGCTATAGCCAGCAGAATGCATTAGGGTATGCATTTGGAGCGAACCAACGATGACATGCCACATGATAGAGATTATTGTGTCTGTCAAATCATTCTGCATGCCTTGAATCAGTTAGGCCGGAGTACGACACCAAAGTCTCTGGGCAGCGTTAGCCCCGTCCTCGCTGCAGAGTTAGTTACTCAAGTAATGCGATAAGCTGCGGCTTGCCAGCGCACTGCATGCCCGACCTGCATGTCAACGCTTTGGTAGTGTTGAGCGCTGTTTGTCGTAGCCAGCGGCGGCACGAAGATGAGACGGCATTTATATGTCCCATGCTTTTGGTCCCCTCCTGCAGACAGCGTTAAACTGAATCTGGGGTTTGACCTCCCCACATTCCCGGGTTTATGGCCAGAAAACTGAAGTCAGACACCGATTGATGCTGACGGAGCCGTTTGACCGGCTTCAACAAATTTCTTGAATGATTCGAGATAGGAGCACAAGAGCCGCTTCGTTATGCCCAACTTACTCCAAATGATTGTATAGGAAATATCCTTTGTCTGTTTCCTATAGGCCGAGGATAACTAGAGTTGAAGCAAGCACGGCCGGTTTAGACTTTCCACTTGCGGGTAGGCTAGAGCTAAGGTCCTACCTACCTACTTTCCTAAGGTTGTTAGCCAGACACGCTTGGCTAAGACGTGACTGAATTGACTTTGTTCAGCCATCTACATGTCCGGATTCCGCGTTAGGTCTGCGATTTCCACCCTGCTCGAGCGGCACCATCCACAGGCTTTATCGCCTTCGCGCCTGGCCCAGCCGAGTAAATGGATCATGACGTTACTCTTTGGCGCGCATCCAGATGTGTTTGATTTCCTTGGTACTCCATATATTCCATTTAAGCTTCAATACCGAAGGTGCCATCCCAGGCCTGATACAAGTGGCACACGGCATCCCGACAGCGCATGAAGAAGCATGCTTGATATCCAAAGCTTGGTAATCAAGGGATGGTGGTCTGTCAACACGACACGAGCTTCCTGTGTGTGCCATCTAATGGTTCATATTGCTTCACATGCCCATGCTTGAGGGGTTTTAGTACCTGACTTTTCGCCGCAGTCAGGCGAACTCAGCGCTGCTGGCCTCTCTCGACCCCCTGCATGTGGAAGTTGATCGGTGGCAGGGAGGCCCTAGTCTACAGCGATTTGAAGTGCTCCGTGCGGCGTCACCGTTCGCGCCAGCTCGCAATTGATTGAAACAATTTTACGAGCTGACCTTATCCTTTCCTCCTTTCCCAGATCTATTCGGGACCGCGAAGACAACAACCCTGTTTGTACTTGTATATGCGCGCATCGTGTGTATAGCCGCTTTCTTAAAAACTGCTTCTCTTCGGTTGTCGACAAGGAATCGCTCCTATCAGTCAGGCTTTAAGCGGATACCGGACGCATTGCGGCGCTTAGCACGTTCAAGCCAGGTCAGTGAACGAACCCCGACTAAGCTCGACCCCCTTTGTGACGTGTCGAGGGCGCGAGTCACCGCTCTGCATTGGAAGTACTTTACTCCATAGCCTAGCCCGGCTCTGCTCCCGTCATCATTGGAAATAGAAGCCATCGCCTCGAGATACCCTCTTTGACGCATCAAGTCCACTTTCTACTTCTACTGAGCATCAATTGCGGCTGCAGCAGACCGCCTCGAACCGCGAGCTCTAGCTGACCAGCAGCAGGAATAATCCACTTAGCAACCCGTCACCACAGCCAAAAGCTCCAATCAGGGACCTCACCCCAACTGACTATATCGGATCCACTATCGATCGAGCATCATGTCCGAGTCTGAAGGTTTCGAGGTCGTTCAACATGATGAGTCTATGCTTTCGGGCGAGGAGACTGCGGGGACTGCAGGGACCGGCGCGACCGGGTCGCCGAAGTCTGTAAAGAAAACTACCAATGGCTCCAAACTTGAGGGTACTACCGGCCTGAAGCGACCGGCGAGTTCGACGACATCTGCTGGTCGTCGTCCTGGCACAGTTTCCACAACTGGAATCAAGCCGTCAACTAGTTCTACAACTAGACCCACTGGCGGCCTGACCAAACCTCCAGTTCGGGCTCCTTCAACCACTGGAACGAAAAGACCAGCAGGGAGTACCATAGGCAGTTCAAGCGTTGCTCACAGGTCGCAGCCATCCAAGGACGAGAAGGACAAGACTTCTCTGACATCTGCTGCGCGTCGAACATCAACAGCGCCCGTCGGCTCGACGGCGACTTCTCCCCAAAAGACCACCACGCGGGCTCCGAGTTTAGCCACTACTTCCGGCGCTGCTGTCCGAAAGACACCTACCGTTGCATCCAACACCGCTTCGCCCAGAAGCAGCACAGTACACAAGCCCACCCCGTCAACAAGTGCCACGCGAGATGCCCCAACTTCTCGCACCGCCGCGTCCACGACCCGTCCTGCCGCTACGGGCGCAGTCGAAAAGGCCAAGCAGCGTCTGTCTTCCGTCGCAGGTTCAGCCTCGACAACCGTCGCGAGGCATACCGCACGGCCATCGACCGGCTCGGTCTCGACGTCTGCAGAGGCTACCAAGGCCACCGAAGAGCTGAAAGCCAAACTGGAAGAGAAGGAATCCGAGATCGAAACACTGAAGGCGCAAGTTGCATCATCACAGGAGAAGGTTGCCGAGCTGGAGGGCAAGATCAAGTCTGAGTCAGAGAGCATCAAGAGCGCCGAAGACGATGTCCGCAAGGGCCACGAGCAACTCATCGAGACGCTGAAGTCTGCTCACGCATCTGAAAAGGAGACCCTGGGTACAGATCTCTCACAAGCCCTCGAGAAGCTCAAGATTGCAGAAGAAGAATTGGCGAATCAGAAGGCGCAGCTCAACGAGATCACCAACTCGCAAGGAGACCGGGATGGAGAACTATCGACCCTCCAGAGTAAACTTGAAATCCTCGAGGCTGAGAAAGACGCAAGCTTGAAAGAGAGCGAGGCGGCAATCGCAAAGGCGTCTGAAGAATACGCGGCCAAGTTGGAAGAACTGCAAAAGTCTTTGGAGGAGCAGCATGCTGCTGCCGTCGAAGCTCTAAAGACTGCCCATGCTGCCGAACTAGACAGTAGCAAGGCGGATTGGGGCGATCACCAACAAGCCCTGGACACACTCAAGGCTGCCAACGAGTCTCTACAAGCCAAGGTTGACGAGCTGGCATCTTCGACGGAAAGTGAAGGCACCGCTGCGGCATCCAAGATCACTTCTTTGGAAGCTGAACTTGCAGAGCTGAAGGCTGCATCTGAGCAGGACAAGGTGGCACTGGCGACAGCTCAAGCCGAAGCCCAGGAGTTGAAGACAAAACTTGAGGAGGCGCTTGCACTAGCGGAAGCGGCCAAGGCCGAATTGGCCACGGTGACCACGGAGTTGGCTACGATCAAAGAACAACTCAGCACGGCGCAAGAAGCTACTTCGTCGCATGCTGGTCTCGCCGAGGAACTCGAGAAGATCAAGAAAGAACACGCAACGACGATCACCAACCACGAGGCGCAACTTAAGACCATTTCAAAGGATTACGAGGACGAGATTGAGAGCTTGAAGGGTGATGCCTTCTTCAAGCGCAAGTTCCATGAACTCGAGGTGCAACACAACGAACTCGAGGGCCAACACAAGGAGCTCGTGGCCAAGCATGACGAACTGACGGGCACTCATTCCGAGCTTGTGACCAAACACGACGCATTGACCGGCACGCATGACGACGCTACGAAGAGCCACGCAGAGGCGTTGGAGGCCGTCAAGGCAGAGCACGCTGCGGTCATCGAGGCGGCTCTGAAGGCCAATCAAGAGGCGAATGCTGCTACCATCGAGGAGGCGATCAAGGCTAAGCAAGAAGAACACGCTGCTGCCATTGAGGAGGCCCTCAAGGCCAAACAAGAAGAGCAGGCCGCCGCGATCGAAGAGGCCCTCAAGATTAAGGAGGCAGAGCAGGCTGGAGCCATGGAGGAGTCCCTGAAGGTTAAGCAAGAAGAGCAGGCCGCAGCTATCGCGGAAGCGTTGATGGCCAAAGAGGAAGAGCATCAGAAGGCGCTTGACGCTCTGCGGGCTAGCCATGCCATGGACTTGGAGAGTGCAAAGAGTGGTTTAACGGCCGACAACGATGCTCATCTGGCCGAGCTGGACGAGCTGAAAGCCAGCCACGCCAAAGCAATTGAGCTTTTGAAGTCCGAAAGCAGTAAGGCTCATACACATGAACTCGAAGCTTTGCGAGCATCTCATGCCGAGATGCTCAACTCGCACAAGCAGGATTCTGAGGCCCTGATCGCTCAGCTGAAAGCCAGTCATGCGTCAGAGCTGTCATCTAAGGAAGCCGATGACAGTTCTCACGCTGAAGAATTGGCTGCTCTGAAGGCATCCCTCGAGCAGGCCACGTCAGAGCTTGAGGAGGTCAAATTCGGCCAGAGCACCGCATTAGAGGCTTACAAGAAGGAGATCGAGGAGGCCCACGCAGTCGAGGTTGAGAAGCTGATCACTATGCAAAGCGAGGCCATGGCTGCTGTGAAGGAGGACGCCGGGTCACACAAGGACGAAATTGCCGCTCTCGAGGCCAAGCAAAAACAGGTTATCGACGCTCTGATGGCAGACCACGAGAGCAAGTTAGCGGCTGCCGCTGAGAACTTGGCCAAGCACGAGGTAAGAAGACATTGTAACTTTTGACATCCCAGGCACTGATTATGAGCAGGCTTCCGCTTCTGAACACGAATCAGCTTTGACAGCCCTCCAGAATGCGCTGGCACAGGCCCAAGTCAAGGCCGAGAACCTCGAAGCTGAGTTGACTTCGGCCAAGGCTTCAGGTGACATTTTGGCCAAGGTCCAAGAGGAGGTCGATGAGCTTAGGCAGCAATTGGCCGGAGCAAAGATGGACAAGGTCAATCTCGAGGTGGAACTCGATGCTCTGAAAAACCAGAAACCAGACACTTCCGCAGTCGACACACTCAAGGCAGAGCTCGAGGCGCTAAAGACGAAGCATGCTGAAGAGCTCGAGGCCATTCAGGCCGCATCGCACAAGTCGACTAGTAACCTGGATGCCTTAACAAAAGACCATGAGGCAAAGACGGCGGAGCTCGAGACCCTCAAGGAGCAGCTGTCGGAAGCCAGGGAAGACGCAGCTATCGCAAAGAAGGAACTTGAGGCCATCAACAATGACGTTGATGCAAAGATGAAGAGCCATGAGGCCGACTACAAGGATATGCATGACACCTTGAGCCATCTGGTTGAGGAGCAACGCCAGAAGGTGGAAGCAGCCGAAAAGCAAGCAGCCGACTTGAAGGAAAAGCATGACACCTTGAGCAACCTGGTCGAACAACACCGCCAGAAGGTGGAAGTAGCCGAAAAGGAAGCAGCCAACGTAAAGTCTAGATTTGCGGAAATGGAAGCCCAGTTGAAGGTTAAGGATGCCGAGATTGCCGAAGCCAAGGTCTGTCTACCCCCTGTTGCCCATCTTCGTCCGCTGCGTTATGACGATGCAGCGAAAATACCCTTTATAGGACAGTGGAACTGACCTGGTGGTAGGCCCAGGCAACCTTTGCAACGAAGCCCAAATCTGGCCTTGCTGCAAGCAGATTTGCAGGCGCTGAAGACAGCACTGACGCCGAATCGGAACTTCCTGCGTCGGAAGGTGAGGAGTCTGATTCCATGTCAGCAGCATTAGCCTCGGTGCGCAGGACCCCCAAAGGCCATTCTTGTACACCTAATTACACCCTCATGTACCACCTGCTCACCCCCATCCCATCATCTCTCCCTCTTCTCATACCAACGTCAAAGATTTGTGAAGCTGTACTGACAATCCGGCCTCGACAGATATCACAGTGTAACATAACAATCGAGCACATGAAGGAAATCGACCGGGATATCAGCGAACGAAACCTGCGGTATGCAGAACCCCCTGACGAAGGCCAGACCACCAGTTATGGCTTTCGTTTACTATCCTGGAGGGCAAAGAACAACGTCATCTAGCGTAGTAATAGAAGCTGACGTCCATTTCACAGCATGCTCAAATCCATGACCGACGTCAAGCAGAGCTCTTAGACGGCGCTCTGCCGCTGGCTGCTCGCGAACGCGTCCTTCCACTTTATGGATATTTACGACAGACTTCTCTACACACTTCTTTACATTCGCGCACTGCTTCGACCCTTCGACGCGGGCTGTGAATAGGTTGGCTCATGTTGGCCCACGACCGTAATCTTCTCTTTTTGAACAACTGAGGCTGTTGTTGGTTCTTTCGATGTTGCGGCAGGAGGGTGTTGAGTCACTCTTACTAGCCAACTTCCTCCCTCTTTTTTGAGGGGGGTTGGGTTGGGGGGTGCAGTGGTGGCTTACTCATCATTTACATACCCCGCGCTGCTGTTTCATCATCGTTGTTTTCGACGGCGTTTTCGATTGATTCATTGCCCTCTGTTCGTTTTTGCCCAGAGGAGGAACGAAGATTTATATAATACATGCTTTTGTTCATGAGCACAAAGCCTACTTGTACGAGTTGGGGTAGGGGATGATAGAGACCGGGAGGCACTGTTGACGTGGCATGATTGTGGAAGTATTAAGCACGCGCAAGTTGGAGTCTTAAAGAACCTTGTAATAAACTACCCGCGATGTTTTTGTGGCTAAAATGAGATGCTCCTTTTGCAGGGGAGGGGATGGAAAGGGAAGGAGCTGTGGTTGGTGGATGGGTGGAGGAGGCAGTGCTTATTCTTTGGAGTGTGGATAGCCGTCGAATGGACGATACCCTTTTTGTTTCTGACGCTGCATTTGCCGTCCTGAGGTGGAACAGGGAGGCTTGCATTGTGAAGAGGCGCGATACTATCATGCCGTCCAATAGATCGTCGCTAAGTCTATTCTCTATATCGTCTCTACAGCATCAGCCAGAATCTCGCCTTTGTCATGGTTGTAAGACGGCACACATTTTGCTCTTCAAAAAGTTACAGAATCTGTTCACATCTAGATTCTGGTTGGTCACAACTCAATTATAGTAACGAAGTACCAAGTTCAACTTTCTCATCCCCGGCCGCAGCATCCGGTTTCACGATATTTCGCAATTCGAACATGGTCTGGAAGTTCTGCTGCTTGACGAACCAGGCATTAACCAGTTTCCACTCCTGCTTCGGGTCTTTGAAACGGATCTATCGAGTTGATTCACGTAAGTATTTTGGTTTAGGATCGTTCAGAAGACAAGAGTACAAGGTGAGAACAATGGAGAAAAAGAAGAGAGAAAGGATAGGGAAAGGGGGCAAAAGAAACACAATCGCGAAAAGGAGAGGGGGGGCCGGGGAGGAACTCACATCAAACCTCCTCAACAAACTCGGAACCAACTTGTAAATCTCCAACAAACTAATGTTCTTCCCAATGCACGTCCGACTTCCCATGCCAAATTGGAACATCATCCCATTCATCGTCTTGACCCTATTCTCATCTTCCACTCTCGCAGTCCCCGTCAGACTCTCGTCCACGAGCCAGCGCTCTGGCCGGAACACATCCACGTCTGCGCCAAAAATCTGGGGCCGGCGGTGTATAACCCACGCCGAACAGCCCACGATAGTACCTCCTTTGACATGGTGTCCCGCGATCTCCATCCCGGGCTCGGGGACAATCCGCTCGAGCGGCAGCCCCGCCGCCGGGTGCAGCCGGAACGCCTCCTTGATGCAACCATCAAGGTAAGGCAACTTCTGGCTCTCGTGCCAAGTAACGAGTCCCGTCTCGTAATCGCTAAAACCTCCGCCCCTACCAAACTCATCCAGCTCGTTGAGCAGCCGGGCCAGAGCGGGCGGCGTCCGCAGGAGGTAGTAAAAGACGCTCGCAAGCGAAATGGCCGTCGTCTCCGACCCGGCAAAGGCCATGGATACCGCCATGGTCTGGACATGCTTATCCGTCATGAAGTCTGGTCGGGCCTCGCGGGCGGCGAGGAATTTGGATAGTAAGTCGGGTGACTTGACCGCGATTTTGGTGTCGGTTACGGGGAGGAGGGGTTCCGATTTGGCGTGGTAGGTTGAGGAAGAGAGGGGGGTGCCTAGACGTTCGGCCATGCGGGCGCGGGCGAAGTAGACTACAGGGAAGGTGGACTCAATGAGGCCCCATTGGGAGAGTTTGAGAAAAATGGGGTTCTTTTGGAGGATGAGGTCGAGGAAAGGGATTTGACCGATCTGCATTCGCTTGTTAACCTCCCAGCCATAAGACATGTTGGAGTGACGAGGCAGGAGACAGGATGACTCACAGGGGCGACATATAGGAACAACTTAGCAAGATACGCGACCATCCCATCGATATCCTCGTTCTTCTCTATAAACCCATGGCGCTTGCTGTACGTGATCTCGCCGATAACATCGAAGGCGTAGAATTGCAGCCACCGGGTAAAGTCACAGCCGTTGGGGTTGTTGACGTAGAGGCGCTCCGTCTGCGCCAGGAACAGCTTGGTCGTGTTGTCGACAAAGGGCTCGTACTGCACCAGCGACGACATGGAGAAGGCCGCGTTAACGCACCGCCGGAACTGCGCGTGGTAGTTGTTGTCTGTCGTGCTGAAGAGGGACTCTACCCTGCGGCCCTGCGCTATCGCTTGTTGGACTATGTAGAAATCGGTCTAGGCCGGGGCGCGTCAGCATCCAACCATATCTTTGTGCTTAGTTTAGGAGGAGGCTCACTTTAACGAACCCCTTGTTCAGGCCATATATCGCCTTCAGAGCCTTGGGGTCTGCGAATGAGAGCACGTTTGGCCCCAGCCGGACGACATCACCGTGTTTTGCATGTAGTTTCTGGTGCATCACTTCAGGCCGGCGGTTGTAGACATACCAGAACCTCCACCAGTCCGTCAACGAAGCCAGGAACGGACCTGGATACTTGCTCAGTCCATTGTGAAAGCGATTTCTGATGAGCCAGGCAAAAACGCTGATAATCGATATCGGCAACCAGTATTGACTTATAAGTGTGACCAGCACCGACGCATTGGGTTGGTCCATTCTGCAATCGGGGAATTTCCCAGCGTACGCAGTTGATAATACTAGTTGCTCTCCGAAGGTATGTTAGGAAGGGTTGTTGAAACCCATGCGTGGATATGTTCAAGATACGATAGGTGTTGGGGTGCAGTGGCTATAGGTGACGACTGGAGCACGCCTAGACAAGACCCAGAACCCCAGTAATATATACAAAAGTAATACATGAAATCCCCATACAAGCAGAAGTCTAGGTGAATCCCTTGCAACAACGGCAAGACACAGATGTCTTGCCGTTGTATCTCGGCTAGCTCTTGTCTCTCGCTCGGTTATCTGCCAAACGTATGAGCTGCATCTGTGGGGGAGGCAGGGGTGGGGGCGGGCACTCGTGAACCGCGGCTGGATGAATTCAATTTGAGCCCAAGACTGTCATAGCACTTGTAATCATTGGCGGCCCCGTTAATAATAGATCGCTGCACATCTGCCGTCTCCGGCTTAACCGTAGCCGCGCTTCGAACGGCCATGGCATGAGGCCCAAGAACCCGGGGTCTCCACTATGCTGTTTTCGAGTCCGTCACCATGCTTCATGCCTACGATAGTCCAGTGGGGAAAACGTGGGCATGGGGGGCGAAAGTCATGACAGCCATTCACCTCTAGCTTAGACTTCCCGAGAACCAGTGACGGCATGGTTGGGAAAGATGGGATGGTGTTGTCTGGTCTGAGAATGAAGACGGCGAGCTGAACCAGCATACATACTCGGCAGATGTGTGGTCCAATGAATCGAGTTTAGGTGGGACAAAGCTAAACTCGTCGCTACAGCGTGTGTATGTCATTCTTTCGTCAGAAGCTGGGGGTAACGCGCGAGTGGAATGCACCTGGATGAAAAAGGGGGGTATTGTTGGGACTGAAATAGTCATTAGGTCGTACATGATTGGACGAGGGGTAATTATTGTCCGTATTCAGCAACTTGAGAAGCAAGGGAACTAGGCGGCTGACGGTGATACGAGAAACCGTCGATAGTACCACCGTTAGATATATGAGAAACTGTGACCGGCGACCGTAATTTTACAATTCTGCAGACAAGGGATTGATTCGTAAACCTCCGTTACAGTGAAATCACCCGCGGCCATAGCGTAGTCAAAAGCCGAGTGTTGCACCTATTCAAACGGCTAGTTGGCCTATTTCAGGTAGGCTTGACCTCGGAATGGGCAAAATGTAGCTGGGAAGAAAAGAACAACATGAACAACAACAAAAAAAAGTGCCGAACGCGCACCAAAGGGATAATAAATTGTGGCTGTCCACATGGTGCCATTAGACGTATCAGAAAATGCTTAGCTGCTCAAGAGAAGATGGCCTGCGTTGACCATCGGCAGATGTGGAGGGGTCCTGGAGCAGAGGCCGACTATAATTGCCGAACACGCGTGTGCGGAATGCTGCACGCGTCCAGAGCGGTTGCCAATGTGATGAAAACAGGTCCGCCAACCCCTCCAAATCACACCTATGTCGCCTATTTCGCGATGACTTCGTTCCTCATTCTACTACAACGCCGATATTTAAGGACATTAAGGTATAAATAAGTAAAGACTTTATTGTCTAGTAAGACGGCGACCCAGGTTACACTACTACATATACACATAACAAGTCGTGGATATAGACTTTGTGGGAAGTTGGGGCCTCAGGTGTGGAGGGATACGAGGCAGGCAGGCACACGTTGCAGGATTTGGAGATTGGTCCTTCACGCACCTTCCTAGTACTTGGATTCCGACAGACTTTTATTATACACTAACCCGTTAGTAATAGATGGCTTGTACTCAAGGTGACCAAATTACCACCTGAGATACTGCAGTGCCCTGTTGCGGCTTGGATTCCCCACCTGCACCTCCCCTCTTCACCTTCGTATGTAGCCGGAATGCCGGTACCAGTGCTATCCAACTACAAGTATGAAAACAATCAAAATCGGAAATGTTTGGCTTGCAGATTTCATCTATCAATTATGTGACCTTTAGGTGGCGTTGTGGCTAAACCAATCGACAACCGCTCTGCGCATCTGTGGTAGGGCATGAATGGAATGTTTCACAGCCGGCGATAAATGTTCGCAGAAACGCGGCACTCGGTTATCCCTGGAGAGATGTGTCAGCAGAGGTTTTCTACTGGGTAGCACCTTCCATGCCGTGTTCTAGAAGCATGTCACCTTGCGAGCTGCAGGAACTGTCATCTGTCACACTAGGCTAGTGGTCTAAAAATCCGATACCGCAATTCATCGCAGCGACGTCGCACAGCTGCATCCACGAGAAGCAAGCAACGCCGAACATGCATTGTTCTTCTCTTTGCTCTAGGCCCTACCACTCAAACTCATTCCGCAGCCCGGCAACACCGCTCTTGTCGTCCACATCCAAGTACCCACAAATTCTGCCCTCGGGATCCCACTTCCTCCTGACCTCCATCAACTTCTTCCCGCTCTCCTCGCTCCAGAACTTCGTCCGCCGATGCTGGAAATCGGCATCCCCCAAATAGCTCCCGATGGCGTGCCTCTCAACATCCCTCAGCACGTCATATACCCAGCCCGTGCACCTGGCGTCATCGGCCGGGTCCTTCCACACGGTGTACAGCGCAAAGTAGTGATCAGAATGCATCGACAGCGCCATATCCGGGAGCGGTCTCCTCGACGTCGGGTTCATGGCGAAATATAGCGCGAACGACTTCTTCGTCGGCAGCGTCGTGAAGGCGGCCTCGAGCACCGCGGGCACGTCGGCATCGTTAGCCACAAAGGCGTTTTCGCTGCAGTATCGGTGGCCCTGCGGGTTAGCTGCCGCTTGCTGCGTGTACTCCTTGTCGAGGCTGGTGGGGTCGCAGAACAGCTCCACCACGGCATGGGAGGGTCGGCTGTCGTGGATGGACTTGAGGGAGATTTCGGCGTCGGCGCGGCTGGGCTTCCACGTGGTAAAGCCGGCGGTGATCTGGATCTCGTCTGAGCCTGGTGCGTATCGGGACACGCACACGATTTCCGTGTCCGGGTCTGCGGTGGGGCAAAGCTGTTGTGCCGCCTGTCAGACTGCAGTGTGCAAGTATGCAAGGGGCAGTGGAGACTTACATCTACAACCCATTGTAGCACCTTGCGATATTCCGAAATGGGGTAGACGTATATGCAGTTAAACATGCTGGTCAACGGCCGTGTCATGAGGTGGAACCTCGTCGCGACAGCCGCAAATCCTAGAATCGAGTCAGTAACCGAGCAGGGCGAACGTTGTTCAACTCCCCCTTTTCCATGCGTACCTGGGCCAGATCCTCTCGCCGCCCAAAAGAGGTCCGAATTCTCCGCCTTGCTGCAATGCAACTCTCTGGCATCCGCAGTCACAACGTCGATCCCAACAATGGATTCACAAGCCCAGCCCCAGTTCTATGCACCAAGATCAGCTCAGCTCAGCTCAGCTCAGTATCGCGTTTCGTAGCCAGCCGTCAAAGGGACCAAGCAGACCTTGCAATTCCACCCCATACCCCCCTGCAGCAAGAACCCGCCCAGCCCAACATCTGGACAATGACCCCCCGCGAACAACCTCCCCTTCTCCGCGAGGAAAGCGTTCAGCTTCCGCCCGATAACACTCGGTGAACACGATACGATCTGGGTCTCCTCATCGTAACCGATGCCCTGTAGATCCCCGAGGTCAATCAGCACCGCGCCGTCGCGCACGCTCCACCCGGCCCAGCTGTGGCCGCCGCTACGGACGGAGACGCGGCAGTTCTCACGCCCTGCCAATTCCACAGCCGCTTTGACGTGTGCTGCGTTGGAGGCCTGGACCACTGCGTATGGTCGGCGCTCCGTGTCCCGCTTCCCGTTGAAGACGCGGCCCCAGACTGCTTCATAGAACTTTGCGGGGTTTGACCTATCTCTGTAGATGATGGGGAGGTCAACCTCAATTACACCGTTTGTTGTCTCTGCCATGTTTGCTTTGAAGATCTTCCTCGAAGCTGAAAGAGAGGAAGCTGGGAAGAGATGGGCGGTTTTACTTGATCAACGAGCAAAAGCCTCCAGTGCGTTGAAGTTTGCAATCCGGTTTTCCTAATCGATCTGGCCAGTTGGTAAAGCAAGAGGCCAAAGGAACGATATTATAGAAGATGAACTAGATAACAGATATTCTTCAGGATTCTTCCGTAATAAATATTCCTGACGACTTCGAGTTGAGTGGTCTCGTCTACTTATCAGCCCTCCTCGCATCTCGAAACACTTCGTGTTGTACATACGGGACGTACGTAGGCTCGGCTACGCCTCGCAGTGAAACCCCACTCCCACCTTTCCGGCTCCGCATCCCGGAGTGGAGGTACGTTGGCGCAGCGTTGCCGGGCGAGTCGAGCTTAGGGGTCCCCCACTTGCCATTGCGTGCGTACTATGCCAGTAGAAAATACTACTCGCAGGCCGAGTGAGCCAGTGTCGGTGTCTAGTCATGGAGCCCGGCAACGCATAAATGATGCAGGATATTGGGTAGTGATGCTGACCCGTGTGGATACATGGAGCGAAAGTGGGTATGGTAACTATGTGGTCTATGTCGGGCTTGTCTCACATATCTGTTCCACCAACCACCAATGTATAATACTTGGGAGTTATGAGTCGAAACAAGTACTCAAATACAGCTTAATGGATCCTTCCCCGCCAGTCACGTCTTATCGACATTAAACTGTTAGTTTTTACGCTTCTCTTCCAATTCCCAGCACCTTCAGGGGCCTGATAAGATACGGCACCTTGGGTCTGTCTCTACCACTGAACACCCCATACTGACTTCACAGTTGTATCTTCATGTCTCATAATCCATCATTTGGCCTCCTAATTCTCTGAACCTACCCTCCGTCTAGTCATACAGAAATTCAGTCTTCTTCTTCTTCTTCGTCCGGCATCTCTGTGAGATCCTAAAGCAAAGCGTTGGATCGTTGCAATAATCCAGGGTTGCGCAACTGCGTCATGTTAATGCCGGTATTTCATAACCCAACTTCGTATCGCTTAGGAAACGTAATTGTGGTTTAGAGTATTCCGAGGCCGCTCAAGGCTCTGCCATACATATGGCTAAAAGTCAGTTGGGGGAGCTGTATGATGAAACATTGGCAATCGAAGCGGGATCGACGGCAAGACAGTCCCCGGGAAGAGGTGCATGGTTGGCATGATGCTGTGTGGAAACATGGTGGTGTCACAATGGCTGAGTGCCAGGTGCGTGCCTTGCTTGTAAGCCAATCCTCTCGCTGATCTTTCTCGTTTTAGGCCTAGCAGAATATACTAACCGCCGACATCGACATCCCGCTGTTAGCTTGATTCCAGCTCTTCAGTTGTTGAGCGAGGCTTCCAACACGGTGTGTCGCTGTTCACTCGTTTTCAAGAGAGCATATGCCGGAGATTGTACCAGCTTTGAAGCGTTTTACTTGGACGTAAAGTTAGAACATAGTTACTATCACCAACCTCGAAAGCTGCATTGGGTGTTTTGGTCACATTTGGCCGTAAAAAAATTATCGTCGTAGGGTCGAGGCGTAGTGTCAATGATCAGCAGTGGACGGCAGCCTAAACCGACAACTTCGTCGCATAACGGAGACACTCAACATGGTAGAATATCCTCGTCCGAAGATCTCGAGATAATAGACTAAGTTGTCTCTTCGAAATGGATACTGGACAACAGCAGAGCAGCTTGTGCAGGCGAGTACTGGAGGAGCTCGGTTTGGTCTCAGTCTACAACTCCTCCACCGACGTCAAGCTCCTCTGCATGCAGCGCTTCGTCCGATTGTTCGCATATGGCGCTTCCACTCTCATCCTGGTGTCCTATTTGGAAGCACTCGGCAACACGAAGACACGAATTGGGCTATTCATGACCTTGACGTTGGCCGGGGACGTCTGCATCAGTTTCTTCCTCACACTCTTCGCCGATGCGATCGGTCGGAAAGCCATACTCGCGCTTGGTGCTGTGTTGATGGCAGCGAGTGGCATCATTTTCGTCGTCTCTGGGAACTATTGGGTGTTGCTCATCGCAGCAATTTGCGGCGTCATCAGTCCGAGGTCAGCCTGGGTCTTCGCAGGAAGTTGAAACCTGCTGACACATGGCACACAGCGGGAATGAGATCGGCCCTTTCAGAGCTATTGAAGAGAGCATTGTTGCACAGTTGACAGCCCCTGAGAACCGAAGCGACATCTATGCTTGGTACAATCTCTTGGGACCGGCGGGTACAGCATTCGGCATGATCACTGGAGGATGGGTGCTTGACTACTTGATCGAAAGACTCAGATGGGACTATGTCAGCTCATACAGGGTCCTCTACATGGTGTATGCTGCCATTGGAGTTATCAAGCTAATGCTCACGTTGCTACTTAGTCATTTCGTCGAGTCGGGGAAGAAACAAGAACAAACTCGACTTAGGAATGGGAACCCAGAAACTGCGCCCCTGCTAAACGACGAAACCACGCCCGGCACCCCCACAGGTTCACCGCACAAGAAAGGGTTGCGGGCTCTTCTCCCAGAAATTAGCAAAGAGAGCGTCTCGGTGGTTTTCAATTTGTCTTTGCTCTTCGCGTTGGATGCTTTCGCTTCAGGTCTTGTTCCTCTGTATGTCGTCTCCCAGATCCTTGACCGCGTTGGGCTAACTCCTGCAGGTCCTGGATGACTTTCTTCTTCAAGACCCAATACGGCCTTGAAGAAGGTAAACTCGGAACTGTCTTCTTCATCACCAGTCTCGTTGCTGCGGCATCCATGCTTGTAGCATCGGCCTTGGCCAAACGAATTGGAAATATCCAGGTGCGGGCTCCCTGTATCGATGGTTGACCTCCCTAATGCTCGACAGACTATGGTGTTTACGCATTTGCCTTCCTCTATGTTCCTGGCACTCATCCCACTCCGGCATCAAGTGCAGTGGTCCTTGGTGTTTCTCATTCTCCGGGCGTGCACACACTCCATGGATACAGCACCTCGATCCGCGTTCTTGGCTACCATCGTACTGCCAGAAGAGCGGACAGCCGTCATGGGAACTATAAATGTAGTCAAGACGACCGCTCAAAGCCTTGGACCCGTTATCACCGGGGTCCTGGCTGACAAAGATCACCTCTGGGTGTCATTTGTTTGCGCGGGCATTCTGAAGGCTTGCTACGACCTCGGACTCTTGGCCGTGTTCAAGAACAAGGAGAGGGAGAGAGAACTTGCCGAACAGAGAAGGATTGAAGAGGAGCACGAGCACGAGCACGAGCACCGTTGCGCATGACGCACTGAGCTCTCATTTCGTTACATCGCGAAGCTGGTATTCCTGACAGAGAGGCAAAAGTGCACGTAGGAAATCAAGACAAATGATACAAATACTGTCGGATCTATACAGGGTTGGTAGACTATGGTAGACCACCATGCAAGCCTTTCGCTCTCATTCTGACCTGCAATCAGCGAACAGAGCCGACGTAATATGTAAACGCTGGGTAAGGCATTGGCTTGGCTACGTGGACAGTATGTGGAGCGCAATTGGCGCAGGCTTGACAACACGGTATTTCGCCATTTTACGTCGTGCGTTGACCGATCAATGGTATCAATGGTATTGGTCAAGAAGATGCAAAAACTAAATACAAGAAAGGTTTAGTCGTAGGTAAGTTCGTCATGCCTGCCGCCTGGTTCATCCCAGGCCCCAATGAATTTCCATTTCCATCTTCACATTCCACGTCTCACACATCTTCCCTCTCCCACCTCCCCCTCTGAGGCCACAACCTCTCAAAAACCCTGCTCATGACCTCCTTCACCTTGCTGACCTGCTCCTCACTCTCGGTCATGACGTCATCATTCAAACACCACTGGCCGTAGACCTTGCCGCGCTCAATGGTGCGCTCGAGCAGCTCTATCTCGGCCTGCTCGGCGTCCTTGACCATGACGAACTTCATGGCGTCGGTGTCGACGACGGTATGTTGGTATTTCTTCAGCGCCTTGATAATGACCTCGCGATCGTGGGTCTTGGATTTGGGCGGGAGCAGTGGTTCCAATCCGCTCGGTGTGGACGCGAGCAGGAATTTGATGAGGCAGTCGCCGCAGGAGGGGTGCTGCGAGGATACGCGCGAGAAGACATTGGAAGCGGCGAAGTCCGGGTTGGAGGTAGTGCTGTCGGAGCGCGCTGAGGCGAAGGAGTCGCCGAAGCACTTGTCCACGTCGAAGTCGTGGCACTTGATGTTGCGAATGGTCTCGGGGCCGTCAAGTGATGTCCAGAGCACGTTCATGTTCACCTTGGGCGGCTGAAGTCCAGCTTTACGCAAGACCTCGGGCAGGCGGTAGTACATGCGCGCCCGGCTAGAGTCTTGCTTCGCGGGCGCCGAGGCATCGTGGCTCGTGAGACGCCGCCAGCCAGGCTCGATGGCGTTGAGTATATGGCGGCGCTCGGTCCAGTCGAGGTAGCCGTCGGCGTTGGCGTCGGAGCGCGACATGAAGAAAGACCATAGCAGAGCCTCACGGAACCTCTCAATGCTGTAGTGGTATGCGACGTACCAGGGGTATATCTGGAAGTGCGACTCACCCCGGAACCGCTCGCACGCGCCCGTCGTCGATGGCTGCGGGAACGACGCCATAGCTTCTTGCATGACGGCTCGCGATACCGAGTGCGCCACGTGGGCCTGCACATGGCGGGAGCGCAGACCGAAGCGGTGGTTCAGCAGATACGACGTGTAATAAACAAACGGTTTTTCGCCAAAGGTGGGCCAGCGGCCCGAGCCCCCCAGCGTCTTGACATTGTACGAGTCCGACTTGAAGCCCATCATGGGTCCAAACAAGGGAGAAAAAAAGTCGGAAGGCGCGTGTTCCATGCCAAGGAACATGTCGTCCGACAAGGCCACGAGCTGATCCGTCGTAGAGGGCGTCATGTATATCTGCGACTCGATAGCGAGCGAGTTGAAGGTCGGCAGACACTGTCGGTCCTGCTCGCGGAAGAAGGACTCCTGGCTCAGCACCTCCACGTGCTCATTGGTCTTGTCGTCGTCCTTGAGCCACGCAGGCCGCTGCGGCCGCATGTTCTTGTAGTCACCGTACGAGCTGCCGCCAACCGAGTTCACGAGAATCTGGATTTTGTTGATGAACCCCTGCGCGAAGGCGTCGAGGCTGCGCAGCGAGTAACGAAGCTCGTCCCAGTCCCGGTACCGGTTGATGCTGTGTTCCGCGATCCACCGGCCGTCGGGCCGGTTCAGGGGTGATTTCACCTCGTATTCGTGGCGGATGTCCTTGAAGGACTCTTCGGACCCGTTGACCCAGTTGTAGACGAAGTCGATTTTGGGCTCGGCCAGGGGTCCTTCCCGCGTTGCGTCGAAATTTGCCGAGGAAAACCATTCGTCCTCCCACCCGTGAAGCTTGACGTCTAGCACCGCTTCCTCAAAGGGTATCCTGAGCACGTCGGGCACGTTGTTGTACAGTGGGGCCTCTTCTCTGGATTCCGCTTCCTGTTGCTCTTCATCTAGCTGGTTGTTCAGCGACACGACGGCCGCACCGCCTCCAATCCATTGCGACGCCTTGCCGTCCAGGGCTGATGTTCTCATCAACTGGAAGTTGGTGTAAGTGGAATAAGTAGCACCCGTAGCTGGGTCTACCTCGTGCCATTTCCGGTCGATGATGAGCCATGCCACCGACAGGAAGCAAAACAAGTAGATGGCCTTCCGCACGGGGCGGGAGATGACGGTTCTCTGTTCCATGTAATAGGGCGGTTTTAGTGGTCCTTTGATTGGGAGGCGGGACCGTTCGGGGCGGAACATGGTCAGAAAATAAAGCGCCACTGAGTCGAGGTCGTTATAAGACGTTCTGAGGAGATGGTGGAATATGTGTTTGACTACCGAGCGGGAAATGCTTTTATCTGTGCCATGTGACAGGTCGAGGAACTTGGAGCAGAAGGTCGTGTGTTCATATACCAAATCGGGTTGGTTTAGTGAAACAACTAGGAGTTAGCATCGAGTGATGGCGGAACAAATGGGAAAGTTCACGACACAACAGAAAGTCTAGACTTGAGAAGATCATTGGAATGGGATTTTCTTTGGAAATATCGTGGACATGCACAGACATTTTGCATTTGACACCTGAGGAACTGCGGGGAGATAGTCAACGTACTCGGGACAATCCAGTGGAAGTTAGTGGGGGCTGACTTATTCCTCGACTACGGTCGACCAGGAACTAATTTGGCAGACAAGATAGACACATGACCAATTTCCACTCTCGAACTTTGTCGATAACGGAGGACAGCCAATGTTGTAAGTCGGCACTGGCCTGACATACAGCAGAGATTAGGGTCGTGTGAGTCTTATCCAGATATGATGCGGATCGCCCTTGGCACTGCCAAAGGACGAATTGACATCAGGGATATACAGGGGACGACGATTCTATTGGACAGGGTGGGGAATATGATAGGACAAGGCCACGTTGGCAATTAACGGCATTGTTAAATTAACACGCAGATGACCAGAGCTATAAAACTTCTTGAGTCGTTAGGGTCCCGAACAGGTGGAGCTGGACCGGTTGTTGGGTCATAATGACTGACGGTGTGGAGTTAGATACTATAATCTCATATTGGGCTCTTCCCCTGGACGATGCTCAATTGCCTGTTTGGGAATTGACATGGCAATCTTGATGTTATCCAGGATCTGTATCCTGGCGGCACAGGGTGGACTGAGGCGGTAGATATGTGTGATGTGGGACAGACAATTTGGTACGGATGACAAAACTTCAGCGTCGAAAAAGCCAGACTTAAAGTCTTTTGGGATTATGCCGCATCGTTACGTTCTTCACTGTACATCCTTTGTGGCTACCGAGAATCCGTGTCCCGAGATACGGCCAGATCTCGATTGTATTCTCGTGGGACGTTGAACAACTCTCGGGCCGTGGGCTTCAACCGTCGACCACCACCACCACCACCACACGTCACGCCCCAGGTTTCACACACACTTCGTTGCCTATGTACCCGGCCAATTCCTCAGCTCGCCGCGGGGACACAGAGACTCTCCCGCCTCATGCAACCTCGCACAAGCTGTCAGACATGGGTCACAGCACGAGCGACTTGACTGGCTTCATCCGCGCCGGATCGCTCCGAAAAGCAAGCCGACAATGTCTCGCCTTTATGCGACCCAGTTTCCTCCGGAGCTCCAGGCGAGCGGCGGCGGACAAGCTCCCATCTGACAAGAAACCGTCATCCCTAAGCTTGGACATCAAGTCTACACCGGCGAAGAAGTACTCGACCGAGTACCTCGACGGCGTCCGCGGCGTCGCCTCCCTCATCGTCTTCATCCTGCACTGGAGTCACATCGAGTACCCCGTCGTCAACTCCGGATGGGGGTACAAGGACCAGCGGTCTTTCTGGCTGCTGCCCTTCGTGCGACTGATCTACTCAGGCGCCGCCATGGTGTCGGTGTTTTTCGTCGTGAGCGGCTTCGTGCTCTCGCATCGGTTTATTCAGCGGATGCACTGCCACGAGTATGAAACACTGTACGCGGGTTTGACGTCGATTACGTTTCGGCGTGCGATTAGACTGTTCTTGCCGGCTTTTGTGTCGAGTTTGTTGGCGTTTGTGGCGGCTTGTACCGGAATTATCAGTATACCGAACAGGGTCAATGGGGCGAGGTTTGAGCATGGGTTGTCGGCGTATGTCGAGTTTTTGGACATGGAGTCGAATCCGTGGGATGTGCGTTTTTTTCCCCAAGTTCCTTTCTGATCTGTCTGTCTCCAGGGCGAAACATGGTGTAACTGAGGGCCTCGCTTACCAGTCCATCACTTGCGCACTCCAAGATGACAAACTGCTAACAAAATACAGTGGACCGCCCAGCCCTTCGGCTTCTACAACCCCCAACTTTGGTCTATAGCCGTTGAGTTCCGCGGTTCTATGGTCGTCTTCCTCCTGCTCGCCGGGCTGGCACGAACCCGGACCCCGGTTCGCCTAGCCGTCGAATCTCTCATCGTAGTTCATTCTTTCGCCCACAAACGCTGGGACGTCGCCCTCTTCATCGCTGGAATGATCATTGCTGAACTCGAGGTAATCACCCAAAAGCCCAAGAACCCGCCTAGGCGGAAACTGGTCAACGCCCTGCTCGTACTTACCTTGATATTGGGGGTGTTTCTTTCGGGATACCCGCGGGATCATAACACCAAAACGCCGGGTTACATGTGGAGCAAGTACGTCTGGCCTTACACGGCGTACCGAAGGCGCTTTTGGTTGGCGGTTAGTTCCATTTTGATCGTGGGGCCCATGGCTTTCTTGCCGTCTGTGCAGAACGTCTTTCTTACTCGGCCGGCGAAGTACCTGGGGAAGATCAGTTTCGCTCTGTATCTTGTCCATGGACTGGGCAATAAAACGATTGGGAAGTGGTTGATCCACCTGTGCTGGAACACCATTGGCAACGAGGAGTTCTGGCCGTTCACGATCAGTTTTGTTGTCGCCACTGCGTTGTATTTTCCGATCGTTATATGCGTGTCTGATATGTTTTGGAGGGGAGTGGATGTTCCGTCGACTAAGTTTGCTAGGTGGGTTGAGACGAAGTGTGCTTCTGGGGGTAAGAGTTAGTACTTTGAAATGCTGTCTTATAGTTTGAAGAATAATTACGCTACAGATCCAGGTCCATCCAGCTCTCATTTATGCTATTATGGTCGTAACGTGCAACCCACGTCTACCATGTTCTATTTCAACGCCCTCATAACGGGGTTGATTTTCCAGCTGAATCGTGGCTTACAATATCTTTACATCGGCTTCCTTGGCCGCTGCAAATGATCGGGAAGACCATGTATGCATCATATACTATGATAGTCACGCGTGTCAGGAAGGTAACTCCCTGCCAGTTTGGGTGAAGCATTCTCCATCCTCCGCTAACAATGCTTAATCACAGTTGCATGGTGTACCCTTCAAATCTGGTGTTCATCTTCTATTTTCGAGTATGTGCAATGTAAGTGAAATGAGAAAGACGGTTAGAAGAGAAGCAGAAAGTCTAAGCAGTTTTCTAAACCCAATAAAAGGTGCACACGATAGGTGTAGTTCACCCATTACAATGAGAGCATGTCCTAGAAGTCCAAACTCACTAGCAGGCACCATAAAACAATTTGCATTCCACGGACCGTCAAACCCGTAATTGTGGCCGTTCCAATATCCATATATCTAAAGCTACTATTTCTAGCCATGTATATTTTCCCAATTCCAGACCCTGCAGTTGAGGCAGGAATCCTCTTGATCCCGATCCTAATCCCGAGTCAAGCCCCTGAGGAATTCCACCTCACAACACAACCAAACTCACATCCAGAATCCCCTCGGCCGTCTTCAACTCTTCAATAACGTTCTTATCCACCTCCCTGTCAACCCCAAGAATCATCAACGCCTCTTTCTCGGCCCTACTCCCATGTCCTTCCTTGCCTTCCGCGCCCGCAGCCGCACTATCCGCCTCCATCCCATCCTCTTTTTCCTTCCCATTCCCATTTCCCAGATCGAGACTCGCAACCTGCATGAACGTGATATTAATCCCATGCCGTCCCAGCACCATACCCACCCCACCAATCTTGCCCGGCTCATCATAATTATGCAGAATCAACAAAGTCCCCTGAGGCGTGAAACTAGCCGTGAACCGATCCAACTTGGAGATGTAAAACGTCTTACCGGATACATACCCCTCGATGACCTGTTCCTTCTTCCCTTTCCCCTTTCCCTCTCCCTCTCCATCACACGACCTCAAAGTAACCAGCGAAGCATACGTCAACCCGACCACCTCCGTCGTGTGCACCTCGTTAATCACAATACCCTTCTCGCGCGCAATCAACGCCGCATTGACAATATTCACATCCCTACCCCCGGAATCTGAAATGGCCGACACGAGCCCCTTGACCAGGGCCGCGAACAGGGGACGCGTATTACTAACCAAGGCCAGATCTCCCTGATATACCAACTCAAATCTACTGCCCCCGATCCCGCCGCTTCCCTTTGTCCCGGGGGCGGCGTAGTGCTGCGTGTACAGCCCGCCCATCTTCTCTACCAGTTTGACGAACGGCTGCAACTTCCTATACTCCTCGGGCAGGATAAGCGGCGCGTTGACAGCCGCGGTCGGTAGCCCGCCCTTGAGGATTAGTGCCATCTGGCTACAAACGTCTAGACTGACGTTCTCCTGCGCTTCAACCGTACTGGCGCCCAAATGGGGCGTTGCAAGCACTTTCTCGTGCGCCGCCAGCCTGGCTGCCACGCTGCCCTCCTCAGGCGGCTCCTTGGTGAAAACATCCAGCCCAGCCCCGGCAATCCACCCCTCATCCAGGGCCTTCAGCAGCGCGGCTTCGTTGTACACACCCCCACGGGCTACATTCAACACCCTCGCCGACTTCTTCATCTTCCTAAGCTCCTCTTCACCAAGCAAATCCAACGTGCTAGCCAACAACGGCGTATGAATGGTTAAAAAATCCACCACAGGCAACAACTCCCCCAGCCCAGCCACGAGCTTCACCCCGGCCTGCCTGGCCAATTCCGGCGACGCGTAGGGGTCGACCGCCACGACCTGCATCCCCAACCCGACACACATCCTCGCGACCTTCATCCCGACCTTGCCCAGCCCAATAATCCCCAGGGTCTTCCGCCCCACCTCGACACCGACAAGCTTCCCCCGTTCCCACCTCCCCTCCTTAAACGTCCTATCCGCCCGCCCAATATTCCTCGCCGTGGCCAACAACAACGCGACCGTGTGTTCAGCCGCGGCGACGATATTGCCCGAGGGCGAATTAACGACGATGATGCCCTGGGCGGTGGCGGCGTCAACGTCGATGTTGTCTACGCCTACGCCGGCGCGGGCTACGACGCGGAGGCGGATGCCCGCTTGCAGGACAGCGGCCGTTACTTTGGTTTCTGAGCGCACGATTAGGCCGTGATAGGCAGGGATCAAGGAAATGAGGTCCCGTGGGGAGAGGCCGGGGCGCGAGTCGACTTCGAAATCGGTGGTTAGGAGCGCGAGGCCGTCTGGGGAGACTTTTTCGGGGACGAGGATCCGCGGTTTAGTGGAGAAAGGGGAGGCCGAGGGGGCCGGTTGGCTGTCAACTGCTCCAGGGGCCATTTTGATGAGCAGTTCTGGTGTAATTGTGTAGAGAAACGTGAGGGATGGAGTGAGATGCAGGTATGAAAAGATAAAGAGGCTTGCCCAGACTTGAGATTCTAGGAGACAGACAGATAGGTCTTAAGAAAGGAACAAAGGAACAAAGAAACAAAGAGTCAGTGCGGCATGGGACAGATGACGCTAGAGGGAGGAGAAAGCAACAAAACATGCTCCGGATTCGCACCGGGCAACGCACATCTAAATAATGTGCAACCCGCGCCGACATGCATCTCAGAACGAGAATCGAGCATGCCCAAGGGAGCCAACTGACCTCGATTCCTGCCAATTCAGCCAGCGAATAACGCAAGCACAGACACCGACAGCTCCAACACGCGAGAGAGACCTCCATCATCTTCAATGGTAGGTGGGTGGGCATTTGACGAAGCTCTACGTTAGGTATACATGGGACGGTGTGGACCGAGATCGCCCACGCCGTCGGACGAGACGAACCCCAGGCCTCAGTAATTGGGTTGTCTAATCAAGATGTGCCCGTTCATCCAATGGCAGGTCCAGCTCGGGAAAATCAAGTGCGAATTGTCAACTGGAACTAGAGGATAGACAGTAAGGAATTCCCCAGGATCCCCGCAGTTTGACATCAGTTGAAGTAGGGCGTGGCAACCCCTCCCCCACGTTCCACTAATGCACGTTCAAGTCCCCCGCAAACCAGGGTTGGCGGACCCCCATGCGATATTAGCGATCTGTCAGCTGGTCCAAGTGTGACAAGTCGGATTTGGTACGTTGACGGATCTTATCCCGGGAGGTTTGTCAGCCGTTCTCTGCTGTTCACTTGTCGTCGTAGATGGCATTGTGTGTTGTCTCATCTCATGTCTCATTGCTGTAAACATCGCCCAGAGGGCTGGTGCTCTCAACCAGGCCACATACTATACGTCTCCGTTAGATTAAAAGTTCTCCTTATCTGCAAACCGCTCGTTCTGAACGACCTCGACCCAATATCCGTCGGGGTCGAGCAAGAAGGCAACGTTCTTCATACGCCCGTCCGTAAGCCGCTTCTTCCAATTGGCATTCAGCCCCTCAAACCGCTCGCATGCCGCGTCGATATTGTCAACCGAAATGCCTGTTAAAACGTCAGCTTCTCCTGTCGCTTCATATTCCCAGAATACGCTGGAGACAACTCACAGATGTGACCAAACCCCTGTGGTTGCGAGTTGCCATCGTGATACTTGAAGTTCTCGTCCTTCTCAGTGCCATAATTCCACGTCAACTCTAGCAGCCCCTCGTAATCAGCCGTGAAACCACTCTCCGGAACTCCCTTTGTGCCAGGGTAGCCCAAGAAATACAAGTTGAAACCAGCAGCGCTCTGTTTCACCGTACGGAAGAGCTCCATTCCCAGCGTCTCCGTGTAGAACTTGATCGACTTTTCCGCATCCTTGACTCTGATCATCGTGTGGTTCATGCGGTACGTCTTGGGGTCTGTAGCACTTGCTTCCGTCGGCTCATTCGGGTCATCCGCGCCCTTGGTACTTATCTTCAAGCTCACAATCTCAACCCAGTACCCATCCGGATCGAGCGCAAACGCAATATGGCGCATCCGCCCGTCCGTCAGCTTCTTCTGGAACTTGTACCCCTCCTGCTCGATGCGGTTGCACGCCGCCGCGATGTTGTCCACGGCGATGCAGAGGTGACCAAACCCGCGGTGCGGCTCCTTGTTGCCATTGTTGACGGTGAAGTTGGCATCGTCCTCGGTGCCGTAGTTATGCGTCAGCTCAATGACGCCCTCGCGGTCGAAGGTTGAGTTGCCGTGCGACAGGGCCTTCGGGCTGTCGTACGCGAGGAAGTAGAGATCGAATTTGGCTTCGGGGAATTGCAAGCGCTTGATCAGGGTCATTCCGAGGAACTCATAGAACTTGACTGTGATGGCATCCCATTGGTCAGCATGGAGCCAAGCATACACACCAGGGGCACCTTGAGGAACAGTCTGCACTGACCTGAAGCCTTGGGGTCCTTCACTCGCAGCCTATCATGTCAGTGTTAGTACACATATCCACAGGGACGTATATAACCCCAAAAATACCCACATGGAGTGATTGAACTTATAATTCTTGGTATCTGTCGTTATTGCCATGGTTGCGAAGCCTCGATTGGCACCTATTCCTTTGTTAGCTAAGCACGGTCTCCCATTCAATCAAATTTCTTACCGATGATGCGTGGGGCTTTGGATAGTAGATTTGCTTGATGCTGGATTCTTTGAAATGCTCGAGTTGACATCAAGAAAATACTGTCAGCGGGCCTGGCGGGCGAGACGGTGGGTTTATGCGATGTCGGAGTCGTTGGGACTGATGAATGACGTCTGGGAGATGGAAACTTGTATTGACTTGATACCCGAGATAGGCTATTGATTGCCCAGCTTTCGAGGCTACCCCACCAAATTTGCCAGAGATTGCTAATCCTCGCTGCGGGGATATCGCTCAAATTTGTCTATATGCAATATCTTTGGATAGCAACCACCGGTGCTGGTTCGCAGCGCTATCCCATTCTTTTGCTTTTGTATCAAATGACGTCTCCATCCTGGATCATCATTCTACTGGCCAAATCAAGAATACGTGACTTCCCGGGTTCGCATGTGGCATGTACTGGCTGGTATTAGCTGTCATTCTCGAATCAACCCCTATGTTCGCATTTCTGCAGTAGCAACTCCATGCGGATATCGAGGGGCAATTTAATTTGTCCTATGCAGAGCTTCCTTTAGTAAGCGCGCGCCATCGAACTTCGATATCACCATTTGTTGACCCTTACATATTGATATCCACCTGTATTCCCCCGGATTTATACCTACGTTTCCCTCAAACCTGACGATATTGTACAGTAATGAAACACTGCGGTGATGACGACCGCCTCCGATTTAACTCCATAAATCAAGCATACCAAGCCTCCGTATGAATCTTTTGCCCAATACAATTTTTCTGGCCTGTGAAGCGACTTTGGCGTCAAAATAGTTTGCGCGCTAGAAGTTTCCGCCTTGACAATTCTGACTCATGCAAACACGATGGCAAGCGGTAGAACGTTAATTTCCGACACGAGTGTGACTTTTAATTGCTCTTGCCGAAGGATTCACTGGGGGTGACGAAAAAGGCCACAGCAATGATAATGTAGAGTGACATCAACTAGCGCAAACGTTAGCGGCAGTATGTTAAGAATTGGTGGCATTTTCAACTTACCATTGCGCCTTCCAGGTAGTTTGATTTGCCGTCTTGTACGGTGTAGGTGACTACCAGAACCGATAGGGCAAAAGCCACAGTCTCGACTGCGTAAAGTAGTCAGTTAACGTGGCGAGCCAGAGGTTTAAAATTGAAAACCTACAAGTCTCGAACTTCAGTGTCATGGGCAAGTCTATCACCCAGCCGAGCACAACCAAGAAAGGGGTGACGAAGAGAGCGATCTGGATGCTTGAGCCAATAGCGACTCCCATAGCCTAGAAAAAGAACAGTTAGTCAAATCGCCACGTAGTACCAGAGATAAAGTCGCTCACCAGATCCATCTTGTTCTTGATCGCCACGACCACGGCGGTAACGTGCTCTGCAGCGTTGCCCACGATGGGAATCAAAATTAGACCGACAAAGTTGCGACTGATGTGGGCTCGTTCCACAAGAGCATCAATACTATTGACCAGGTAGTCGGCGCACACCGAGACCATGACGGTCACCACAATCAACACAACGGCGGCAGACCAAGGGCTCATGTGTTCCGCTACCTCGGACTCGCGAGACTCCGGCTCAACGCCGTTCACTTGCGATTCGTCCGCTTCTTCCGCTTCTTGTGAATCTGCGCTGAACAGGTTGTGATGCGTCCTCAGCTGGAACCAAAGGTAGAGAACGTAGATGAGGAGTAAAATGATTGCCGTTCCTCGAGAAAGGTTGATGATCGTCCTCTCCCTGACGGCCTCGTCGCCTTCAGTGGAATTCAGGACCATGGACAACTAAGATTAGTTAGCATCTTACATGCACCCCAGCTTTTGATCGGGGCGTGCTCACAGCTCCAGGAATGATCATGGAAGCAGCGGCAAGTGTCATCAGGGAGCACGTGGTCTGAGCCGTTATGGAGGCAAAAGTTTGTTCCATCCCGACACCATTCTGATCTCGCATGTTGGCAATGCCCCCGAACAAAAAGCACATGCCCATAACAAGCAGCAAGTTCGACAAGATAGAACCAATCATGGATGATTTGACGACGTCATACTCTTCGGCCATCAAGGCAATAATGCTGACCTGGATAACACATTAGTGTCAGGGACGACAGCGACTAAAGCGAGTGTCCACTTACGATCAACTCAACCGCATTTCCAAAAGTCGCGTTCAGCAAGCCACCCAAAGCGTCGCCGAGGTTCACCGAGATCTCTTCCGTCGCAAAGGAAAGCACTGCCGCCAGAGGGATGATAGCAAGGAAGTTGAGGATGAAGACAGTGACGGGATCCCACTTCGTGACACCAGCGACAATGCCGATAGGCACGAAGACCAAGAGAATGTTGACATAACCTAGGCATGGTCAATTGTCAAATTCTATAAGGGCTCTCTCTCTGTTCGCGCAATTTTGGTGGACGGTTCGACTTACTGCTCAACAAGGTGGTCTTGGTGGTATGCCAAACGTGCGCCGGCCACTTGACCCACGGCTTCTGGCTGCCCAATCCAGGCGTTTCCTGCGTATCGAGGAAGAACTTGTATGTCGGACTGTGTTCATGGTTATGGCCATTGCCGTTATCCGAAGTACTAACTAGCGGGGTTCTCTCATTTGCATCTCCATTTCGACCGCCATGGGTGTGGTGCTTCGTGGGCATCGTGGCGCGGCGAACTGCCTCTCTGAACTCGAGGAATGCTATATCGCGCGCTTGATTAGCTACAAGTGCGCATTGGTCTTCGGCTCGGTGTGGGATGATATCGGGTGCTGAACACCATACTCCGAAGAATACAGTCTTGCAAAGATGACAAGAAGAGGAAACAAAAAGCAGTCTACTGCGCTCGTGACGAATTGGGCGAATGAGCAAGTAGAGGGAGAAGGTAGTAAAACGGCTAGGCTAATGGACTCACGGAGTGTCATGGTCGATCGCCAATGTAAGGTAAGCCTTGTCAAGCGAGTGAGGATGTGGCTGGAACGTCTTGGGATGTTACTCCAAGAATGCTGCGAATCAGATGACCACGAGTCAATGAAGTCGATGTACGAGGTACCTGGCTGCTGGGCTAACAAAAAGTAAGAAAGGGCGGGACGCTGCAAGCGGTGTGTGTGTGGGTAGCTCGCGGTCTGCAGAAAGGCGCAGAAACCGGACGGAAAAAACGTGACGAGCGCAGATGGGATGTGTGTGTCTTTGGAGTGTTCGGGAGAATGTACGTCAAGGCGCACACTCCTGATCTCCGGGCCTTGTTTGTGGTTTCTCGATTGCCGTCAGTTGTGCCCCACCAATCGAGCTCCGATGAAACATGAGCGTGAACCTCTTGATTAGGAACTCGGGAGCAAGGGGTGCTTAGATAGAGCCTGCTGCAACGGGTCTGTTTGCTTGTTTGAAATTAATTCGAAAGTGAGCAATGTCAGGTTTTTGTGGTGTGGAAGATTGAGAGAAATCTCGACATGGCCAACGATATCACAATTCCGTCAACCGGTACCGGTCAGACACGAGTTACGAAATATCCTACTCATTCTAACCTTGGTTATCGCTCAACCTGCTCAATCCCAAATCAACTTTCGCAACCACTCACGATGCGCTACCAAGACAGCGACGTCAAACAATGGCGGAAAGCTCCCAAATTGATTGGGGCTATGCTGGTCGTTTTGAGTTTTGATGCTGCAGTATCACTTTCTTGGCAATAAGAGGCCTCCCAGCCCCGGTCTACTAATGCATTCTTGGCAGGAGCCTAGTTGATGAAAACTACCCGGCACTCGATGACGATGAATAGGGACATTCCTGCCTGGTCCAGACCCCACCAACTCCGTGGAGCTCTCCAACTGGCCGGCTTGCGATGCGCGCATGTGCTTCCAAGGTTCCGCCTCGTGGGTTGTTCGTTGGCTTTGGACGGGCCGGCCTCTCTCTAAACCGCGCAGCATAGTCGTCGGGCGGCTCACAGTTTTTATTATTTTAATTTTTTTGTTTTGTTTTGTTTTGTTTTTGTTTGTCACGCTCTTAGCGGTGTTCAATAAACTTTGGTTATGGCGGCGATGCACATCTCATGATCCGTTCTAGTGGTAATGCTTGTGTCTAACACGCCATGTTTTCCACGAACAAAGCGGAAGAAGCGAGTAGCCATCTCATCTTTTGAGTAATAATGTCTGTCGAGCTGATCGTTCGTCCGATATCCATTGCCCCGGTTTCACTCGGCGTGCCACTTGCTACAGCCTTTGAGCCGGCATCTCTACTCTCTGAGACACGTACGGATATGCGAATAGCATCAGGTTCTGAAAATAAGAAATTCCAGTTTACGACATCAAACCGTCCAATGTCATTGTTCGGCATGCATCGTTTCTCTTCGCTTCCCTCTCAGTCATCCATCAACCCATGAGAGCTACACTCGCGTCAGTGTTTAGACAGGTATGGAAGCATCCGTGAGTTACTCACCTGCGGCGTAAGTTTGATACCAAGTCAGAGACGCACCGCCATCTAGCCAAGACGGATTGAAATCCTTTGCCGTGAAGAAGGCCCAAGCCGTCTTGGGATCTACCGTTGCCAAATTCCCGAACAGGATACCCTTCCAACCGCCGTCGATCTTGTCTGCGCGACCTTTGTCAAAGTAAGTAGCCCATTCTTGTTGCACAAACCGATTCGGCCTGGTCAGCTTCGTGCTGGGTAGAAGCGGCAGCATGTGGATGCCTTGGATATACTCAATGTTGGTACCAAAATACGTCGTATGGTCGCACTTGTTCTCGAAAAGAATGCCAGCGACTCGATTCCCAATAAAGTTCGAGGGTTGCACTTTGTTGTCCGACGTATACAGGTAGTATTGGCTGAGCGACCGGGCAATGATGGCCAGCATCATGTTACCTCTGGCTTCCATGTTGGCGTCTTTGATGACTGCACCCCATACCTTGATGGCATACGCATGCATCGAGTCTTCCGAGCTCGATTCTTGATCCTATAAGAAGTATCAGTAATCAGCCTCAATATGGAAAATCTATGCTGAAATTACTTTGCCGTCAAGAGTTTCATAGAGACCATGAGCCCAACTGTGGCCGTGATACCAATCAAAATTGCGGAACACTGGGAAATACTTGTCTGAACTGCTCGGGTTGGCCACGTCTCTGACCAGGGTGTTCACGTAGTCGATGTTGGGTTTTGTCAACCATGTGGGATCCAGATGCCCTATTATGGCAGCAGCCAATATGAAATATCCATAGTGGAAGTGGTGGTCGTTGTAGTAGGTGTTGCCAAAATCTGCACCACTGTTCCCCGTCTGGTACGTTGCCGAAGAAACCACTCCGCCCCAGGCGCCTTGGAAGTGTTAGCTGAGTTGATGATGAGAGTCGTGCCAAGACCTACTTTCATAGTAGAGTGGAAATTGCTGCTTGTTCAAAGCGAAGCGACTAAAGGCAGCTTTCAGATTGTTCAGTCCACTGTGTGCCAACTTGGGGTTCTTCAATAGATCGTGGGTAGCATAGCAAACATGAGCAAACTTCGCCAGTGCCTGCCCAGGAAAATCAGTCAATCAAACGTGAATTATTCGAGGTTCTTACCTTGCCACTGAAATACATGGAGTTCTGATTCGACTGCTGGTCCATATTCTGTGAGATTTCCTTCAAGGCTACTGCACTGATTGAATTGATTGAAGCAGCTTTCAAATTCACTTTGCTCCCAGAAACTGGATCCCATGGGGCGAAACCCATCAACACGGGCATATTAGGCTCGACCATTGTCCATGCATCTGCAATCACGGCGGTTGCCAATCCCTTGGTGGTGGTCTGCAGTTGTACCTTCGACACAGCCTTGTAGGTATTTGTGTCGAAAGACTCAACATGATGTGGCAGGGCATACATGAGCAGCTTGGTGTTTTGCATTCCTGCCTTTTGATAAGTGAACATGTAGGTGCCCTTTGAGCCAGATGTTGATCCAGAAAGCGTCACGCCGGTTGGATATGCCCCTGAAGCAGAGTCGATCGTTGCCTCGGCATTTCCAGGATCTTTCGCGACCTGAATAATACCGTTGAAAGGTTTGGTCGCCTTGGCGAAAGAGTTGTTCAGAACTTGCAAGTCCAAAGTGTCTCCCTTGGCTGAGTACCCGTATACATGCCATACCTTGCCATCTTCAAGGTAGATCGTGTACTTGGTCACACCAACCTTGGGTCCTTTTGTAGACTTTGTGACAGTCCTAAAGAACACTCCAGTGTGGATTGCTGGAGTTGATCCGTGGTATATTCCGGTCACAAAGCCCATACCTTGTACGAGGGGAAAGGTAACCAGCGCTTTCCCTTTGGTCACTGCCAGGAGGTTGACGTTGACAGATTGTGCATGCATGTTGTCAAGTGTCAACGCTGCCTGGGGTCCCAGCTCGACGGCGGAAAGGCAAATCGATTGGATACCAACCGGATTCAGATAGAACTTTGCGGCCCCGGTATTTGGCGCTGCTTGGCCATAGACTCTCTGTTTTGCCTCAATGTGCGAGATTGACAGACCCCAGCTGGACGCAGCTCCCTGACCTTTCGCCCAAGCAACGGAGTAAGGATGCACATAAGTCGGCGCGTTCTGATTACCCAGATAGAAATTGGCGTAAAACTTGTTCGTCTGGTGGGGACCTGTTCCGGTGATACCAAGTCGAGGTACTGGATGGTCTTCGCGAACTTCGAATATGGCCGCAGGAGCATTTGTGGCAATGGGAGCCCCGAAAATGTTGGGTGACTCCGCCGCTTGAGCCATTGCGGGTGCGTTTGAAGGTTTCAAGGCAGATCCAGAAGGTACAATAAGGATACTGGATTTGGTATGGTGCCAGGAGGGAACGGTGGAACGTTGGATCTTCCGCCAGCCTCAAGAATCGTTACAAGTGTGCCAGTCTTGTCAGGTCTTGCTGTCTACAATGGAGCAAGAATCTGAGCTATGCCGGAATACACGGAAGTTTTGACTACAGAAACGGGCTGATAGCTCTCCCTATACGTATTAATGGCAATTGAGAGCGAGAGATATCCTTCTTGGCGATAGCCGCGGCCTTCGAGTTCACGGCCGTATACTTCGATCTGAGAAAGTCTCCGATTTGAAATCGGGCGGCCCAAAATAGGACTAATCTATATATCTTTAGTATAAGGCACAGCGACATTTCGACTGGAAGTAATCTGAAAAGGCTCAACGCATGCGCCTTCAGCGCTTGACGACAGGAGGTTGTGACAGCCGGATCCAAATATTGTACGACAAAAATCACAAATGATGGGGAAATGATTTGGAGAGAAACGTGTTAGTGATATTAGAATAGCAGAGAAAGAAACTTCTTGTAAGAGAAGCCAGGGGGGAAGGAGGATCTGGAGACACTTGTAGGAGGTGGCGGCGCGGCATCTTGGAAGCCACTCGATTCAGAAGGGATGGAATTATGCGTGCTGAGTGACAATTAAGCGAACTTGAAGAGCTCATGGTATTGATTTGTCGCCACGCGATTCTCGGCTTGTGAAGAATGACATGCCTTTCAACGCTGAAGACCTTACCTTCGACTGAACTAAACAAGCGAGGTCTAGAAAAGAGTCCGGAATGTTGAGGTAAAGGCAATGATCATAGAATGCTTAATACAAGAGACTGAGACAGTAACAGGAGTAAGCGAGAGGTCAAATATAGGTAAAGGCGACATGTAGGATCCTGAAGCGACGTAGGCTGGTGAGTTGTCAGACGAAGCTGGCGTACGGACGGAAATGAAGTTGTCTAGCAAACTTGCAGTGACGCCAATTCAAGTAATTTTGAAGTGGAGCTGACCCGGAAGCTTCGAGGTTTTGCTTGTACTTGCCAGATCAATCAGAAGACTATTAGGGCCCAAAAAAGACCACATCGACTGGCTTGTACCTTGGGTAAGAACAGCTCTTGCCCAATGGTCCATCTCTCTCGTGGGGAAAGAACGAAGTTGCAATTCCCGGTTGTTCAAACGCCCCCACTTTCCTGTGATGAACCACCAACGATACCTGGCTATCGAGGTTTAGACAAGACCCCATCGTAATACAGCACTAAGTTGGTGCGATATTGATCCATCATGGGCGGTCATTCGGACAATTGCAGAGTTTTGAAGTAAAGTTAGGTGCCATTGACATTTTGGGCGAAAACGAATGTGATAACATTGTATGTGTCTTTTCAACTCTGAGATTGTCCTCTGTGTCTACATTCACCGTCTCCTCTCCTCACCAGTGCATACCCGCAAAGGCCGTCATAAACGCATATGACTATGCTATCAAAGTCCCAAGGCGTCGTATTTACCCTCTGTGATGGTAATGCCTTCACTCAACTTTGAGGGGGGGTAAGACTTCTTCACCCTGGTATCCTCAATGGCGCGACGTGGTTGTAGCCGTGATTTCACCTTCGGGCCTGTGCCCGAAACCTCATCTCCGCGGCTGCGCTTCTTTCTCTTCTGCCTTTCCTCTTCATAGGCACTCCTATTCTCCTCCTTCTTGAGTCTGCGCAATACGTTCGAGTCTACGACCCAAGGTTGGCTAAGTACATCTGTCCTGAAGGACCTGATCTTGTTCCAGAACTGAACCTCCTGGTTCGTGGTGGGAACGCGTTGTAATTTCTCAATCTTGATCTGCTTTTGGTCTCGGAAGAGCTTCAGGCTGCCCCTGACCTCAACGACCAAGCCAACGTCAATTTCGGGATATGGATTGGGCTTTTGGACGTGGATGGGCGCCTTCTCCTCTGCGTCGCCCGTCGCATTCGTGGTGGCAGATGTATTTGTGATTTGTAAGGAGCACTCGATATTCACGCCGGTGCTATCATCGACGGTATACGTCCGGCGGCCGTAGTATTCATCTATCGCGATCACCACTCCAACCACACGCACCCATCGTATGGGATGGTTCAAGTGAAAGAAGATCTCATCCTTTTCTGAAGTATAATTGTTAGTTACCACAGCAGCTACCGTCAGGGTTTAGGATCATACCCGGAAATCCAGAATGTTGCCTAAGTTCTTGGATATCACTAGCTCGGAATGGGCACCATTTGTTGATGGTGGGAGAAAGATGGAAACAATATTGGGGGTAATATTCGTATTCCAGCTGTGCAGCACTTGTCATCGCATGGTGTTGTTCTTATTGGGATTTCCAGTGCAGCGGTCAGTGACGTTGGTCTTAAGTTCTCCAGGTCTAGGGCAATGAATTTCAAGGAGACGCGTCGCGGTCGAAGCTTGAGCTAACTTCTAATTGATTCACCCCGCGTCAGCTGTCGACCAGGTGATTGTCACACCTTGAACAGTCCTGTAGACGATGATTTTACTTGCTTAGGGGTAAATAATTATTACGGCAGGGAGGTACGAATGAAAGATATTGATTTTGTTCTTCACTTCTATGCGAATATATCAAGAGGGAGCTCAAGAACCTGCGGTAGGCAGCCCGCGAGTACGAAAGTCAATCAAACCTAATGCAAACCCCCCAAGTTGCTTCCATTCCCTTGTCAGCCTGATCATGAACTCCAAATACGCCGTACTACACAGAAAACCTGGAAACGATCACTTCTTTGCTTTCTTCGCGCGACTAGGTTTGCCCGGTGCGCTCTCCTCTGCATCGCTCTTCTTCTTTAGTCTCGCCGCCGCAGCTTGAAAGGCATCCTCCGACGGCATGTCTTCCTCGATGGATCGTTTCTTGCCCTTCTTTGCCTTTGAGGGTTCGGAGTATTTAGCAGCAATCTGATCGAGGAAATTGCTTCGACCCCCTTGGTTGCGTCGGATCAGCGCAGCAAGATCGTCTTCGGATGATCCTTTCTTGCTCGCCTTCGACTTCTTGCCGCCAAACAACTTCTCATGTACCCCAAGCTCCTTAGCGTACTCCTCTGCCTCGTTCGCTTCACCTCGAGCCGCCTTGACTCGGGCCTCCTTCGACTTCTTGCTTTCCTTGGTGTAGGCTTTGAATGCGGTGACATCATTTTGAGCGATGGCTTCATCTATGATTTGTCTGAAACGTTCATCATCTTCCAGAACGTTGCTGAGCATGACCGTCTCGTAGATCATGTCCATGTTTCCCTTGTGAGTTTCGTATGCGACGAGCAGGTCGTCCTTCTCTTCGTCCGAGCCTTTGTACTTCGCGGCAAACTTGTTGATAGCATCGTCCGAGATAGCATCGCGGAATTGTTCTCGGTAGTAATCAGACCAGCTAAAGCCGTCAGAGTCGACAATCGATTCCGAAGTCGAGCCTGTCTCATCGTATCGCTTTCTGCGGGCTGCGTCGGACAGCACAGCGTATGCGAAGGCAACAGACTGGAACTTCTTATGCGCCTCCTCCTTTTCGCCTTCTTGAACTTTGTCTATAATCATACCTTTGTCAACCATCTGCGCATGAGACCATCGTTGCACGCATAAGTTATTTTACCTGGATGGGTCCTCAATGCGAGCTTGCGATATACCGACTTAACCTGGTCGGCAGTTGCTGACCTCTCAAGACCGAGGACCTCATAAGGATCAATGGTCGGCGGTTCGTCGTCAGTAAGATTATCAGCCATAGTAAAGGTTGATGATGGAGGTGGATTGGGTTTCTGGGGAGATGGTCTGCAGCTTAATAGCAACGCGTCTTCGGGTCTTACGCGTTGCGATTATCGATAGGGTCTTGGTGAGTCGCGATAAGGATTTATGCGATGGCGGGGCGAGTGGGATGGATCTTGACTGAACTTAGGAAGAAACAATCAAGACCACGAACAGTTGAAGCTACCATTACTTTATTCGATCAGTAATCGAAAATGGCAGACGTAGCCACTGCAAATCCTACAGAAATCAAGCCAGGAGATCATGCAGCATACATCAAATTGGCCTTGTTTCTGGCTATGAAATCACCACCGAAACCCACAAACTATCGAGTTGGAGCAGTCCTCGTCAACGCAACTACAAATGAAATACTATCAACAGGGTACACGTTGGAACTTCCTGGGAACACGCATGCAGAGCAGTGTTGTTTCGAAAAGCTGGCAGCCACGCATGCAATAGATGCTAAGAAGCTGTCCGAAGTCCTCCCTGATGAAGTGGCTCTGTATACGACTATGGAGCCATGTTCGGTACGTCTGAGTGGAAATCTTCCCTGTGTGGACAGGATACTCGGCATTGGAAAGAAGATTAAGACAGTCTATGTGGGAGTCCAAGAGCCAGAGAAGTTTGTCAGCAACAACTCGGGCAGGGGAAGGGTGGAGAGGGCCGGTATAGAGTTTGTGCACGTTGCTGGGCTTGAGAAGGAAATACTAGAGGTTGCAACGGCTGGGCATGTAACAGAGAAAGACTCATGAACCAAACTTGGTACAGAATGAGCATACTACTCATCACTCTAAATACAGTCCGAGTAGTCACCTATGTTTCTACATAGTATAGGTCAAGTCATTAATGTCACGATACCAAGTAGAGCCCAAGAATCCTACTTGCACAGCTAAGCGCTTTGACCTGCTTGGTATGTCATTTTATTGAGCATGCAGGGTTGAGAAATTTGGTACAAGCCATCCGTCAATATAATATACATTGGCGAGGTTATGTGATATCTCTATAACATAGTAAGCTCGTCTTGCCAAGCTTCGATCCGCCCGGTTAGCTCAATCGGTAGAGCGTGAGACTCTTAATCTCAAGGCTGCGGGTTCGACCCCCGCATTGGGCTCAATTCCTAATGCATCCTAGTTAACTGGGAAACTTCGAATAATGATTCATGTCAACCCATACACATCCGAATTTTTTGTTATGGTGCTTCTATCTTGGTACGTCACTTTAAGTTCTAGACGCGCTTGTGTATTAGCGAAAATTTTATGAGATCGGATCCGCAAGGGTCTGTTATACAAAGTTCTGTCCGCCTGTGCTCGGAAGTATTTTGGTTTTTCCTCTCTGCTTTGCCCCGCCATTGAAGTCAATTTTATATTTGTGAATTCTTACCAGTAAGTACGTATTTGCCCATGATGATGCTGTCGCACTGGTGGGTTACTAAGTAGTCCTTGTGTCGCTGGTACTGGAGCAATATCAATAGTAGTTACCACACTGTCCACATTGTAGGTGCCTCTACAATGCGTCGCCCTATTAAATAGCAAGCGTCTTACAGTTAACAGGTCTTCCAATTCAGCTGCCCACCCACCACTGACAAAAACGACAGGAATGGAAAACATAATCAAAACCGGCGGTGTGTCACCATGATGTGACATCTTCATGGTTTAGTTATCATGTGAAGAACACAGTCTTCCTGAGAACTGATTCTCTTTCACGCATGTTTTTGAGTCTAATGGCAAGCTCTACAAACTACTTTCCATCTACCAGCTGTCATGATCTCACTTTCCATGCATACCTAGGGTATCCTTTAAGCTTCTTGCTCAGTCAACATACCCCTGGGCAATTTCTAAATGTCATGGCATTTTCTGATGCATCTGTAAACGCCTAACCCGGTTCGAGGCTAGCCTCTACCCCGGAAGCTCAACCGATGCTTACCATCCTGGTTCACATAGCGCTATGACAATTCATCTGCTGTATGTGAATTTGGCGTTTGCTGTCTGCCTTGCCAGCGGACAAGACCTGTAGAACGAGTGACTGCAGTGGGGCACTCAACTGTAGGAGGGCCTCCGTACTTATCTCCATATATGATTAACACAAGATATCTCCGTCTTCTGTTTTCAAGAAGTCGGGGTCAATTGCTTTGGTATTGTTGGCTTTTCCCAGTCGCATCCCACAGCTTGTCATCTTGCCTAACCGCATTGACCACCTTTTTGCATGCACCCCCATTTTGCAGGGTCTAACTGAATCAACCTAAATACTTCGTCCATATTATTTATATACAGAACATGTGAAGGTCAACCCTCGCAGACTCACTACAACCAGGTGACTTACAGCTGGAACACCTGCCATGGCAGTGTCAGATGGGAAGCCAATTATAACCCTTGTAGGAGCCCCGCCAAGCGTGGACGACTTAGTCGCGCTCCCTCAAACCTAAGTTGTGATCTTCTTTCCTTCGCTCCTTAGAGTAGAATCTTCGTCGATAGCACCTAATCGAGGTCTCTACCAATGCAATGCAACCCAGGTCGTGACAGAACATACTTAATTTAAGTGTCCGAAGACTTAGATATATTCTTTCGAACCCTCTTTTTAGGAGGGACGCTTCCTTCGAGAAAAGTATCAATTTCTAACTGCTTATCCGGTAAAATAGGCCGTATTCGCTTATTTCGCTTGTCCTGGGCTGTTCGGATCGCTGATAAGTTAACAAATACTTTATTCGGGTCTGGCTCGACGGGCTGGCGTATATCTGGAGCGGATTTATCGAGTTCTGTGACAGGCTTGGCCTGTGCGCAGGAATCTGGCTCTGGGGAGCACAGATCAAACGCCCCACTACCTAAGAGAGCATACAAATCAGCGCTACCCTACCTCACCGCCATTCCTTCCCTTCCTCCTTCCCTCTGCATAGTATGATAGATACATCAGGGTAGTACAACAGGCTCGTTACATTGTACTGCATCCGTTACAAGTTCTTTATAGTTGCTCGTTTTCGATACATAATTTGGCATTCTCGGCGGCCTGGAGTGTAAGGGCTGTGACGGTCAACCCTCGCAGACTCACTACAACCAGGTGACTTACAGCTGGAACACCTGCCGTGGCAGTGTGAGATGGGAAGCCAATCATAACCCTTGTAGGAGCCCCGCCAAGCGTGGATGACTTAGTCGCGCTCCCTCAAACCTAAGTTGTCATCTTCTTTCCTTCGCTCCTTAGAGTAGAATCTTCGTCGATAGCACCTAATCGAGGTCTATACCAATGCGATGCAACCCAGGTCGTGACAAGGGCCTTGCCCGCCTTGCCTACTAGGGTACGAATCTTACAATATACCCCGCCCTCGGCTTTCTCTATCGACTGTAGTTGGCTAGATAGTTACTGCGCTTTCTGAGCAGTAAAAGCAACTAAAGGTGGTGATATATGAGGCGGAGGATATGGTGTATGAGGCTCCGGAGGATCACAAGATACGTCGACTAGTCCTTCGGAGCCTAGGGGCCATATACCAGTCTTCCGCCAGCCAGATTTAATATTTTCCGTAGTAAAGGCTCTCTCCGAGGCACGTAGATATGCTTCTAGCATACGTTGCTTGTAAATTGGGGCTGTAGCCTTGTAGGAAGCGTAAGCCCTGAGCTCTTGGCGGTAGTAGGTCTTCAAAGGTGAGAACGGCCCGACATCGCACGGCTGGAGATCGTCACTGCAGTGTGAGGGTAAATACAGCACGGCGACTCTATTCGAGTCGGCTTTCCACATAAATTCGGCAGTCGGCTGGTGTAGTTGGTCACTTCGCTGGTAGATAAGTCCCGATTTGAGCCTCGCCCACTTGGGTCGGTGACGAGTCGCGGGTTCGAATCCCGCAGCTGACACACAAGGGGGTTTAGTCAACCCTTACGGCGCGCTGCCCACCTTGTTGACTTCGCCTACCTAGCGATAATAGGGAGATTGGTGCAGTTTAGGATTACGAGCATCCTAGCCAGTCGACCGTCAAGCACTGCGTCGGCGGAATATAACTCGACAGCCGGTCCAGAATTCGAATCGTTAATCCGACCCCTTATCGGACCCCCTCTCGCCGCGATTCTTGCGAGCGTCTAGACCACGTTACGGTCTATCCACTTGAGCGTATGGTTGAGATGTATACGCTCGACGAGAACCCCAATTAGCAGATACTACGACTTGTCGCGACAAAAAATAGTCGAGCATCTTCTGCACATCAGCAGCATCCCACCCCTGAGGACGAATTTAAGTGCCACATTACCACGCTTATCGGTAGTTCAGGCAGGGGTTGTAGCACAGACTTAGGGAGGGACAGGAGGTTTAGTAGTCGTTTGGCTACAAGTTTACCTGTATAACCGCCCGACGCGGCTTAAGGGCCCGCTATATCATCTATAGCCCCTTAAGGGAGTACTTGTAGAGGTACCGAGGGTTAACACCTACGGCGTATTTAATATATTTTTTTTAAATTCGGCATGAATATGTGTCTGGTGGCCGTCGAGGATAAGGAGTCGCCATTCGGTACCCCTAGGCTTCGTCTCGGGGAGAAAAACCTGATCTAACCACCTATTTGCGATAACTTTATTACTGCAGCCCTTACTCGTCGCGGTGTATTCCCACTCAGGGATATTTTGGTCTGGGAACCACTGTGCTTGGACTCTCTTGCCGGAAAATACGCACAGGTGTACCCCGTTGGGTATGCGAAATGTACTCTAACCAGGAGCACCACGACGAAGCGTCCGACTTTGATACGCGTACCCGGCGTGAATTAGACGTCCCAATAACCGTACCATGCCCAGATTCCCCCTCTTGGACACCTGTCTCATCCATATTATACTCGTTGTCGGGTTTGACACGATACTTCGTACGTAAGCGTTCGAGGAGGGTGTAGAAGTCTCGGATCTTGTTCGAATCGGACGCTCTAACTCGGCTAGCATCTACGACGCGCCCAATTTTGGTACGTATCTGTGGATGGCGGCTAACGAAGTGATTCACCCAGTGTTGGCCGAGTGTATTGTTATCCCCTTGAGCAAGGAGGATTTCGGCAGCGAAGTCGGCCACATAACGCTTGCTAGGAGCCCGTCCACACACTTCTTCGTGTAGGATCCAGTTCACGATAACCTCCTCTTACTCTGGAGTCAACTTTTGTTGCCTGGAGGCGGCGTCGCGATGCGAATTACCGTGACGAATACGGTAGGACAGTGTAGTCCCCTTGATACCGTACCGATGAGCTGCTACGGCCTGGGAAGAGCCCTGACGGACAAGCTCTTTAGCGCGTTCAATTCGCTGCTCAAAATCGTCCAGACTATTCTCCACTGGATTAGCCATTTTGTACGTAGATAAGGAGCAATTGCGAGGTAAATTGAGAGACGTCGTGTTGTTGAGGCGTAGAAATTCCCTGCAAAATGGGGGTGCATGCAAAAAGGTGGTCAATGCGGTTAGTGCAGTTTTTTCCCATATCAACTGCCATCCGTCCGTCAAGCATCACTCGGGTCGTTGCCTCAGACTCCACCAAAACCTCTTTACGTTGACCTTGTTCGAACGAATGTCTTGACGTATTTTGCCAGGAGGCGGGGCATCATCGATATCTACTCATCGAGCCTTAACAACGTCAAATTGAACTGCGAAGCATATGAGCTCAGTTGATCACCACTCGAGCACTAGTATCAACTTGACACTGCAATTGCGAAGATCGAACTGCCTTTAGGAGTGAGATATTTTCTCTTTACTCGTCCACTTCAGACACTTCAGCTGGAGAGAAATAATACCCAAGCAGCGGTCAACGTGCCATCTGCGGCTCCGGTTTTCCTTCCCGTCGTGGCATTTCTTATTTCGTCCATCGGCTGCGAGTTGCCGTCGTCCGCATATCGGGACGGTTCCTCTTGTCACTACACCTTGTTCTTGAGGAGCAGTTGTATTCTTCTTGACGGCGTCGGATTCCGTGGAATAAATACACTTTGGTGGCCTCGGTCACCGTTTGATTCATGCTTTTTGGTGAGTGATTCGTCCTACTATTGACGCGCATCATTGAGCAAACAGGCAAGGGAGAGCGAGCGCAAGGCTCGAGAAGTTGTACCATGTCCATTTCTTCTCAAGCAAATCAGCTCCTTCGCAACAAACAGTTTTCCCAATGTCGCTAAACTTTCAGCTGTGGTCCAGTGTGCTAACCTGAAACCAACCCACCCAAGCAGCATAGATACAAGACATATTTCGATCACAACCATTTCATGGTCCACGCTTATTCGTACCCACCTATCCTTTTTCCTACTTTTTGGCCAGTATTCATTCAATATCAACATTTGTGGAATTCATCATATTCTGTCTTTACACTGAAGCTTTCACCGTCACCCATGACCATGGCTGACAATCGCGGTCGTGGTCAACTCCGTGGAGGCAGAGGCGATCGGGGAGGCCGGGGTGGCAGCGGTCGAGGACGAGGAGATGGCTACCAAGGTGGTAGAGGTGCCACGTTCTCCGGCTTTGACAACCGGGGTAGCCGAGGGGGCGGTGGGTTCCGAGGTGATCGTGGTGGAGGTGGGTTTCGTGGTGATCGTGGTGGAGGTGGGTTTCGTGGTGATCGTGGTGGTCGTGGAGGTCGCGGTGGGTTCCGGGGAGATAAGTTCGGGAGTGAACCCCCGGTCTTCAAGTGAGATGCTCTCATATCATACATGTGTGGAATAACTAACCAAAATCCACAGCCCTGGAGATATTCCTCCTCCCGATGCTAAGATCACCGAGCTGGAGAATTCTATCATCAAGGCGAGTAGTTTGACGGGCCAGATGGCAAAACTGCAAGTCTCTGGCAGGAAGAGTACCACAATGTCAGAATTCTTCCCTTTACGACCCGCCTTCGGCAATAGAGGAACCGAAGTCATTCTGTGGGCCAATTACGTACAGCTTGGCATCGAGTCGCAGGACTTGTTCAAGTACACAGTCAAAGCTACCAAGGTTTTCGACGACGACAAGGAGAATGCCGATTCAAAGGGAAAGGCTATCAAGGACTCGAAGGACCCTAAGAAGGGCGACGATTCAAAATCAAGGCCCAAGGGGCTGGAACCCAAGGGTAGAAAGCTTCACCGAATCATCCAACTTGCACTCAATCAAATTAGCAACGCGATTCCTGTTGTCTCCGAGTTCAAGAGCCAAGTGGTGTCGCTCAAGCCTCTCCAGCTCCCTGAGGATATGACCATCACTGTACAGTACACAGACGAGGGTCGAGACTCGACATACAACGTTGTATTTAGCAAACCTAGTGTTGTCAAACTTGACGAGCTGATCGGCTACCTGAACTCGATGGAGGATCCAACTGGCAACACGTCGTTCCCCAAGTTCGAGACTGTCGTTGATGCGCTTGGAGTCATTCTGGGACATACACCTCGAGCAAACGCCCAAGTTGGCTCTCTTGGGTCAAGCCGGCACTTTCCGCTCAACCTGGGAGAGTCTAGCAACTTGGGCCCGTCTGCCTTCAATTCCGTAATCCGCGGGTATTTCCAGAGTGTTCGACCCGCCACGGGTCGTTTCTTGCTCAACATCAATGTATCTCATGGAGTCTTCCGCTTCTCTGGTCCTGTCACCGAGCTTATGAAAAATTATGACCTAAACGACGACGGACAGCTTAAGGATCTTAGCCAGGCCTTGGGAATGCTCCGCGCCCATGTCACGACCTTGGCCGCCAAGAACCAACCTGAATCGAAGCCTGGTGGTAAGAAGGGCAAAGCTGCTTCAAAGCCACCCGATGTATCGCGCGTTACTGAGAAGGTCCTCTGCGGTCTGGCCACAAGATTTGATGGACCTAAAGACTCCAGGCAAAAACCATTGCGCAGTGGTGCTCGACCCCACGAAGCCACGTTCACTATCAATGCTCCAGCTCCTCCAGGTTTGCAAGCCGGCAAAGAATACTCCGTCGCGGATTATTTCAAAACACGTAATCATGAACCACTCGTTCACTCGGTGGCGCATATGCTAATGATTGAATTCCAGGATATGGCCTAGAGGTCAATCTGAGCCTTCCTGTCGTGAACACGGGCACCAAGCTGAAGCCCACTTACGTGCCTGCTGAGTTGGTTGAGATCATCCCAGGACAAGCATTGCGACGCAAGACCAATTCAGAAGAGACACGCCAGATGATTGAATTTGCTTGTCGATCACCTGCAGCCAATGCACAGTCTATTGTCAGCACTGGTCGTACGGTCCTTGGTCTCGATGGGAACCCCACATTGGTAAATCAACTCTTCAGCGTCTCGAAAGCGTAACTAACACTCCTTCCAGTGTCAATTCGGCGTGACTGCTGGCAAAAGCCTTCTGACGGTGACCGGGCGTGAACTCACAGCACCTCAGATCATATATACGCACCTGAAAAATCCTAAGCAGACTACCAATGCTCCCGTCAGCGAGGGCTCTTGGAACATGAAGGACGTCAGAGTCATAAAGCCCGGCAGACCTATAACAAACTGGACATGGGTCCACATCGACTATGACAGGGGCAGCCGTCAGCTGCAAGATGTGAAAGGTGCCATCAGTGAATTCGTCGTGAAGATGCGACAGATGGGGATTAGCATTCCGGTTGCTGGCCCTGAGAATGGTCTTCCGGTTCTTGTCCGGCGAGGCTCTGCCTTTGCGCAAATAGAGCAGGCATTCGGAAGCATCCCACCTAGCACTCAGTTCGTCTTCGCCGTGCTAGGTGACAAAGGCACCGAGATCTACAATGCCGTAAAGACCTTGGCAGATACTAAATTCGGGTTTCACACTGTTTGCATGTTCCGCAACAGTCTTGTCAAACAAAACCCCCAGTATTACGCCAACGTAGCGCTCAAGGTCAACCTCAAGGCTGGAGGAGTAAACCATAAACTCAAGGACGACGTAACCATCATCAAGGATGGGAGGACTATGGTTGTGGGCTACGATGTGACCCACCCCACAAACCTGTCGGGCAACGCTGAGAATCTGCCCAGTCTTGTTGGTATCGTGTCCAGCATTGACAAAGATCTAGCTCAGTGGCCGGCGACTGCCTGGGCCCAAGCTGGCCGGGTCGAGATGCTGGATGCAAAACTCGAGGAGAAGTTCATGGAGCGTCTTCAGCTCTGGCAGAAACACAATGGTGGACATTTGCCAGACAACATCATCATTTTCCGCGATGGCGTGTCCGAAGGGCAGTTCACGCAAGTGTTGACCAAGGAGCTGCCTTACATTCGAAAGGCATGTGAACGACTTTATCCAGCCACACAAGTTGCCAAGATTTCGTTGATCGTGTCGGTGAAACGTCATCAGACGCGATTCTATCCTACCAACCCCAATAACATGACCAAGTCCCGCAATATTAAGAACGGCACGGTGGTCGATAGAGGGGTCACTCAGGCCAAGATCTGGGATTTCTTCCTCACAGCACATACTGCTTTGCAAGGTGAGAGCACATTCCTGAATCCATGCGATCAGCGTATAGTAACCCAAGACTCCATCTAGGAACCGCCAGGCCTGCCCATTACACGGTTTTGCTGGATGAGATTTTCCGAAGCGGTCCCAACAAGCCTGAGGAGGCGTCCAATACTTTGGAGAAGCTGACGCACGAGATGTGCTATCTCTTCGGACGAGCCACCAAGGCTGTCAGTATCTGCCCTCCCGCCTACTACGCTGACATCCTGTGCACTCGCCAACGCGTGTACATGTCCGATCTCTTTGAGGCCGCGGACGACGCCGCGTCTGTATCGACCAACGCGCGACAGAATATCACAAGTACTGGGGTTCACCACCGGCTGAAGGACACCATGTATTACATCTAAGTCAGTGCGCCGGTCATTAACACGAGTCTATGCTCCTCCACTGAGCGGATTTACTTACTTCGATACCATCGTCTCCCCTTGCACTCGCACTTATCATCCAGCTCAAAAATGACCATCTCACAGGCCAAGTTTCTTTTCCTAACTTACGTTGCCTCTTCTCTCTACGGCTTTGCGACGAAGAAGGTCGAACGTGTACGATCATTCATCGACTGGAGCCCTTGTCCTCCCAACCCCAAAGCATCTTGAATGTCGAACCATTACTGAGCAGTGGATATCAAACTCCGTGGAATATTATATGTGGGGGATAGCAGAAGAAGCTTATCTCTAGTAAGACTTCAAAGCGGTATTGCTGTTCAATTGCTTTCTTAGCTAGCGCTTGCGGAAATATAACCCATTGCTCTACTTTTATGACAAGGATAGGGACACGGTGGCTACTAAATGAATTGTCCTCCTGTATGTTATGCAAAGGGCTCTATATATGTGCTGAGCTGGTGCGCAGGTTTGAATCACTGTATTGCACTTGTCAAGTTGTCCCATTTGATTGGTAAGGAATATTGGTGGTGCCAGGTTGGGCTTGATACTGGCGTCCAACACTAAACCCGACTATCAGCATTTCAGTCACACCCAAAAAGGCTTAACCTTAGGAGATCCTTAGGTTGTCGGAGCAGAAATTAAGCCGCAAGGAGGGCAATCTTAGGTAACAACCAGAAGTCCGAGCCTGGGCGCATCTGTATTGACGTATGCGGCAACTGTGAGGGTGAGCACTACTCCTCATTGGCTTTCGCACTGCTTGCTGCTGCAAGACTTCGGACTGCTGGGAACACCGAGGTACATGCCTTCCCCAAACACTATCTCAGTTCACAGATGTATTACCACTACATACTTTGGCTGTGCGTTCTTTCGGCCCAAGCTATAGCACCCTAGAGCAGTCGCTTGGGATGATAGAGGCTTGGTTTTTATCGGATGACGGCCGCTACGATGGCCGATGGAGTTGAAATGTCTTCATCTGCTTCGAATGGCTCATGCTGTATGTTTGTGGCTTCGGACAAATCCCTGGATTTAGGAACGGGTAAGGCCACTACTTTCCGTGTTTATCTCGGACAATTGGGTTGTTCCTACTACATCGCATGGACTTTTGGTGATCTTATATAAACTCGTCTTCATTGCCACTCCTATTGGAATATGAGACTTATTAACGTCCAGGCTCGCCATTAAATCGCCAAAACAACCAGACACTTGTCAATCCTTACGTCTTCAAGGCGAACACTCGTCTGAAGCAAAACATAGCCGGCTCAAAAACCAAGACGGCAACTCAGGGATCAGCAGACCGTTCAATGTCTCCCGTCAAACATTCTCACAATGGCTCTCCTAATCCGGGATCCAAGCCCATGACCAAAACTCCGTCTCATTCTACACCCCAGGATAACGAAGAAGACTCCATCTCCTACCCCACGGGCCTCAAACTCTGGCTTATCATCCTCTCCCTCTGCCTAGCCATCTTCCTCGTCGCCCTAGACCAAACCATCATCGCGCCCGCCCTAGGCGCCATAACCGCCGAATACGGCACCGTCAAGGACATCGGCTGGTACGGCAGCTCTTACCTCCTGACGACAACAGCTCTGCAGCCCCTCTACGGAACTGTCTACAAGCTCTTCGATATCAAGGCTATCTACTTAGGCGCCGTGGCCCTCTTCGAGCTGGGGAGCCTGATATCCGCTGTTGCGCCCTCATCTGTGGCGTTTATTGTCGGGAGGGCTGTGGCGGGGATGGGCACGGCGGGGTTGTTTTCGGGGAGTATTGTGATTCTTACCTATACCCTCCCCCTGAGGAAACGGCCGGTCATGTTTGGGTTTTTCGGCGGTATGTGGGGGATTGCGAGTGTGGTTGGTCCCCTGCTGGGCGGTGCATTCTCGGATGGGGTTACGTGGAGGTGGTGCTTTTACGTCAACTTGCCTATTGGCGGTGCGGCCATGGCAGTAATCTTCTTCTTTTTGCATATTGCGAGGGTGACTAACCACGATGGTGACTCGTTTGGGAAGCGCATTGTGCAGTTGGATTTGCTGGGGGCGGGGATTCTGATTCCGGCTATTATTATGCTGCTTCTGGCGCTGCAGTGGGGAGGCGCCGAGTACGCTTGGAGCGACTCACGTATTATCGGGCTGTTTGTGGCCGCCGGTGTGATGCTTTTGCTCTTCGTGGGAGTGGAGATGTGGCGGCAGGATAAAGCGCTTTTGCCCCCGCGGTTCTTCAAAAATCGGGATGTGCTTTGCGCTATGCTGTTTTCTTTCTTCTTTGGGGCTTGTTTCTTCCCCATGATTTACTATCTCTCGTGAGTTTGGTCCCCCTCCACTTCACTTCTAGTAAGAAAACGGGTTTGCTAATGTTTTGCACACAGCCTCTACTTCCAAGCTATCCAAGGCGACTCTGCCGTCACCGCCGGTATCAAGCTGCTTCCCTTCCTTCTGGCTGCCGTCATCAGTTCCATCCTGAGCGGAATACTCATCACGGTGTTCGGAATTTACAACCCCGTCATCCTGGCTGAGACAGTTATGTTAACCGTAGGCGCGGGACTAATTACCACCTTCTGGCTTGACACCTCCTTTAGCAAATGGTTCGGCTACCAAGTTCTCTTTGGACTGGGAACTGGAGTCTGCTTCCAGGCCGGTATTGTCGTCGTCCAGAATGTTCTGTCGCAGGACCTTATACCCCAGGCGTCAGCCTGCGTACAATTTTTCCAAAGCCTGGGCGGGGCCCTGTTTATTGCGGTTGCGCAAACGGTGTTCCAGAACGGATTGATCGGTGGTGTGACAAGAGATGCGCCGCAGTTGGATCCGAGGATATTTATCAATGTGGGTGCCTCACGGATTCGGCAGACATTGGTTGCGATAGGACAGGAGGGGGCGGTTGAGACGGTCCTAGGCGCGTACACTCAGGGGTTGAGGAATACGTACTGCATTGCCGTAGCCATGGCCGGGTGTGCGTTTGCGGTTGGGGCGTGTTTGAGTTGGAAGAAGATTAGTAAGGTACAAGGAGTGGAGGGTAAGGAGGAAGAAGCTGGGTCGGGTGTTATCGAATAGTAGAAGGTATGAGTACTGTATTGAATAAGATTATAGAATCAGTAGATTTTTGAATTCTTAACGTTAGGGTTGGAAATTGTATATATAATGTCGGAATGATACTATCTAGAAGTTGAATCTGAGTGTGAAACCTTGATTTCCGGGCGGCAAGCTCTTCAAAGGGCTCCCCCCTGTTTGATAGACCCTGCGTATGGGAATCAAGGCCTAAGCTAAATGAGGGTCATACAAAGCGATGCATGAGTATAAAGTACTTTGAAGCTGAATGACGCAGCAATATTTGTTGGTTGAAGACACTGATCTCCGTCTTCCAGACAAGCTTATGGCCAAAGATATGTCATATGCGTACGAATACTCTTTTTCTTCTGGATTATATACAAACTAACTCATCAAAATTGGGGCATGACCACGCACCCGGATTTGCCGAATTCACTCGCGGCTTGACTAACCCGGCCATCGAAACCATAAAGGAGCTCGTGGATCTCAAAAAGGAGCATGCAGATCAATCCATAATGGCAGGTATACTATTCATGTCTCTAACCATGCACTTTCAATAACAAAGCTAAATTTGTGGCAGAGCATCCAGGACAACACATAATAGAAGACGCCGCACAACATCAAACTGGCATCGCAGACGATGGGTCCGCGGATCGTGCCACTGCAGTCAGTGGACTGTATGGAGAGAGGGTAGGAAGGAAAAAGGGGTTTCTCTGTGAGAAGGTGCGGGCTGTTCAGTGATGATTCGTTCAGGTTGAGTAAGTGATCTAAGGTTAGAGTGTTTGTGACAATTATCATCAAAACAACGATTTGGAGAAAACTGACTCCTAATATGGGTAGTTCCGCCGGTAAGTATGTAATGAACCCAATGTATGACAGCAATCTTCTCTGTCTATTAGTTTATTTAATAATTTTCCGATGAACTCCTTACCGTCTTATCAAGCTAGGTACGAACACGGCCTAAGGTAAGACATGTCGTTTATTCAACCTTTACCTATCGTTAACATGAAACTATCCGCTAAGGTACTTATGTGCTTAGGACTATACTGCAAATCTACAAGCTAGCTAACGTTGTGGTTACCATTGGCTCATCAAATATCCTACGTTGCACAGTGACGGTGCAGTTTCCAGGCTTGTTGGAAACCTCGCAAGAACGCAAGACTCTGAATTTTGTTGGTTTCCACTAGATGCCATTCACACGACCAGCAATCTTGAGAAAACACCATCATTCCAGCTCCTGTGCGACAGGACTTTGGGTAGAAGTCAATCTCTTTAAGCTATACTAGCGCTTGTTTTGATATTCTTTGGATTGTAGAAAACGGCAGCTCTAAACAACGTTGGAAGACTCGGCCTGGGGGTTATCTCATTCCCATAACCAAGGCTGACGCTGTTAAAATATTGAAGACAGATTTAAAACAGAGAATCCTTAGGCAAAACACAGATCAAATTTGGGTTTTCTTGTTTTTTTGATCTACTGTTTCCACTGAGCCATTAACGTACAACCCCACCTTTCTGGCCACCTAATCTGCCAACTACAACAACCTTCGGCACAACAGATTATCGTCGGTATTGGCTATTATTATACAATGCCTCGATATTCAGAAAATCTGATTCAAGGCGCTCTCAACGATATCAATCAAGGGATATCCCAGCGCCAGGCTTCCCTCCGATAGGGCGTTCCACGCTCTACCCTCCAATTACGACTCGGCGATGGCCTCAGCCATTCTGACGCGTCAATCGCGTCGATGAAGCTATCTAGGGAAATGGTTTAACGATTGAGACGATATACCTGATTGTCAATATACTTATTCATCTAACGGTTGGATCAGTACAGATATCGCCGTTCGATGGCTTCGTGATATCTTTATACCTCGTACACAACCAGTTGATCCCGACGAGCAGCGGCTCTTGATATTAGATGGTCATATCGCTCACGACAACGTCGAGTTTATGTGGTTAGCCTATTGTAACAAGATCTCGTTACTATTTTTGCCAGCACACTGTTCTCACGGGCTCCAACCTCTCGACGTCGCCGTATTTGCTCCATTAAAGCGGTACTATCGCTCGTTAGCGACCTCTCTCTCGATCGAGTACTGTTCTATTCCATTTAAAAAGTCGACGTTCCTCTCGCTATACATCGAGGCATATACGAAGTCGTTCACGATCAGTAATATACAATCAGGCTTCTCTGCAACTGGAATATACCCGGGTTGTACCTGAATAGCTATAATAGTACGTTGAATACACTGTTTCGAATACCTTCAATTGGATTGCAATATGTGGCCAGAAAGTTGGGTGGCCGGAAAGGTGGGGTTGTACGTTAACCTTTGGGTTACGTGTTGTCTCGTGCTCCAGATATGGACATTACTTGCTCTAGGTGGCATATACCCCTGTTGCCAACCACAACAGGGAGATTTACAAACTTGACGACGATTTGGCGCGTGGAAAGCCCAATACCATATAATTTCGGGTTCAATTGTTATTGTTTCTTCCCATGCGATTCGTCGTCAGAAGCCGACAACATTCCTAATAGAAACCTCCTTGTCGCTGAATGAGCAAACGTCTCGCTTTTGCTCCCTTGGCAATCCGTTGATCTTTTACTCAAAGCTCCTCAAGTTGCCGAAACTTCTCTTTCTCTCTGGGATAGCAAGCATCGACCCAGTAGTCTCAAGGTACCATGTCCCTTCTGTTCCTCCCTGTCGGGCAGCATTTGCGCTGTCACGACAACCCCGCGTTATACTTCGGTAGCAAAGCCATTCTTGTGCTACAAACCGGATTTCGAAGTTCGGATGTAGTCACAAGATGTAATTATGACGAAGGGATTGTGTGTGGTACGGGAATATCGAAGGTTCGAACTGTAACTCGAAGGGCCCTGTCGCTTGCTCGAGGGGACTGCAAGTTGGTCGAGGTGTGAGCTCCATGCTTCGGGCCTGGGCAAGAGCCGTTTTCATGGAATTGTACGGTCAGTTGCATGGGAAATCCTATCAGCATAGCCATATTCGTTGAGGAGTAACAGCACATGTTTGTTATGGGTTGTCCGTCCGTAAATCGGCAGCAAGAGAAGACGATATTCTTCGTTTAAACGACCAGTACGCCTCTGACCCTAAGAAAGGATTATTCGACTAGGTTTTGGTGAGCGTTGATGGGCAAAAAACAGCATGTCTACGACATTCCGACGACACGCCTGCTGAAAACCTCTGGATGACAGCTTTGCTTAGGGCACAGGTGAAGGACTCGAGCGCCGGACCGAGCTAGAAATTTTCATATGGATTCATCCTTTCTCAGCTACAGCACAGCCCAGAATGAGATATCATCGAAGACTCATCTAGCCTCCAGTTGCGGCTGATGGGGAGTCCTGTTGCACTTCGGTTCTCCGGCCCTGCTGCCATGCGGGTTCACCCATACACTCGACACCAACCGAGCTGGAATGACATTATTAGACCGCCTTACTCGATCCCTCAGGGGTGGGCCAGGAACCACTGAACAGATAAGGCATCCGGGATATAACTGTCACATCTAAATACGCCTGTCGGAGAATTCTGTCCTATAGTATATAGGGGTGCTAGCTTTTATGATAGGTCGTTAAATGGATTATGAAGAGAATCAGCTTCTTCGGCAAAGATTATTCCATTCCTTCCACACCAGCGGCGGAACACAGGGATTGTAATGAGGTAAATGCGGTGTGTCTGACTAGAGCCGGGGGAGGGCAAATCCATATTCAATATCAATGGATGCATATAGTTCCCTTGCCCTACGCCCGCGGATATCGACTTGTCAATGCCGCCCGTACCGCTTCCGCAGAGTACACTAGTAGATAGGAAAGTTACAAGAGTAGTAAGGGTAGTTCATAGGTTGCTGTCATTCAATAACCAAAAGTCGGTCTGGCCGAGCGAGCGAGCGGGTTAGCACAAGCAGTCTAGGTATAAAGCAGAAAACGCTTTGACTCCTCCTATTTGAACACGGACGGTGAAGCTGAAGCCCTACAACGAATGCTCCACCACATGATGCGGATACCAGTGGATAACCTACCAACCACCATCCATCAAGATGGCCAAGTGACTTAGTGTACGTACAAAGAACCAAGTACGCTATGTTCGATAAGGTAAACGTGAAGGTGTTCGAACGAAATACCACGCTCACTGGCCATGAAGAGTATCTATATCTTAGACATCAACATCAAGCAATGACCGTTCACAGGATCGGCGCATTCGCTCAGTAACCAGGAGGCGATAGTAACAGCCCGCGCTTCTGATCCACATCTCTTATGCCTGCATGTACAACAGCACTGCCCTCTCCAATGAAGAAACAGTGGCCTGGTCTTGTCTCATACGACCTCACCCCCACGGACTGATGATTACCACCACGATGGTGGACCAGGGGAGAAGCACCCACGGTCCACCGCGTAGCAAAAGAGCTAGGCCTGCGGAGTAGTCACTCTCTAAACCGGAAGACGAGAGTGGATGGACCGGCGCCAGCTTGGGCCAAGTGCTCTCGCTCACGCCGAAGGAGACTTAGTTTTCAGAGAGCTGCACTGAGATCAGTCTGTGATGATATGATTATGTATGGGGAATCAAGGAGTACCGGGGCAGCATTCAGCATGGGTAAAATGGGCTGTGGCGGGTCTCCAACTGTATGCGCTGGCGGGTGTGAAACAAACACAACTACGGGACATAACGCCCGGCGGACAGACAGATCACGTCTCGTAGGCGTGCATATGTACGGTTCATCATCATAATCCAGGCTCGGCCTGCATATGCATGCATACATCGTCATGCTCGGTGGGTAATATGCAAATGTAGCCAAAAGTTGCGTGACCGACTTATCATCCTCGTTTCCCGTCGTTGTTTACATCCGCGTCAACATGTGTCTCGTGCTGGCATCTGGGTCAAAGCCCTCACCGACAAGCGAGTCTGGGGAAACTAGTTAACAACCATTGGCGGTAACGAGTTAAGGGAAAAGCGACAGCTGTCACACCGTCTTATGTGGCTATGGTGGATCAAACACGGAAACTCGCCCGAGAATTTCGTCTATGAACGAGCTATCCGCCAACGAACTGGGGGCCCTAGCTCCAACCCCGTACAATAAGTCCGCTGAAACCAAATCGTCGAGCAATCGAAGGTCATGTATTCCTTCTAGTGTGCTGGTCAGCTACTTGGCTTGAATTCACCGGGGAAAGACATATCGGGGGGGGGGAAATAATCGAGACAAAATGCCCCCAAAAATACCAGCCTACTGATATGGTACTTCCTCAAGTGCGAAGTGCGCGCTCGGGCATACCGGTAGCATGGCCCCATCCCTTTGCAGGGTCCATAGAATGCCCCTGACATCGGCATGATCCCACTAGTACTGTAGACTGATCTGATGGACACCTAGTATTCCAAGGAAGTAGCAATCAGAGCTTGCAGAAGTACCGGCCGAGTACCACCTAGGAGGGCTAGCTTCGTGAGCTTCGACGAACCTTCCAGTACCGTTCTATGCATGGGCCATGAACGGGCATGGTGTGCGCACATTAACCTGGTGAATGCCTTGAATTCATGGAAGTTGGAAGTACCGGCCTAGTGCACGAGCTCGACTCAGGAGCTTCCATGAACCTTCCAATATCGTTCCATGCATGGACCATACGAGATGTGCAAGCCCATGTATCAAACATGTGATATTACGGCACGATTATATCTTTGTTTGTGGACATAGGAACGCGCTTCCATTCCTGTACCGTAGCTGCATGCAAACCGACTTGCAAGGAAATCCGCGTCGACAACCTGCAATCCACCTTGCTGTACGTTTGCCCGCCTGTAGACCAAGCCCACAGAAGCCATCGTCTAGCACGCTGGAGGCTGCCTGGCTGAATCTTTTGCCCATGGCATCTTTTGTTCAACGGCCAGGCTTTGTCCACTGCTGCTGCCCGGAGTGGTCCCTCGCTTGTGTTTTGCGGTAAGCGATGAGTGATCCAGACACAACATGTTGTTGACCACAGTGGAGGGGTCATGCACGTCAGGTAGAAAAGTGACCACCCGGAGCGTAAACCGGGCAAAACCAAGCTTCTCCACCATTCAATGACAGCGTGCAAGTTCGGTGGCTTTGACGGAAGCGGCCTAGACTATGTGTCAAAGTCATGCGGAACCAGGGATTTTGTCTGTGATGAGTGGAGAGGTGAGGATGCCTGAGCGCAGTCTCCATTATTTGCTGC